CCAGGCGTTTACTGTTCATGGATGACTTTCTGTCTCCACAAGCATTGCTCGGTGTCGTTGGATTCTGATGGGCATTGGCATACATTCAACCCCATAGACATCATACAAGGGTCATTCCACGACCAAAGCATCATCTAATACATCTTGAAACTTCTTTTGACGTGATAGCATTGTCATATACATAAAATCACCGGCGAATGGTTCTCGGGGCTGGAGCTCAGGGTTCGTCCTCACTTGATGTGGGTTCTTCCCAGTCCTCTATTCCTATTGCTGGCTTGGGTGCTCAACTGTCATGCTTTTATCTTGCGTGTCATCCATCAACTGTATTTGCGAACCCCCTTCCGGTCCTGGTATTCTTCTTAAAGCCCATTCAATATCATCCAACATCCATGAAGGGATGTCCTTGGCCCCTTTTTCATCATCCACATACATCGTACCACACCCCTCTAGTCTATCGGATATACTTGGCGATGGCTTCTTGCTCCTCAGGGCTTAATCGCTCACTGACGAAGCGCTGGATTGCGCCGCCATGTCGCTGGTTGGCGCTGACCATGTACTCCTTTACCCACTTGGTGACGTCGAGAACCTCAGGGAAATCATCCTTTGCCAACGCTCTGCAGGTGTTGAGTGCAGTAAAGGACATGCCGAAGCCAATGTCATCAACATCTGCCTCGGCAACGACCTCATCGCCAGCGCCAGCAGCCACAGTAGGAGGGTTAACAAGTAGTGAAAGAAGCTTGCGACAGCTGTTGGCCCAGCCCTTCGCGAACTGTTGAGCAAACGCTGACGAGTCACACAGAGTCTTGGTAAGAGAGACAACTGCAACCTTTCGATCAACTGGGCGTGCAAGTTTCTCTGTTTCACCAAGGACAAAAGCAGGGTAGACCTTGGTGAAAACGCCGTCTTCCACTGAGTTTGACTGCTGGATGAAGTAGTCGGCTCCATAGCCAGCCTCAAGACGAGCAGATACAAGATGGTAGAAGCGGACAAAGCGGAGTTTTAGAGACTCGGCAGGGGTTCCTTGAAGCTTCGTGTAGACTAGCCTGAGAATTGTACCGAAGTAATCATTAAGGACAGTTCTGTGGCCAAAGATTAGATATCAATACAAACATGTGAAAATGGAAGACTTACGGCTCAAAGCTCTTCACAATGGAATCCAAGATGTCAAAGGCGAGTACCTCCGACTTTTTGCCACTGAGCAGCTTCTGGAAGATTCCAAGCACGGGCGCAATTTGTCCCTCGGCCTGAATAGCCTGGGATGCCCGAGGAATAACAGCCGACAAGAGACGTGTGCATGCAGGGACGTTTCCTCGAGTCTCCCAAAGTGTGGGGTTTAGGAGAGGACCTAACAGGGCCTTGTAATTCTCCGAGATGGTCTCAGAGGGGCTAGATTCGAGAAGCTGCGCAAGAATCTGGAAGACATATTGCATGAATTCTGAGGACATGTTAGCAAGGTTCACAAACATGGAACTGCGCGACCTACCCGTGACATCCTCGACCAAGATTTGATGGAAGGGCCCCCACAGCTTCTCGTTGAAAAGAGCAGCATTGCTAGGGGCACAGTATCGGACAAGAGCACCAATAGCTTCGAAATGGTAATAATAGAAGCGGGGGTTGCTGGGGTTTTGCTTCATAACATTGGTGATGAGGATGAGATGAGTCAACACATTGTCCAGCAGAGGAATAGCTCCGTCTTTGATAACGATCAAAATTCTCATAACGCAACGCATTAAAAACTCGTTCTCCTGTAGCTTGGCAGGGCTTGATTCCTTTTCAATGAGCTTGAAGAGATGGCCGAGAAGATCCTTGGCGAAGGGCTCAATGTCTGCACGGGGAAACATGGCATTGCCCACATCATCTGTGAGAAACAACACCCTCTCCACTGCGATAGCAGCATAAGAGTAAACGACGTAGTTGTCTGAGTTCAGATTCTGGATCAGAGGGCCCAGAGCCACTTTCCACTGCTCCTTGGACAGCTGACTTCGGAAAGTGTAGAGGTACTTGATGGCGTCGACCTTCGAGATTGGTTCAATACCTTGCGTGTTAATAAGATCTTGGGCAATGTGCTGCTCAAAAAATTCAACGACATTGACAAGGGGGTTAACAGTCTTTACACCTTGAGCAGCAGTTACCGCACCCTTGGCAGCAATAGACAGGAAGAGATAGATAGCAGTATCCTTGGCCTTCCAATCACTGCTTCCTTGAGACAAGTAGTGACTGATATATTTAGACACCACCGTTGTCACAGGCGCTTCAAATCGTTCCTGAAGCTTTCGAAGAAAATCGGTAGCAGATCGACGACGTGAGTCTGTATCAGACCCCTCCAGATCCCTGCGAATGAATTCAATAGGCTCGTCCTCAAAGAGCTCGATATCCGATTCGCGGAGCGCCACATTTGGTAGAATAACCTTCTCGACAATCTGTGTCAAAACATCCTCGCTATTGAAGATTCCTGAATGTTGTGCAGACGACGCAATAGCGGTAAGGAAATGCAGAGCTTTGCTGACAATAATGTCGTATTTGGTCTCGGGGCCTGTTGAAGACAAAAGGTTCCACGCTTTCTCGATGAAGGGCTGACAGTACTTGGAGAAATCCTCATCGTATTTGACGGTGAAGAGTTCGAGAATCTCGCAAATATCAGCCTTGACCGTATCAACTATGCTCGTCTCGGTGTCGTCATCAGTCTCCAACAGGGGGTTGGAGTACGTAAGGTACTTGTGAAGGAGTTCAGAGATGCTGCCGAGATTCTCCTCGAAGATAGGAGGTAGATCATGACAAGACATGTCATGCAGAATTTTGATTTGAAGGTCCAAGGCCTCGAACCAGCCATGCAGCACTTCCTTCTTGTCGTTGTTCTCGGCAATCTTCTTATCGGTCGTCTAATGCGCCAGAAACTATGAGCACGAAGCAGACAAGAGTATTCACTCGCTATGACTTACCACGAGAAGCTGAACGAAAGCTTGTCCAAAGGTCTCAATCACATGATTGATCTCCATGTAAAGTTCGTCTGTTCGAAAGAGAGGTCGCCATCTGGCAAAGATAGAGTGTGCAACCTCGAGAACACCAACGTTGACCTTGGGGTCAGTAGCGGAAAACCGACTGACGAGTTCCTACACCAAGAATGTCAGTACATTATATAGTAACTACCATCAATCTTGCGAGCTCACCTGGGTAAGGGTATCCCATCGTCGCCAGAAATCAGAGTCTGCAATAACGCTGATAGCGTCACCAAGCTGGGCCTGAATATTGGGGGGAGATGAGATCATGAGGCCGATGAGGCGCTCCTTGATGACTTGAACTTCATCTTGAGGTAGCTTATAGTTGCCTTCCTCGTCCTACACGGAGTTCGCGATTTAGTATTCTGAGCAGGGTCGACCGAGAAAAAGGTAAGACGGACCACGTAGTTTGTTCGAATAAAATTCTTGAAGGCCAATGCAGCAGCGAGTCGAGTCTTTGGCGGTAGGGTGTCGGAGTTGACAATGTTGAGAAGGCTGAGAGAGTACTGAGGCTTGGTAGCCTCTTGCTTGAGGGCAGTCTCGGCTGTTGGTGATGATTGTTTATTAGTTTCCAATCAAAACCGCGGGGCAACGAAGTAGTGGGACAGGGCAACGGATCAAGTACCTTTACGATGCTCTGTAGGATCGAGAGTTGCGTCAAGGAGTTGAGCGATCTGACCAATATCGGCCGCCATGGTGAGGGTGTATTAATAGGGGCACTGCTAAGAGGAAAGGGTAAAGGACGAAGAGAAGAAAGAAATGAGCGGTGGTGATGGGGAAGGACAAGTTTGGAGGTAGGTAGTAACAAAGAGCTGAGAGGTTGCAGGTTCAGGTTGACAAGCAAATCAAAGCTCGGGCGGCTCTAATTTTTTCTGGGCCTCCATTGGCGAGATGCTATTGGCAGTAAATGGCTTCGAAGCCTTCAGCAGCGAGCTAGCCCAGGCAGTCGAGCTGCAGTTGATGGGCGTTAGAGCTAGTCGCACTAAGAAGAGCTCTAGGTTAACACTCAAGGTACGGGGGCAAAAAGGCTTCTGTTTTTGTCTTAGGTGACAAAAATACTAACGTAAGCTTAGTATAGACCTGGGAGATTTCAGTCTCATTATTTTTGACACCTTAATTTCCAGTCAAAGGTTTTCTCTCTCCTTGAGGGCTGCCTCGTAGCTAGGTATAATAGCACACCAACTGGCCGTACTGTTACCCAATCGTGGCCCAGTAGTACAGCTCATCATCGATGCAGAGAGTATGTAAAAAATTATTATTGAAGAATCTAAGCAACAGGACCAAGAATATAGGCTACCGTTCGCATTACTCTATACCAATGTGGCCTGATACTAGATCTGGAAGCTAGGTATGTACTAACCCTTCATTGCATGGATAACAACTCTCTGATACTGTCCCAAAACGATAGGTAAATAGATGAATAACCGTTACACTCCCTACCTCAGTACTTAGTATGCATTGATCGGAGCCTGTGAAGCTAGGTACATCCATCTACCTGGGCAACTTCTTTGTGACGGATGGCAGCGATACCCCAATTGATATGCATAAACACACACACACACACATACACATATATATTGAATGCAAAAGACAGTATTTGTCATTGACTATTTGCTCGTCTCAATGATGAAATCCAGCCACAAGATCAGCGCCATGGCCTGTCACCCAATTCGGCGATGGAACCTACACCAATACAACCGTGGCCAAAGAATACTGCAGGTACGCTGTAGCTAAGGAAATAAAATCTTATTCTCTACAGACTCGGGGTCCCTTCATAGTCCCAGATTGGCGCGATTGGCATGCGGTACCTTACCGCCTACAGCTTGGTGGCATGGCGTACATAGTAAACCCTTGGCTGTTCGTGTGCTTCAGGAAACAGCCATTCAAATGCCACCAAGGGGTCATCTGCTATGGCTTAGTAAGGACAAATTGCGTTTCCATTAGCTACACAGGTACCTTATTATACGTTACAGGAAGTACCCTGCTGCATTGATCTGCCTTGTCATTGTCTTCCCAAAGTTAGGTGGGTGGTATTCCCCAAGCGCAAACTTTACCAACTTAACCACCATCTGCCAACATCGTCTCCCATTCTTCAATATTCTCTCATCCCTCCAGCCTCATAAAATCAAATCGCTTCATACATCCGTCATAGCAACCCAGTCAGTGATCGAGCACCTCGCGCGCTAGCCAGTGTGTCGTTCTGCGAGTCCTGGCCTCTTTTTCTCGCCTTTGCATCCCGCCGATCTGCCCACCGTCTGGTGCCATCCCGGATCTTCGTCCACCTCCGCGCTATTGGATCACACTTATCGTTATCATCACTCCTTCTGGTCCCTGACTGAATCTGCACGATACACATTCTCGCACTCGAAGCCCGACGTCATCTACGACCTTCCTTGATCATTTAATGAACACGCCTTATCCCGTGTACACACGCAACTTCTTACAGGCCCATATCAGGCCTAGGTAGCACATGTTTGGCCGGTGAGACTCGCTTGCACCGTCTGTCCATCTTGTATTTGCTCTGCACACTGCATCCGAGACGCCGTTCCGTTTGTCGTACTTGCGACACAAGACAATTCAGTTCCGTTGTCTTGTCTAAACGCCTCGTCGAGCTCTTGAACTTGCCCGATATCCTGTGTGCCCATCACCTTATCGTTGCGACTCTTTTGACGCCCCATGTTGTCTGTTTTATGTCGATTGATCCGTTCTGCCTTGCCGATGACAAAGCTTCCAATGCACAGGTTTCTGTACCTTTGCTAACATGTTGCGCCGTTTAGCCTCACTTAGTCACCAAGACTCCAACGAGACTTCACACGAGCACATGTCACCGCAGCCAGGAGATGGTCCATCATCCCCAGATACGTCCCGTCAGGGTGGCCTTGCCCATGTCCTCCGGGGTCTGACAAGTTCTAAGCTCTCCAAATCCTCACCGTCTATAGCATCACCCTCTTCAGCGAACGCCCAACCGACCGCCGAGTTCGTCCATGCTCCAGCCCCAGCCGTCTCCCCAAACCCACCTCATGGGCTGTCTTCTAGTCACATGGAGTCCTTTGAGCTTCTCAAGAATGGCTCACCCAACGAGCGCATTGCTGCCGCCAACTCGTTGAAATACGCAATTGCCGAGTACCCTCTCAATCCTGTCCTGGATATTTGGTATGCTGCAAAAGACCTTATCGATCCCGCAAAACCTGCAGCAGCACGAGCAGCTGGTTGGGAGCTCCTCACGGAGTGTGTGAAGCACGAGGCCTCTTCTGATCTCGAACGGCAAGAATATTTCACGACTCTATCAGCTCCTGCAAACTCGGAAGATTTTCACCTACAGTTGGCTGCTCTTGTTGACCTGACCCGGCGGGGCCGAATTTTGACAGGCTTCGATTATGAGCTTCTTCCTCTTTTGACTAATTGGTTATGGGAATCTTACAATGTGGTGCGTGCAGCTAGAAGGAAAGCGTCCCGGAGTTCAAAGGGCGCTTCTCGAAATCGTGCTGTCGCTTCTGGTGAAGAAAAAAACCTCGCTCAGTTATTCAATTTTCTCATCGACGTCATCAAGTTCAGCTTCAACAATGCAGATGAATCTGCTGTGACAGGATTGATCGATCGATTACTGGCAATTTGCATGAGCACGAGCGTTGAAGAGGATCTCAGATCGAGCATAGCGGTCATTGATGCAATTGTGACATTTGGGTCTATACCAGAAGATAAGCTCAAAGGCTGTGTTCAAGTGCTCAGCTCTATCTATTGTATGGTGGGAAGCCTTCAGAAGGACTCCTGGAACACGCTCTCAAATCTGTTCAAAAGCCATAATGGACAGGCGACCATCCGCATTTTATTGGATATTCTACGAAATAATCCTACGGATGGGGCCAAGGAGAAGGATGTCAACCGAGAGATACGCGGCGCCCTTGCCGTACTGCAAAAGGTTCTGTCCAAAAGCCCGGAGAACGGCTATCCGGGGATACCTTTCGCATTACTGGCGGATGGTCTTGCCATAGTTGCGAAAACTGGCACTTCCATTAAAACTTTGACGGCTATTCTTCAGTTGCTTAATGCTCTATTTGACGGTGGCGATGGCCATATACACCGTTTGATCATCGACGAGGACTGGTCCGTAATACTCGAGGCTGCCGCGACATGCTCCAAACGAGCAATACCTGGGCCGCGCGACTCTGATGGATACCGCAGTCCTATCAGGGACGAGAAGCCTGAGGAAGCTCTGATCCGAGAACTTATAATCCTCATCAAGCAGCTTGATGTGCTCATTAACCAAAAGTCGGATGTGTTTGTTCCTCGGGCAACCATTATTTCGTTTCTAACCGAAGTCCATCAGTTCCTCCCTGACGAAACTGCATCGTCTGTCTTGAATTACTTTCAGCAGTTCAGATGTTGTTCACCTTCAGATCTCCAATGGGAGGAAAATCTAACCTTGGTTTTAAAAGGATTCTTTGGCAACAGAGATCGGTCCTCACAGATTAGGCTTCGAGCCTTGGAAACCATCATGGACGCTTACGAAGTCGTGGATCTAGTGGGCGATGACCCCGAAGAGAGCTTCATCCCGCAACTGGCCAAGAGCATCCTTCAAGATGTTTCTGAAGAGACGGATGTGTTGGTCCTCGAAGGAATCATGTCGCTCATGGTCTCAGTTGTAGTATCTTGTGACATGGAATTATTCGATTATATCGTCGATGCCCTTCGAGGCATCGTCATTGGCGACAGGCTCAAATCACCGATTCCATCGTCAGCATCTCATAGCCCATTCGCTCAAGGATCTTCCGAAGAACACCTGCCACAAGGACAGTCGCCCTCAAACGTGGTTGCCAAGGGATACGTGAAGATATTTGTGCAGACTATGGATTATGACAGTGGGAAATCCTTGAGGCTATACCATGCGTTGATAAACATTGTGAAGTCGAGTCACTGCGAGGTCGATGCTCGGTTGACCGCTATGAAGCTCTTATTTAGGCTGCGTGCCGATTGGGCCAACCGAATTTTCATCACAAAGACACTTGAGACTAATTTTGTTGCCGCCTCCTTGTGTCGAACCCCGGAAACATACGCCAAGAAGCAGGCTGAGGAGGCTGCACAGTCTATACGCTTGTTAAGAAATGAACATGGTGGGTCGTCCAGGTCTGCTCGCGGTATTTCGTTCAGCCAAGGGCAAGGCCATGAAAGAGGCATGCCCGTTCGGTCTGCAAGCGTCGCTGCTGGAAGTGGCCTGCTCGGCAGTAGTGGTAGTGCAGCTCGCTATCATCAGCTTTGGAGCCTTCCGGACCCAGAGGCTCTGCCTGAATCCGTGACCGGCGTGTTTAGTCCAGTTCTGGTTTCTCACAGCCCTGGCTCCGCTGAACTCGTGATGGGGGAAGAAGTACAAAAGACCAAAACGAATATTGAGGCTACTGCCCTCGATATTGCCGCTTGGCTCGAGGCTGTCCTCGGCTTGTTGCACGGTTGCGACTGGGAGGTGTACAGTTTTGCACTGGTTCACCTTCCATCACAACTCAGCAACCATGCCATTTTCAGAGACGCCATTCCCCAGATTCAGGAGCTGCGAAGACTCATTTGCGAGCAAATCCGAACCAACTCCTTTCAGGAGCCTCCAAATGCATCAGGCTTGAGGCGAGCTGACGTGGCGATTTGTCTCTTCCACAGTTTAACGATGATTCTCAGTTACCATGACCACTTTCAAAAGGGCGATGAGGATGAAATAGTCAAAACATTTGTTCATGGCATCGCCACTTGGGAGCGGAGTGCAAAATGCTGCATCCATGCCTTGTCCATATGCTGTCATGAATTGCCACTCTCAACAAGCAAATCACTGGTTCAGCTATTGACCAAAATGTCTACTATCATCACCCAGCCGCATGTCTCCATCCATATCCTCGAGTTCCTGGCTTGTCTGAGCCGTTTACACAACGTGTATGTCAACTTCAGAGAAGAGGAATACAAGATTGTGTTTGGAATTTGCATTCGCTATCTGCAATCTGTGAGGGACAAAAAGGCTTCCAACAGGAACAGTCATGCCAGCGAACCGTCTACCCCAGCAACCTCAACGGGCAACCTTTCGGATGCCATACACCCAAGCGCAACAGACGATTTACCACAGTATGTGTATGCATTAGCATACCATGTGATACTCTTCTGGTTCCTTGCGTTAAAACTGCCAGACCGGGCCACCTTGGTTGGGTGGCTTGTCCGGAACATATACAACGAGATTGAAGATGCGCACACAGATAACGAACAAGCACTCACTTCGATCGACTTCATGCAAAGGTATACATACGCTGACGTGGAGGAATCATCCCAAGACCCTCTCTTTACATCGGATCGATTCGGAGAGATCATAAAGAAGAGATGGTTGGTTGGTTACAGCATCGTCACCGTAAATCAGGCCACGACCACTGGCTGGGCTCAAATTGTCAAGAGACAGCCTTCAGGCACCTCGGCCTTCACGATTCGAGAAACGTTTGATCCACCGCCTCCGCATCAAACACCCAATTACGTGGATATTAGCAGGGAGGGACAAGTCTCGACGAATACTATCTTGCCCAGTCACATCATGGTACAACTGATGTCGTCCATCCCTCAAGGTCATGATCTAGCGCGACCTATTCCGCTCCCTGAGGATGATGCCGTTGAAAGAGCCATTCGAGTCTTTGATCGAAGCTCTACTGTTGATGGGCACAAAGTCGGCGTCATATACATTGGAGAGGGACAGACTGATGAAGTCGAGATTCTTGGGAATGTGTCTGGTAGCAGCGATTACATGGAGTTCCTCAACAATCTTGGCACATTGACCAAGCTCAAGGGAGCGACGTTCAACACTCATGGACTCGATCGCGAATTTGACTCTGATGGCCAGTATACTTTTTGCTGGCGAGATCGTGTCACAGAAATCGTGTTTCACGTCACCACACAGATGCCTACGAACCTGGAACATGACCCACGTTGCACAATGAAGAAACGCCATATTGGCAATGATTTTGTTAACATTGTGTTCAACGATTCAGGTCTGCCTTTCAGATTTGATACTTTCCCGGGCGACTTCAATTTTGTCCATATTGTCATTACACCAGCGTCAAGGGCTTCGTTTATTGCTGCTAGAGACGCGTCCAAACACAGTCAGCCCTTTTATCGCGTTCAGGTCTTGAGCAAGCCAGGTTTCCCTGAGATCTCGCCCGCTTCAGAGATGAAGATTGTATCACTTAAAGCTCTCCCAGGTCTGATCCGTTTGTTGGCTCTTAATGCTTCGGTGTTCTCTCACGTCTGGGCTAATCGTGAGGGTGGTGAGCATGTCAGCTCGTGGAGAAGTCGCCTCCGTGCTATCAAAAGGCTTCGGGAGAAGTACACACCTTCAAAATCTGGGCAAATAACACCCTCGGCCTCACAGAACTCATCTCTCGGGGGCGCACCTCCGTTACACCAACAACAGCCGCTCCTGCCACAGGGAGATATATCGTCGTCGCGACCAGCCAGCACCGTCCGCGATAGCTTTACGAGTCTACGTCGCACAAGTGTAGCCACCTTTTTCACAAGCACAAGTGAGCAGACCTCACATCGATCCTCAATGTTGTCATCATCTACAACAACAAATGACACTGAGATTGGTCCATTTCACGCGCAAGATTCACACACTGACACCGTCGACTTTTCCAAATGGGCCTAAAAAAAATGTGCTATTAAACGGGGCGCGGGAAACGTGAAGGAAGGAGTTACATTAGCAAAATCATTATGTTTTTCAAAAAAGGGCGGAGGCGTCTGTCTATATATTAGGTGTCATGGAGGGGGGGTTCAAAAGTTTTTGCTCTAGGTCACACTTGATGTTTGCCTGTTCTATCCCTATTTCAAGTCTGTTTTCCTGTCTATTTCTGCTTACAGCCCACTTCGATATACCCTGGAGCTGTGTCTCGCTCGAAGTAGAACATTATTAGACTGCTAGAAGACATTTAATGGTCTTGCCAATATTACTTGATAGTACTCACCTTAAGAAAGTGGTTGTTGGAGCAAATCACTTTTCTGAAAGCCTGCAGGCTTACGCATCCACGTACAGAGCTCATCCGACCTGATCAGCCGATGCAAAATATTTCGTCGTACAACGCTGCTGCGTAGTTGAGAGGCTGTTGTGTAACCAACGCTCAGTCTGCTTAAACCCGCCTATCAAAACCCCATATCGTTTGGTAGACTGCAGTGTCTCGTTGTCGCAACCCGCCTGGTTGCATGACTGCCTGGGATGTTTGTCAGCCCAAACGGGCTGGCTCATGTTGATCCACTAGCAGCAAGTAAGGTCACCGTTACACAAGTGCGGCGCGTGTAGTATTTTGCGGTCAAAACCTCATCCAAAAGCAGTAGGCAATTCACAAGCTTTAGCTGTTGCTTGACATAAGAGCCTTGGCGGTTGGGCGGTATACGAAGACGGTAGCACAGGATCAGAGGCTGGGCTCATTTGTAAGCAAATGAGGGTTTAAGGATAGTGACATGAGTGAAAGAGCCAATAGGGATTATAAGATGCATGCATTAAGGGGTTATTCTGCGTTGGCAACGTAGGGATAGCAGGAGCACTGCAGGCAGATCACACATGGTGATTTGCTATCGCAGGGTTCCGAAGTAGGATGGCAAAATCCAACAGTCTTTTGTCGCACGTCAGCAGCTGATAGAAGCGCACAATCCAGAATCGGTTCATTCTGCTAGATTCCCGGTAATATCCTAGTCGTAAAATCAGGTTGTGGATTAAAACGAGACTTGTTGGCTAATACCAATGTTTGACGAGGGCAAATAGTTGCTCTTGCGTAAGGTAGCTTTTTGCGGTTGCCTAGATAAGTGGTTGCGCCATGATATAGTCAAACACGTCGGCCGACGCAGTATGCTGCTGTTCGTGGGATTTTGCTTGTCAAATCGTATCATGATGTCTTTGGATGATGTAGAAAAGGAGGATATAAGTTGTAACTCTGCGCCAAGTGTCGTAAAAGCCAGATAAGAAAAACGGTACCTAAGATAAAGCTGCAAGAGGCGTGTCCTCGGGAGCTGTATTTGAGTTTTCAGCTCGGAATAAATTCGTTGAATCACACCTCTTCCTTCTACCGGCTGTTTTTGGCAGGATTGTTGATCATGTTCATATTGTGTGGCCCCTGGTGTGATGGAGATTCATTCCTAGGCTTTGCGCCAAAGCTCTTTGTATTCTGCCCATTTGCAGAAACCTGCCAAGTTTCAATGTCAGCATGTGGTGGTAGCTGCGAAAGTCCTGAGAATCTTACTAACCTAAAGACTGCAGCACGTTTTCGTCCGATCTGCTGCCATCAACAAACATTCCAACCATTCCTCTCTCACTCAGGGTCTGCCGACAAGCCAGGAGCAATCTAGTAGCCACCGAGTCACGGCGATTGACCATATCCGGGTCTTCATCTAATTTAACAGTTAGTCAATGTCAGATAACATGGTTTGGATTGTGGCCGACCTTTGATGCAGATGCACGAAACTCCTCCAATGCTCTGTCCGATTGAGGCTGGCCATGGAATATCTGCGCCGCAAGGGCTCCCATTATCTGGAAAATATGTTATTGCCGCAGCAACCAGATTTTCCCCTTCAAGCCCGACTACAATGTCATTCATGTAGCAACTGTCCATAGTTTTGGCGTATTGGTCGTACCACCCAAACCCGTATCTCTTCTGTGACTCCTTATTTGCCATGTCGACAACCTTCTGGTAATCTGTTAGCTGGCATGGCCTGAACGTTAAGCCAGCAGAAGCTAGATCAGGAACTGGATAGTCGGCAAATCTCAAGAGCCAATCGAGCACTCGCCGCCCGTTTCCAGGTGTGGATTCCTTCATGTTCCAACCTCGTTTTTCGAACCACTCCGTATCGGTTTCGGGAGCGGGCAGACCGTAAAGTAATCTTGGAAATGTGCTTCCAAGCTGAATGATGCCGACACCTCGAATCTTGTTGAGTTTGCTCACGACTTCGTCGTGGAGGAAGCGCCCAACACCTTGACCCCGAAAGTCTTTGTGAACGATGATGGCGGCTACTGATCCAATCAGTCGGTCGCCACTACTATCCGTAAACGTTGTGAATGTTGCACAAAATCCAATGGCCTGCCCTTTATGGGGTTCTCTAACCATGTAATGCATGGCATATCCATCGCGTTTCAAGAGAGAACCAAGAGTCGAGCGATTTAGATGGAACTTGGAAGGCAAACATGCTTCCCATAAAGCGTGGGTTTCTGGGAGATCTCTGTCGTAGTCCCATTTCAGGAGCGACCAAGTTGGCGGGGGAGGAGAGTTACTGGTCGTCGGCGTGACCTCTGTTGTCCGTCGTTCACTTGTCAAAAGAACAGCGACGGCTTGTAAGTCTGTCGCAGAGTACCCAGGACACTGAATGATAGTTGGGAAACCATACTCGCGGGCCCCCTTTTCCGAAACTTCACAGCAGGCTACAAGCACTAAAGGGCGTTCTTCACACACCTCACGAGCAACCTCGGCGAGTTCAAGCTGAAATAAACCTTCCTCTGTCGAGAAGCCAGTCAGCACAAAGATAACGACTCGTGCTCTCTTGATGAATGCCACATGAATGCCGGTAATGCCACGCTCCTTAGTATAAGGAACATGCCGGATCCACGGATGTGTGCGCGCAAGTGCTTTACCGAGAGGCTCGAAAGGGTCACTTGCATTGGCAAGACTCTGGTCTAAAGGGACAGCAGCAGGTGTTAATAACAAGACTAAATCCTCATCACCTAGGTTCTTTTGAAGGGGAATCAACTCTTGGTGATCCCATAGTAAAGTAGCCGGTGAGCTCTGGCTTTGTATAGTTGACATGGTTTGCAACTGTGTGTAGTATCGAAACTGACGATACAGTTACATGACTGATTTGGAACCGTCGATGAAGCTACTCGTCTCGGTTAAGTGCGTAGTCTCCACAAGAACCCAACCCCCTTGGGCATAAATCAGCTTCCAGAGAGTCAGAGTATGAAACAATGATGACAAGCGTGGAGAAGAAGGAGGCGACTAATTGTTGAACTTATGAGCGGCTCCGCAGATAGGGATGCCGACGAAGTTGGACTAGCCGAATAGCTCAATGATGAAGGGACTCAGGAGACAAGATGCAAACTCATAATCGAGGCCATCTGGCTGGATAAGAAACTCAAGACAGAGGAGAAGAGGATATGCTTGATAATTTGAATCTGGACGGGTAGGAAAATAAGCAATCCAGCGATCTATAAATGCGGGTTTTGTGACGGCGCCTGGTTTGCTGGGGTCCCGCTACAGTACACCATCCAGACTGCTGGGACTGGGAGGAGGGTTTAAATGAGTGTGGGGTTAGATGGGACGAAGGCTGCGACAGCAATTGGTACTGTACGAGCAATCAGCCGCCTCGAAGCGCCAGGGCTACACAAAGTTCTCGAGATGCCAGGATATGAGGGCATCGGTCAGGGTTGGTTACCTGATCAAAAACATGCGCCTCGGCCAAGGCCGGTTGGAGGTCATGGCGGAGAGAACATCCAATCCGTGTCGATGAGCTCCCAAGGTCGACGAAATGGGATTGCCGAAGGCGAGGATCCGTTATGACGGCGGAAGACGCCTACGAGAGGCTGTCCGATGGTAACACAAAGATGCACGTCGGCAGAACCGGGTGAGCTACTTGCAGCAAAGTAGCATGGATAAACGATAACGCCCCGGCACGCGGTCCAAAGGCACGTTTGCCATGACTCACGACAACAGGTTTGAGAAGAGGAAGGAGAATAAGGAGACTCGGGTGCAGCAAAGAAGTAAAGGCGTATAAGAAGTGTACACAGAGATTGCGTGCCAGTCGTTGGTATACGGCTTGACACAACCATTCCAGCCTGACCCTTGTCTTGTTGACTCCGGAAAAGAGACTGGAAACTATAGGGTGAAGCCACTCTATTCTTATCCGGGCTTATTGGGGACATTCCTAAGCAATGTGGTTTGCTAGGATAGCTAGGATAGGTAGTCGACATGTTGGGTCCGTTAGCTTGATCAGGGAATAACGAGACCACGATGATATGCGGGCGGCTGCAAGACTGTCGCACTAGATAATGTGGCAGTTATCGTATAAGCCAGGGCTGTAGCCTGACCGCCATGGCGGCCATGGAGGCATTGTTTTCTGGTGTCAGCAATGGTTTGGCTGGCCTATTGACAGCCAGTTTAGAGATGCAGGCTATTGGATCGTGCCGTAGTGGTTGCATCGCATCGATGTCAGAGAAAGGATGAGGAAAGACTGGTAAGAAATCGAATGGAGTTGCACAATAACAAGTCAATAAATGAGTAAATAGATATGACCAGATGAAACCCGATCTTTTCTGCCAAGCATCCAGCAATAACCTCGAATGATGAGTTGAAGTCGTGACTTTAATGTCTACATACTCGGCAGGAATCAGAAATATAGACAGTGGCTAAGGGTAATGTTACTGTAGGTTACGGCAGGGACGGGCCGTTATCACCTTCCAATGGTGTAAGCAAGCTTCAAAAATTAGGCAAATCTACCACACGCAGTGTAAACTTAATTTACCTTGCCTGATAGATGATGGTTGTCTGCCACCTCAATGGCTGGAGGTTGGTGTTACCGTGTTACTGCTGCCGCGGCAAATGGGGCTAGGCGAGTCTTCATGTGTGCGGATAGAAACGTGGATATGTCATAGCACTGCGCGCCCAAACGATCAAAATGCATAGCGAAATAAGCTAAAGGAAATACGAAGTGATAGAACAAGTAAATAAATTACCAAGCTATTATACTGAAGTATATACGGATCTGCCATGACAAGTTTCTGGGTACATGTCTATACCAAGGTCGGAAATTGTCATAAGAAACTAGGTGCTGGTGAAGAATGAATATCAGTAGAACCTTGTAAAGGCTGCCGCACCAAGACGTGGCGTTCGAGGACCGTTATAATAAGCACAAAACACACCCCGAGTTAGGAAGGAAAGCTCCTGAAAAACATTGAACGCATTGTTCGAAATTGAGGTTGAAATAAGCTTTGTTCATATGCCTCCATTTGCCCTAACGTCCAACGACTTTGAGGAAGTACCTGGGTTTCCATATACATACTAAATCAACATATCATGCTAATAACTGTGTGGTTTATATATGTACCCAGTACTTAGCAAATCCGATATTTCTTTAAAAAAAACCAGCCAATATCGGGGTTGTTATGCTTCTCTCATCATATCTGCTTAATACTCCGCGGTTGTATATTTCATATCTACGTGGACCGGCGGACCTACAACTTCATGCCCCGCTCCGAACGAAACCCACTCCAACCCCGAAAACCGTAAACGCGTCTCCTTGGCCGACGCGTCTTCCGTTTTCCGGGGCGTCCCACTCATTCACTCCCAACCCAAGGCTGCCGTCCGGCCCCGGAAGACCGCATGTGTGTCTCTTTGCCTGACATCTACTGAGAACCGTAACCCAGAAAATTTGCCAGCATATGGAGACAGATATAGATCCCGCCTCGGCGGGTCACCAGGAGATTCGTCTTCTCGTGGACGAAGTTATTGAATGTGAGACTGCCCAAGCAATGTACAAAGGCTTTGACTTATATTCCGCGTAGCATCCAAAATACCCGCCAAAACACGCGCGACCAACGTCAAACCTGCTGTTGCTAGCCTTACCTCACTATCATACGAATGGGGTCTTTTACCTGGGACCCTTGACGATCTCATCATTCTCGTCACAACTCCAAATCACCTTGACCAAGCGAGCCAAGCTGCTATCATCCGAAACCTGTATCCCGTGGCACCTATCTCTCGAAAATCTGTTCTTCAAGTAATCTCGTGCCTTGGACATGGAGCCCTCAAGCCATCTCTCACTCTCCAGGCCGCTCTTCTCAAGTGGCTCATTACAGTACACCACACTTTGGAGTCACCACAAACGCTTTCTCAAACCTACTCGGTTCTGTTTAATCTCCTCGATACCGCGGCCACTCGGTAAGTTTGCCTTTCTTTGTCGTGAGCAATTCACTAACTCCCGCCAGACCTAACCTCAGCCACCTACTGGCTCTCATTACCAGACGCAAACATGTTCAGCCTTTTAGAATACAAGCCTTGTAAGTATTGCAGTTGAAGACGCCTGGTCATTCGCTCACACATCACAGGCTTAACCTTTCCCGGCAAACTGGAAATGACCCGTCCTTGATCGGTCTTCTAAGAGTTTTCAAAGACTATTACCCCGAGGTTATTGTAGGAGACGCGGTTCGGGGCAAAGCATCCTCCTTCAAGGCTCGTTTCTACATGTCTTTTCACTACTGCTCTTACTGATTATTGGCCAGCACCCTGATCCGCAATGGCGAGCAAGGCTGGACGAAATCCAGGATGCACATCTTCATCAAACAGAAAAAGGGACATTGCGACCTCGAGATGGCTTCCGTGTCCATCGCCCTATCGCCCGTAGTACTAGAAACAGAATTATCCCTGTAGTCCACACGTCATATGTGGCAGAGGTTCGTTTGCAGCAACGTGCCGAGTGAGTAATACTAACATTGCTAGAATGCGGTTACATTAGAGGAAATCGAGAATGTTGCCAGTTTTGTCAAGAATCTTGACAAGCTCGAACTCCCCAATCAACTAGTGGCTGTTCTGGCAGATCCTTTGCTGCAAAAGCTCATGCTTCTGAGACCAGACGGCGAATCTGAACAGAGACTAGCCAACTGGCTCAATGGGGCTCTGCAAGATGTTCGTGATGGCGATGCAGATGAAAACACCTTCTTCGACATGCTGGACATCCTACGGGAATATGTTGTTTCTATCAAGGTATGTTTCTTGTTGACTTGGCTGAGGGTAAATCTGACCAGGGCCAGAACCTTCCTCCTCTCCTACTCGACTTCTTTGCACGCTTTCTTCCGCTTTGGGATGGCTCTGGACGCCGCGATGCCATGTTTGAGATCTTGTCTCACTCCCCATTACTGGACTTCAAAGGTCAGTTCAAGCTGCTCCAGACTACCTCGCCACGCTAAAACTCTCCAGGGCTATACAAACATATATTCCAACCCCTTGAGGCTGCAACTCTTGATAATACCCCAGAATCTCTGCTAGCGCTTCTCGCCCTGTACAAGAACCTTCTTCACCACTGGACAATTGTGCTTGAATCCAGTGACACGGTACCAGACCACGCCAGTGGTACTATCACAGCCTTGGTCCGACACGTTAATCCACTGGCCCTCACACTCTGCCAAACATGTCCTTCTGTCTCATCACGTTCTGCAATTCTTGACTTCTATGAGCAAAACGCCAGGCTCGTTAGCCATCAAGTCCTCAAGCACTACATTTGCATCGAACTACCCCCTTCATCCCTTATTTACATACTCTTCTTCAGCAGTTCTGTGGCCATTGTCTCACGTATGTGTGCCATTCTTGCCTTTTACAAGAAGGGTTTCGAGATGGCCATGCTCACCAGGCCGGGTCGTGAGAAAAGCAACCGCATTGACTCCACATCATATAACAGGACTTTTGTCAGCCTTTTCAATGGCTACCTTATGGATATGTGCAATTGCTTTTGGCGTGGCAGGGCTTTCACTAACAGTGACCCCAACGCACTTGGATGTATGATTCCGGGGAGCCTCGTGCCTGTTCTGTCTTCGTACGTGACTTCTGTGGACAAGGCTCATACTCTAGCATCTCTCTTCTCATTGTCACACTCGCCACTCCTGAGCTTGCAAAGCAGACGATGTATTAGAAGTCTTGAGAATGCCGAAATCGATAGCGATTCGTCTTTGCGCATCAGGCATGAGGGACCGCCGACACAGAGTAGCCTTGGGCAATTGGCAAGTTCCGGGGGTTTACGCATCTCGTGGCAGGATTACAGGATCAAGGTGCTCGAGGCACTGACTGCTAGAGAACTCGGGGGCATTACAGATCTTTTGAAGAACACAATGACAGTTCTGAGGAAATTAATAGACGGCGAGGGCAGCTCCAGGCCAACCACGTCGCAGTCATTTCAATGAATGATGATGAGTAAATGAATATCTTGTCCTTTGTACCATATGTTAAATTATGATCAGACTGGTCTAGTTGGGTCAAAAAAAGTCCGCGCTCTTGGTTGAAATTTACTGTACTAAGCACTCCCAGTGCCATACCGTTCCGTCGTCATGCATCAAGTGTTGAAAAGAACAAACGCCGCAGAATACAGGGTTGAGAACTGTTTCCCTTTGAGCCGAACGCCATGCATGCGTGACCAATGCCACCAAATTCTCCCCCTATTGCGACCCTACGCCGAGAAATGCAGTTGAGTGCTATCCGTCTTTCCGAACTCCAACCAGAAAACAAATGAAACTCGGGGCGATTGTTAAGAATGCCCTGACATAAGATCTCCGCAAGAAATAGCTTATGCTTCGCGCTGCTTAGACTCGTCGCCATAGCCACCGATCTGGATGCCTCCAAAGCCATAGGTCTTGCCTTCAGGGCCACGTTTCATGTTGCTCCGTGGCCCTCGCTCCTTCAAGTCCTCTCGAAGCCAGCTCAGGACGAGCTCTCCGAGACGGCTATTGCCAGAGGCACCCACAGTACCATCGATGGTGGCGAGCATCTTGTCAGCCTCGTCCCACTCCTTGACAGTACCAAGGTGCATATGGGCAAGATGAGTAGGCCAACCAGCGAGGTTATCCAAAATATGAGTAGCGTAGACGATGGTACATTCCCGAATCTCCGTCTCACGCTTGAGCCAGGCCAGAAACTCAGCACGGCTCAGAACGTCGAGATCGACAGTGATTTCATCGAGGAGTAGAACCGTCCAAGGTCTCAGTAGACCCATGGCAAGCTGGACTCGACGACGCTCACCATCTGAAACAGCATGCATACGCCAATTGGTGTCGACATCAAGCATTGCGACGAGCTCGTCTCGTCGATCAGGGTATGCATCGCCACCAACAGAGCGAAGCAACTCATTGACGCCGATGTCGGTTCGAACAATGGGGTTGAGAACCCATTCCAGACCAAGATAAGTGACCCCCTCAAGACCCTCTTTGAAAGGATCTACACCGCAAATAGAGATGGTGTCACTGGGCGCAAGACGTTTGCCGGCAAGAAGACGAAGCAGAGTTGTCTTACCGGCTCCATTAGCACCGATCAGAAGGGTACGAGACCGCGGAGGAAGATCCAAAGTGATGTTGTTGACACCAGTCGAGTAGTCGGGAAAAGTGTATGAGAGGTTGTTGACTTCAACACGGGGAGGCTTAGGAGGTGTCATGGTGAGTTCAACAAGTGGTGACGTCTCGAATGAGAGGACAAGAGGGAAAGAAGGATGGTCAAATTGAGAGGTCAGGACAATGGGAAGAGGATTGAAAGGATCTCTGGAACATAAACTTGCGAGGATATGATATTTATATAATCAGATAGTGCGTGTCATGACAATGGCGAGTCAGAGATTTCTGTTCCCCCTCCAAATTAGGTACAATACGAAGATTGGTTACCTCAGCCGGTGACAGGCGGGATCCGTTGGACATGAGGATTCCTGCCTGCCGTCCTGAACCCCGCCATCTTTTACGGTCGCACTCCACTATCGTTATCGTTTCCAGTTAGCGAACCCTCCGCCTGAGATCCAGCACGTCATGACACCTGAGACCCAGCGAGCTCCTTATTAGTGGAATGCCTGCCCACTAATGGGCGCTATCAGTCCCCTTATCCGTTGCCTAGCCACTTTACGCCAATTCGCGTCTAATCGCGGACCAAGCTTCTTCACGCGTTTTCATTCTGCAGCTGGAAGCTTCAGTTTAACTGTTTGTCAAGTCAATTACACGACTACGATACATGACAAAGCTTGTCACTACCTGAAACTTCCGGGACTTCCTTCAGCCGCTTCATTTGTACCGTCAACCTGCAAATACCCCCATTTCGGGGACACTCAACATGGTGACCCTCGAAGATGTCGAAGGGAGCCTCTTGCGAAAGCCCTCGTAAGCTGTGTTTTGACACTTATTCAAACAAGCACTGGACTGACTCGAATCCCTCAGCGAAACTTCTCACCAAGTCCCTTCTCGGAGCGCCTCCGTTTACAAGCCCCTACAATCCTTTGTCCTCGACAAGCAACGCTCTTACCAGCAGCAGTATGGCGATATGTACTTTTTGCGCCTCACCAAGATAAAACCAGCTGTCGATAAAGTAGCCGCAGAGGCTTGGACAGGTACAAAGATTGGTGAAGAGGAAGCACAGAGAGTTGAACGAGTGCTTGATGTCCGGCAGGGAGAGCTGTGCTGGGTAACTGGCACCGTATACATGGAGATGCCACTGAAGCCGAATATTCTGGAGGACGTGTCCAAGGATGTATGCCATATTAGTTGCCGACCGACTGTGAAATGGAATGCTAATACGTCCGTAGCGTTGGATCTCCGCCCCTATTCTGACACCGAAATATTTCTCCAAGGACGACCAGGTCATGTTGGAGGACGAGTCAGGCCGCATCAGGCTGGTTGGCGATGTGCTGAAGACCGTAAACTTGGTCACAGGATGTATTATCGGGGTCATGGGTACTGAAAACGCCAACGGCGAATTAGAGGTCATTGACATCAAATTCCCTGACCTTCCTCCGCAACCTGAACGTTGGAGCCTTTCGAAGCCCAATTCAGAGAAGGCCAAGACAAAAGACGAAGATGAGGATATGGCTGATGCTTCTGAAGCCAAGAAGGGCAACAGCAAGATTGCTATTGTGTCTGGCTTGTCTTTCTCAGGCACCGATGCTTCTCACGCGCTTGAGCTTGAACTCCTTTCCGAGTACTTGCTCGGTGAAGCTCTGACCCCTTTAAGCCAGATCGATGTCTCTCATATTAGCCGCCTTGTCATAGCAGGAAACTCTATCTCGACAACAGACCGCAAACCTCCCGCTGCAGACGAGGTGCTCCCAGAAAAGAAAGCCCAGAAGAAGTACGGCTACGACGCCAGCGCCTACAACCCACTCCCCTCTCAACTCTTCGATGCGTTCATTGCCGAACTTCTCCCATCCATTCCTATCACGATGCTCCCTGGTGCTCAGGATCCAGCGAACGCTAGTTACCCGCAGCAACCCGTGCATCCAGCAATGTTCCCTTCGGCACGAGCGTATGCCCGTGACCCAACAGCTCCAGCCACCCAACCAGGCTGGTTTGACACTGTCACAAACCCGTGGGAAGCGGAGCTCGAAGGATGGAGGTTTCTTGGTACTGGTGGCCAAAATGTCGACGATGTTTTCAAGTACGTCGGCAGCGATGATCGTCTTGGCATGATGGAAGCTATGTGTCGATGGCGTTGCTGTGCCCCGACTGCACCCGATACGCTATGTGAGTACATGACGACCCAAGTTTTGATGTCTCGAAGCTAAAACATTGCGTAGGGAGCTACCCGTTCCAGGATGATGACCCTTTTGTGATGCAGACTTGCCCTCACCTCTATTTCGTCGGCAACCAGCCACATTTCTCTACCAAGGTTATCCACGGACCTGAGGGTCAGTCAGTGAGACTTGTGACCGTACCGAGTTTTGCAGAAACAAAGGAGCTGGTTTTGATCGATACAGAAACACTTGAGGTGGAGAGGGTCAAGATATCTACAACATAATGCGATCATAGGATGGGCATGGTGTATAGAATAGGTATGGCGAGATACCCCGAACCGTAGTTGATTAAGCACGCTAAGCTACCTGTTTGAGCAAGTTGATCGATTATCCACCCGTCCACTTCTTAGTAGAGCATTCGCCTCGCCTTGCCCTTTGCTTGCTGCTTCCACTAAGCCACGCATCAATCTTCTATCAATCATAGAAATCCGTCTTAAGCCTCATAGTCCGACTCGTTGTCACTCGGCTGCACAAAATCCTGGTCCTCTTCCTCGCTCTCCTCCTACTCATCGTGTTCGTAGATGTACCAATCGTCTTCATCGTCGTCAGTCGCTCCAGGTGGAGCACCGCCGGTGTTGCTCTGCTTGTCATCGTCGTCCTGGGCGCACTTCTCGCAAGCCTGGAGAATGAATTTGCTGAGTTGAGCCATTTTCTGGTGGATCCAACAAAGCTTGTTGAAGCGGAAGTTCTTCATCTTAGCATCCGTCCTGAAAAGATCACTACTCAGGCCTTTGACGTCTCTGTCATCGCCTTCATCCTTTCTTTTGTCCTCACGCTCCTGCAACGCGAGTTGTCTGTAAAATCGCAGTTGGTGGGCACGAAGAATGAGATCAGTTGAGGAGGGCCAAGCACCATTGTTGAGAAGCTTGTTCAAGATCTGAACATGTATGATCTCACAAGGTAGCGACTTCAATGCTACCATCAACTCCGAAGCTGGCTCGAAAAAATCGACAAAGGTGAACTTGCCGTGTTTGAAACTTGGGCTGATGATGATCTTGAGCGTGTGGATGTTGGCATTATAAGGGGTTTTGGCAAACATCTTAATGGCATCGACCATGAATTCCTTCGTGCTCGGAGTGGAGCGACTGGAATCGGCCTTGACCGTGATGAAGCGAAAGTACTGCGCGTATTTGGCAGTATCGATAGTCCCAGGCTCATGGATTGGTAGTGCCAGAGGGTCGGTGTCTCTGTTGGCGATGTTTTCCTGGTCTCTCATGCCAGGCTCAGGGACATATATGTCGTCATTGACTAGGTCCTGGATGTTGGCCACCTCGTGATATTGAGTAGGCGCATCCCGAAGAAGGTAGAGAAAGGTATTTTCGCCGTACATGACGCCTCTCGCTTCAACAAAGACTTTCTTGCTCACCATGAGGATGCTGATGTCAAGGCCAGGTTTCTCTCGCTGGTACACACGCCTCCAGCTGCTGTAAACAGGAATAGGCTTGTTCGACACAAGGAGACCTCGATAGATTTGTTCACGAACCTCGGCAGGAAGACCCATGAAGCTGAGACGTCTGGGACTTTTGACCTTGATCCTGATAGGGAGTCTAGGTCGAGGCTCTGGAGCCGGGGAATTGCGGAGAACCCCGCGGCGACCTCGTTGAGTACGGTTTTGATAACGGGCAGGAGTGGGATTAACGTTTTTTGTCAGCACCGCCAGAGCCCTACCTCGACGCGAACCTGGATCCCTTTGGTAGGCATTGGGGATAGAGGGAGGGGGCGCCGTCTCATCCTCGTCGAACGACTCTTCTTCAGGAGTTGTCTCGCGTGGTCCCCAGACGAATTGACTCGCGGGAATTCCAAACTCCTTAGTGAAATCTTTCAAGAGCGGCGCTTCGATGATCATCTTGTTGTTGTTGGATGCTTTAACTATCTGTGAGTCTTTGTCGGGTTGAGGCTTATAACGCTTCTTGGGGGGTTCATTGTTGGCGGCCATTGGGCTTCTCTTGTTTCCGATTGAAACAGCTGATTCGCTCCAGGAAGATGGGCTACCTGGTGCGGACGGGCTACTCGAAGAAGATGAACTGCTTGGGGAGGATGAGCAGGACGTAGATCGAATGACCTGGCCAACTTGAGCCCTGGTCATCGTCTTCTGCTTGACATTGCATGTGGGCGCCATGGTGTGCAATCGAGGTGCAGAATCTTGAAAGAGGTGGATAGCTTTGAGTGAGGGTGAGGAGGAAATGAAATGAGTAATGTTGGGTAGAGAAGCAGTGGTGTTGTGGGTAAGATGTGAAGAGATGAATGTGGAGGAAAGGAAGAGGGATCTTTTATAATGAGAAAAGGGGCCAGTGATTCACTGCTGCATTTCAACGAGCACTGGATGAAGAGGCGCTGAATTTCATAAGTTATGCAACTCATCATACAATTTCAGCTATTTCCCTTGCTACAATGTTCTTCGGTTGTTCCAATTCAGCTGGGTCTGCCCCTTCTCATGTTGACGACACAGGAAGAGTACAGATAGGCTATATCGCTACGTTCAGGCATGAAGTCGACTTCAAAACCAGGCTTTGTCAAACGTTCGGCAGAAAAGATAGCGGCCACGGGATTAAAGCAACTGACACCGAGAGAGATTGGGCGCAACATAGTCGCGACTGGGTGCCAGTCTAACCACTACCAAACGTAAAGAGCATAACAGGCGAATCCTGACAGAAGGCTAGATATAAGATAAGCACGACAAGTTAGAAGAGATGAAGGACATATTGCGAGCTAGGCATCTCAAAGGCATGACACCGGATCAGCATGTAATGACAGGATCAAGTGATTTGCCATGTCAGGGAGAAGTAACAGAACCATCAAACGAACTTTACACCAAATGAGTTACAGAAGTCCAAGAGACGACACCGAGGCCATTATGGAGTGTATCAAGGCTGTGGACGACATAATCACCGACAGAGAGCTTTAGCAAGTGTTGGGAGACCAAGGTGTTAACCTCCAGCTCACGCCCACTGAGTTAAACAGCCCAAGTTTTCCACAGCATGTGTCTGCCGGGTTCTCCTGCTGAAGGTGTGCTCGGGAGATACGTCGCCGTGCATGGACGTAATCGTTCGACAGAAACCAGGGCCTCATGGACGCTTGAAGAGCCTGACTCGGTGGTCACATTTATGATATCCTTGAAAGGAATTGTGAGAAGACATGTTTATAAGGTATTTGCGAACAGTGTATCGATGATCACCTACCAGTCACTTGCTCCAACTGTGGGCGAAAAGACGAACAATTATGATTACAACACCTGGCTAGATATAGTTGCGATGAAAGTTGCAAGAGGATGTATACGAAAGTCATCTATCCAAAATTAACATATGGAGGCCAAGTGATAAGAGAAATGTCAAAAGTCTTGGAGCATGGCTACCGGTCGTCTTACGGTATGCGTCTTTAAGCTCAGCGCCCATGATAGATACTTCTTGTCGGTGTGCAGAGTGATCTCGTCAGTTGATTATCAAGACTAGCTGACATTGGGTGTTTTCAAATGATTGCTTCAGTACAAAAATGTCAGCGCATTCTTACAGCAAACGCAGGTTTCAAAGTCTAACGTTTCTGTTTCCATATTGCGTCGAATAAATTACGTATGAATGAATCTTCCTAAAAGTCAATAATGTTGCGTAAACTATAGCCAACGATTCGAAGTTATCAGGGTCAACGGCTGTTGAACTCTTCTTTGCATTTCTCTACACGTGCCTGATGTGAGGCGACAGCATCGCCTTTGGCATGTCTGTCGCTCATCGTATGAACTAATGTGTCAAGCCAGTCAGATGGTTGTAACCCGTTTTCATACTTGTAGATATTCTAGGGTCATATCACATTGGTTAAAGGGGAAGTAAACTCCCTCGTTCATCTGACTCAGACAGTCAAAGGCCAGAACCATTTCGAAGGCTTGAGATGCATTTGTCACTGTATTTGCGCCTTTCGTTTGGCAAGTGGATACAGTCTAGGGAAATATTTGGGGATCTATGTCAAACTCCGCAGTGCGCTAAAAACAGAAATTCAATAAGACAGACTCTCGGCGGCGTTCTACGGAGTCTTTGTGGTTCTTAGTTGGCAACTAGGCATCTATAAAAATCAGTATAGCCTTTTTCTGCTGACTCTTTATCTCTTCATGTTCACGAAATTCTGATCATAACACACTGTTCCCCCGAGTCGCCTCTCCTTCCAACCTTAATCGATCATTGGGGTCAAAGTGGCAATAGGATAGCATCTCAAACTTTCAGCAAAGGCGATTAACCCAATTGTCATCATGGGCTCCCTCGGCTCCGATGCAAAGCTACCATGGATCCGGACACCATGTCTCTTGAATCCTCAACTGTCCCGCGTGGCAGGCTGGTGAGCTTCACCGTCACGACACAGATCAAATCAACTGACATCATCTGAGCAATGTGTACCTTAAGCTTGAGAATCTTCAACCCTCAGGCTCTTTCAAGTCCCGCGGCATTGGCAACCTTATGACCCAGGCGGCGGCGGCTGCCACAGGCCCGGTCCACTTCTACTGCTCCTCTGGCGGCAACGCTGGTCTGGCATGTGCAACTTCTGCCCTCTCTCTGGGCCAAAAGGCGACTATCGTAATTCCTACCATCATTACTGAGCTCATGAAGGGCAAGCTTCTCGACCTTGGGGTGGAAGTACACCAAGAAGGCAGGAATTGGGCCGAGTGTGACAAGTATATGCGTGAGGAGCTATTGGCAAATGATCCCACGGGCATATATGTCCCGCCTTTCGACGACCCTCGGGTTTGGGATGGTGCAGCAACTATGGTTGATGAGATCCGAGATCAACTTGAAGAGCCCATCGAAGCCATTGTCTGTAGTGTCGGAGGCGGTGGTTTGATCAATGGCCTGATGCAAGGCGTTGAGGGCCGTCCTTGGCAAGATAAGAAACCAGCTGTCGTGGCCGTCGAAACGAAGGGAGCAGACAGTCTCAATGCAAGTGTCCTTGCTAAAGAACACGTAACACTCCCTGAGATGACCTCGATCGCAACGTCTCTGGGCGCCACTAGAGTGTCAGAGCAGACTTGGAAATGGAGCCAGAATTCTCCAGAGACTATGAAGAGCCTCGTTGTGTCTGATGCCGATGCTGCCATTAGTGCCGTGCGCTTCGCTGACGATGGGCGGCATTTGGTTGAAGTCGCGTGCGGTGCTGCGCTGGCCCCCGCTTATCGTGGGGATCTGAGAAGAGTGCTTGGACAGGGCATGTCCGACGAGGAATGGGGTAAGAAGAATGTGGTGATCGTGCTTTGTGGTGGCTCGAATGTTACTCTGGGGATGCTCAATGAATATCGGGATAAATATCGAGGGGAATCCTCGATCAAGATCTGAGAGAGTCCATAGAACATACACATATACACGTAGAAAGGGGAGTAAACAAATAGCCGGTTGATTGTCAGCACTTTTCTCACAAGCTGCGTATCGTTAACCGTAATCTCTGGCTCGCCAGTCAAGTCCCTTTTGTTGCGCCAAACTCCCAGATGCCCTCCCACAAGTCTAACGTTTGCTCGCACCCCCTCTACTCTTTGCAGTTCCCTTCTCTGCCTTGGCCTGGTCAACAAACTCTTTCATGATCTGATGTAGATCGGGATTCTTCCTGGCGAGAAGTAACACATCGTCTGTTGTCACTGTGGACCGTCCAGCGTGGTTGCTGAAACTCTCCAGATCTGTGGCAACGTTTTCTGTTTTACAGTTAGCACCCTTTCCCGATACTAAAGTGGGAATGGCGATTGTTGTTTACCGACTTGTGTCCAGACTAGCTCTGTGAGTGCGCCGATGAACTGTGGTGTGGCATTTCGGTTACGACGTAGAGACTCCTCATCAACTATTTGGCCAACTGCGTACCACAAGGCAGCCTTGAGGCGCTACATTCAATTGATTAGCTAATGGTGCAACATTGTCAGAAATGAAGCAAAAGTTTCCTACCTCTCGATCTTCGTCACTGGTTGTGTCTGCCATCTCGATTTTCTTTTGTCGGAACAATGTCACTTCAGTTGTTAGATGAAAGATAGCCTACCATTGAACGTGTTTAGACGCGTCGTGGGGTGGTGGCATGTTGCACCACACGGCGGGGTACGAGGCGAACGACCGTAGAACTTCACTCACAATTAGATAGTAGGTACAGAGGAAACTCTCCGCCTGAAATAACAAATTCGAATTGAGAGACGAGAAAAGTAATTTATTATTATGGAGCTGATGGTGATGTATTTGGGATGACCACATATACTCTGTATACGATTCGCTAGACAAAGCATATAATAGATACTTGGTGATGCTTCTTGAATGCCAATGCCATGAAAAAGAAACAATGCCGGCTTGCTTGTAAGGGTGTCTTCTCTGCCTACTAAGCTTCCTAGTTAACCACCTAGGGATACCAGGTTCCCGTGGCAATGAAGCTGTAAAGCAAATCAAGGTCGTTGAAGAAAGAATATGGCTAATGCAGGGACATCCAGATCCCTTTCGAACCTTTGCTAGACGGCGTACCCTTGTCACGAGGTTCGGAACTTGGGCAGTTCTTAATCAACCTTTCGGCAGTTCTTGACCCCCCCTGTCCATCTCTTCTTGTTCAGTTCTGGGTTAACAGGTAAAACTTCCAGTTGAGTTGATCTCCCGGTCTCAGTCGTCATTGGCGTTGAAGTTTTTTCAAGGTTGACATCATCAGAAACCTGAGACTGATGATCGACAATAGGTAGTCTGCTCCACCGAATATGGGTGAAGACTATACCGGTATGTATATTATCTAGCTTCCCATTTTCGCGCAATAATTGAGGTAAACGTTTGTTCGCTTGGAAGATCTAATTTTATTCTTCCTCCCGTTTAAGAATGGCTCTATTGGATACTGAGGTAGGTAGATGATTAAGAAGCGCTCCCCAATTCCAACCCATCCAAGCCACACCGCGCCAGCGTCTCCACTAACGAAACAAAGGCTGTGCACCTCCTCCATCCAATCACAGACATATAAGCCACACACCCAACGTCGTCATCACCAGATTCGGCCGCTTCAGCATCGCCACTCTGAATGCGATCAACAGAAACTCGGCCACTTCCACACAATCAGATGCTTTGCAATGGCGCTGGGAGGGATCCCAGCTACGTAATAATGGATGTCTTGCGCAAGCTTAGTGCCCATACACCAGAAGCCACTTAAACCCCGAATTCCTCACCCAGTTTACCTATCCCCTCCATGAACCTTAATTCTCACATCTTCGTTATTTTCTTGACAATATTCGTATAAACCTAAGTAACCATGGGTGCAAAATCAGGAACCGCGCTCAAGTTCCTTCAATGGTTCATTCGTGGCATTCAATTTGCCTGTGCAGCCCTCATCCTTGCCATTTACTCCTACTTCTTAGCCACGCTCCATAACCACAACCTTCACATCAGCGATACCATCCGCGCTGTGGAGGGTATCTCTGGTGTAGCTGTTCTTTACACTGCTGCAGCTCTGGTGCTTGTCTGCTGCCTCGCTGGTCGTACACTTTCTTCTCTCCTCGCGATTATCTTGGATGTCGCCTTCATTGGTGCATTTATTTATGTTGCTGTTGCCAACAAGGGTGGTGCCAGCAGCTGCACTGGCTATCTCGACACTCCCTTTGGTAAAGGAAAAGCTGGAAACACTGCTGAGGGAAGTGATGGATTCACTGCTTTGCCAAGTTACCGCACGGCTTGCAAGCTCCAGTCTGCTTGTCTAGCTGTTTCCATCATCGCCATGTAAGTCACAAATCTAGACTGATACATACCGCAATTGACATTTCAACAGTATCTTCTTCATATTCTCCATTGTGATCGAGGTTGCCCTTGCTCGCCACCACCGCAAGGAGAAGCGCTTCGGCCCCAGTCCTGCTAACGATTACACCTCGGGTTATGGTGCCAAGGGTGGTTTTCTGGGCCGTCTTTTCCGTCGTCGCAAGACTGCTGCCGCCGAAGAAGGTCATGACTTGCCGGAGCATACTCATCCTGATCAGCTCGATACATATCGTCAGAGCCATACCACAGATCGCACCGCCGTCAACAACTACCCTGACAATACCTACAACAAGTACGATAACACCGGCTTCAGTTATCAAGACACCAAGTATGGGCGCCAGGACGGTTATGGTCAGATTCACTACCCTGAGCCTGAGTATGGTGTCACTCAACCGCCCGCTCGTCAGACCGAGAATCCAAACTATCGCTACGAAGACGGTGTCTATGATCGCAATTAAAATAGAACGAAAGAAACTGGAAATCTGAATTGAAAAACTGCACAGAATGATGCCCCGAATGTTGCTCCCAGCAAAATCAACAGGTTGCTCATGAATATTCACATTATGTTAGATAATAGGGCTTGGTTAGCCTGCTTAATGATTAATCATATGTATTTTGATCTTCTCAAAGCCGTGATAATAGTGATGAGCCGTTTTTTTCACTGATGAACGTCCAATTCAAAGCTTCTGTTCACATTTTCTTTTTACCTTAAACTATCTCTTAGTTTAATTTTTCTCCGGGGTCTTTTGTCGCTTGAACACTTTATACCCATCTGACGGGCTGATCTCTTCGCTTTAATCTCTTCCATCTCCATATCATCGCAGAGCCAGGCTTGAATAGGTATCAAAGAGGTTGAACAGTTACATTCCATGCCAAAAAGCTGATGTAACGGGAAACCCACAATCTTCGAGTCTTCACGGAAAGTAAACAAACAACTTGCTGTTTGCCATCGCCATATCAATCAAAAGCGCCCAAGCAAGAACCCTTTTATGTAACAAGCTTACCAGACCTCACCCGGCTCTAGTTCGCTCATGCCATCGTCACCTCCCCCATCTGTCCAATTCAACTCCAGCTTCTCAAGTTCCCTGGAGAAAAAGTCCTGCTCGTCTCGCATGGCAGCTCTAATGTCTGGTGCGATCTTGTCTGGGTACCGGCGAAGGTTAAGCCAGTGTGTTAGGCTGCGCAATGCTTGTTCTAGGGGAAGCGCTGCGTCTACTTCGGCATCCACGTCACTTCCCGCAAGCCATTCGTCCTTCAGCTCCGGTCGACAGTGCAGATATATCGCCGTGATCACCCGCATATTGCTCTGGCGCCACTTACGGCCGCAGTAGGGAACCTGGTTCTTGAACAACTTAAGCGTGTAAAGGCGTAGTTCTGGTTGAGGTACTTTGAGAGACTTCCTAAGGATTGTTGACGACTTGTATTGGACAAGCAGCAAGTTTCGGTGTGCTTTGTTTTTGCAAATCTTTTGCATCACTCTCAAGTAATTAATGAGGGAGAAGAAGTTGCGGCGCGAGAAGTCTGTGATAGGCTCTGTCGGTTGTTGATTGAGGGGATAGCCAAGCTCGTCTACCTCGGGTCTCGTTGAAGTAGCGTGGTCATCACTGTTGGAATCTGTGTCATCGTCGTTTTGCGCAGTTGGCGATCGTCTTCTCCTGATTGGCGGGGGGGCAGCTTCGTCTTCACTCTCTTCTATCTCTTCGTCATCCCCTTCATCTTCCTGCACCGAGTCTGCAGCTGCCTTATCTCTAGATTGCGACAACAGGCTACAGAAATGGAAGAAACTAGGAATATTAGCAGACTGGTTCTAAACTCCCAAGCATTACCCCATACCTATTTTCAGCGCGGTCCATTTTGCTATCGACCACTTGCTGAACATCTTGATGAGCAAAGAGCTTGAGGACGAGAGGGACGTAGTTAGAGTCCAATAGAAGTTGCGTCATATACTCGAATTTGAGAACATCTATTTAATGTCAGCAAAGAAGCCAATCGAATAAACTCTGTCAACATACGAGAAACTCTCAGCCATTTCAACAGGAGTATGAGAATCCCAGTCATGGCTTTCGATGTAATTTCCCGAGTCCTGGCGGCGTCAACTTCTTCTAGTGATAATTCAGGTGTCGGTGGTTTGGGGAGGTTCTGTCCTGGCAACTCCTGCTGCTGTCTATTCGCCGAAGGACCGCCGTTCATGCCAGGATTGTTACCTCTACCCATTCCTGGAGGTGCTTGTTGAGGTTGCTGTGCGACGATTGCTGTCACGTTAAGAAGAATCGGCCGCAGCAGGACTATCACAAGCGATTGGAGGTGAGGCAGAGCATCACGCTAAACGTCGTTAGCATCTTTCTCATTTCCATGATTCGTGTTTACCACCCACATAGAACTTTTCAACAGCAGCAAGGCGTTGCTTGTCTCGTTCAGACAACAGCTCTGGTCGAGGACCATAGTCAATCTCCGGTTCAGGAGCGATGGGATGCTTTCTCTTCTCCTCTGCTTTTGTCTGCGCTTTTACCGCCTTCAGAATTTCTTGCTCTTCTGCCGAAAGCTCATTAAGGTCTAGACCCTCGATCTCATCGTCATCATCATTGTGGTCACTATTATAGCCGCGCTCAAACTTGAGAAATCGCTCACGCTCTTCCCAGAGCTGGCGAGTCGCTCGCGTCATCCTGACTCGTTTTGAGAATAACTCTCCAGCTTCAAGGATGGAAGCGGGAATATCGCTTCCTTCCCACTTTCGGCCTACCAGAGTATGTTGGAGACCAGAAGGGCCTTTCCCGCCAGCAAAGTTGCTCGACGCATCTAAGGGAGGGTACATGAAAGGGAAGTTCTGGTTTGTTTGATAGTTCTGTTTCTTGCCTCCCTTTCCGTTTACTGCTGGAGAAGGGGGTGGCGACGGCGCTGGGGTTGCAATGTGTACTGGTTGGTCAAGAATCGAGGTTCCTCCACTGTGAACCTGGGGTGGCGCGGGAATGATACCGTTAGCACCGTTATTCCTGGAAACTTGACTCGAGAGAGGGGGTAATAAAGAGGTGTTGTCTGCTTCAAGTGGAATGGCTGGTCGCGGAGGTACATATGCTGGGTATTTTGATGTTATCTCTTGCCGGAAAACGTGATAGTCTAAGGGTGAAGCAGTGATGGTCTTCTTATCAGCTGCTTTGTCTCCCATCTCATTAGTAGCGTCTTTGATAGCTTCGAGCTCTTTAGTTCCACCAAAAACAAGTAGAATTGATTTCCAAAACAGTAGGAGTATCTGTTGAAGAATGAGCATGACGGCGTGAAACACGACTGCTCAGCATACCTGAGTTTGGGGCATGGCATTTTGCTCATCCCATCGTAATTTCGAAGTTGCTGTAAACATGTAATCGACCATTGAGGGGTTGAGTTCCACTATTCCTATCAGTCAAGGCCAGATACAAGACGAAGAACAAACTTACAGAGCTTTCTGTATGTAGAGGACATGTCTTCTGGGTCGTTGAGAGTTTCCTGTACTGCAACGTACATGATGGTCATGAGATTCATCAACTCATCCTGAGCTTCTTGGGCGCTGTTATGCTGCCCGAGAGGTTCCCCTGACCTGGAATCTATACTTAGTATCAAGCTGCAAAAGGCACGTCAGGCTATACTCACCATTGTACTTCGAAGTTATTCCGCAGGGCTTCCCATATCACGGGCAGCCCTTCCAAAGAGCTAAGACACTCGACTCCAGCCTTGATAGCCTGTAGCTGCGGAATACTCGCGACAGATCGGCTGTCCCCTGGTGTCGCATTCGGCATGGCAGTATCATTCCAACGGCCCAAAACCAGATACACCAGCTTCCCAATAGAAGCTGACCGTAATGCTGCATCATTGGACTGCACACCCGCTATAGCGGTTTGGACAAATCGTGCCCGAGTATCGTTATCTGCATCATCCCATGAGTCCTGAGATCTCGATTCATGCTGCCAGTGCCACTTAAAAGCTCTCTGTGCAGCACTGAGCCTAACCCACTGTGGTACCTGATAGTTGAACCACTCGTCTATCTCTTCGGCATGCGGACCCATGTCGGTGTACTCAAAATCATAGGCGACGGGATCGGCGCGATTGAACTCCGCTACTATATGGCGCAATTGCTGGAGAGAGAGCGAGTCGGTCCCCGAAGGTTGGTCATTTGAAGGAGGAGGCGCCATAGGCGCGGCTGGAGGGGCGCCTTGTAGAGTGTTTCGCTCGAGGGGAGGCCGTGCTGCTGTAGGCGGCGCAGGAACCGGTGGAAGATCGGGTTGTTCGGCCTCGCCGGCGAGGTCAGCGATTTCGCCTGTGTCAGTTACATCTTCTATCGGAGTAACAGGTTGCGCATCGTCTTGAGAGACCCTTGGAGGCCAGACGTTGCTCATGGTGTTGGTCGGTTGCTCGTGAGGTTGATCTAAACAAATGCCCCGCCAAAGTCGATGTTTTTTTTTGTTTCGGTGCTTAAGCCATAGTGGAATTACTGCTTGATGAAGTGTTGGTTACAAAAAACAAGCATGTGACTTTTGTCTCAACCGATGCTTTGAAGAGGCCGAAATGTATGACTATGTTGAGTGATAATGGTTGTAGACGTGGCCTGGTTGAGTTAATGGAGGAGGAGGGCACCCGACACCTCAGCCTTGGGAATTGGTAACGCCCGCCGAATATAATTGGCGGATGCTCTACCGATGCAGGTCCTGGCAGGCGCAACTAAGGGTCCCATCCTCTTCAACTTACCATCATAATTGCCGTGGTCATTAAATACTATGACAGCAACTACATATAAGACAAATAATTTAAGAAAAGCTTAGGTTTAACTGCATTTAATATTTTTAAGCTTACTACGTAACTATCCCTTATAGGTTTTTTTTAAACTTAAAAGGAATATAATATATATAGTTATATAAATATTACTTAAAATAAAAAATATCTATTAAAGTATTTAAATACTACTATTTTAAAAACTTAAACAGTGTATTAGATAATACTTCTCTTTATCTATAAGGGTCTCTAAATAAAATTAATAGAATATTGAGCATTAAGACTTGCAGGAAATTCCAGCTCACTCAGAACCTGATGAATCTGCATGAGAGCCATTATCCCCATCTCCTTCTTTCAATACTTGTTTCTGTCCTTTTGCCTTTGCCCTTTTTCGTAGCTTCTTTAGGCGATTCATTCTCTTCTTCTTGTCTTTTACATGCTCCTCTTTCTCGGCCATTTTCTTGACTTCGGCTGCTTTCCTCTCTTCCCTTTCCTTTGCTCGTTTTCTTAAGGATATCCGTTGTTTCTTTCCTGGTCGTCGTTTTCTTTGGGCCACTTCATCCTTTGGTTTTTCATTCGCCCTGGCTTTTCGAGTGATAGCGAGTTTCGTAACCTTCCAAGGAACCTCGAGGCCCCAAGCCCTGCCGTGTGATCTTGCCAACACTTGATCCCCACTCACTGCTGCTACAGTATACTCATGCTTTCGTTCTGCAGAGATGTTTTTAACCACATAGTAAGTGAGTGGCCGGCCGCTCACGAAAGTTCCATCGCCTGTTAGTCCAGGATCTTCCTCCAGCACGACCTTTTGACTTGGTGGGGCTTTGCTGAAAAGTCGAAAAACAAATTCCTCTTCCTGATCATCCTCGGCAGCCGGAATAGCCTCTGAATCTCCAATATCGTCATCACGAGACTCTTTGCCTCCTGTGAGAGAACAGTCCTTCATCGCGACTTCAGGGGTCGATTCTGCCAAGATTTCCAGCCCCAATGATCTTGCGATCTGCGCATTCAGTGTTGCGCGCAACTCGGCATCACAAATGCCATCGTCACTCCAATTCTCTGCGCCATCATCTGATTTGTCCAGATCTTCTCTTCGAACCCTGAAAAGCGAGTTAATACCTAAAAAAACGAATCACGGTAAACAGGCCATCAATTACCTCTTTGCTTCAGGCACTTCAAACATGCTGCTCTCTCTTTGTCAATGGTGGATAGCCGCAGGGGACACGAAGTGAGATTCTGGGCAGGTTTGTCTCAATGTGAAAATAGAAACAAAGACTACAGTGTTATAGAGGGTGCAGCAAGATAAGTCATGGAAACAGATTTGCGGGGATCTTTCGAGGCTGGGCCACTTCCATCAAAAGTCAAGGTGCTGTAAGCAGCAAAATCTCCGTATACCAAAATTCTGCGATAGCACCGTGTTATCTTATCGCCTCGCACCAGCCACATCTACTTTAAGGTGCCTAAATTGTATTGGATGCGGATCGTGCCTAGGTTAGTAGGTAGTACTGATCCCGAGAGCTTGCCTCTAATCATGATTAAAGCATTGAGAATTTGTCAGAAAGTTTAGTGTTCACAGCACCAGATGGAATTCGTGATGTCTCCTAATGGCCCGTTGATTAAAACGCAATTATCTCGGATACCATAAATCAACGGTTAACAAAAGGCGAGCATTAATAAGCGATATTCTGTTACACTTAACATTCCCTCTGCACGCTAATCAACTTGAACTTCAGCTCTTCAGGTGAACCAATCAGGTTATCTTCTGCACTTGCAGAACAGATCTATTAACAAAGCCATCCCCCACGATAGCCCTGCTTAGAGGCTCAAATACGACCAGGCTATTGGGACATTAACTTGGCACAGCACAAGCATGAGGGGGCATGGCATTAGATGGTCCGGGCATCGGAGGGTCATTCGATGGTGCGACGTTCGTGTGACCTCAGTTATTGATCGCTTCTGAGTATAAAGAGCCCAAGCCTCGAGTCTGTAATGTAGTTCACAGCACAAGCGTTCAGTTGCAAGGACCAACCAGGGATAGGATGATGACTATTCATTTTGCAGCGCTACCCAACTATCGATTCAGACTTGCACCTCCTTCACAAGAGTGATCAGTCAAACTAGTCACTTAAAGGCCCGAGGGAATTTCTTCATCACATTCCGATTGTTTTTTAACTACTTCATCGATACATAAGGGAACTCGACCTCAGCGGCAACTTTTTCGACATGCCGCTTGACACAATAACTCCGCCCTATGACGGAACTGGTACAATCCGCAGATCCATACCCGCAGGAGAAAATAAATAAGAACATTAACAAACAAAATCAGAGAAGAAGATACGCCCGTGTTTCGCCTGACCCGTCCTTTAGCCCCAGACATGCAACGGCGTCTCGAATCGTTGCAGAACCAGCCGCTCTGCATTAATCAGAGGCTTCGAATTGACCAGTTCTTATCGTTCCCCAGCGTCATTAGCCTCTAGTCATCCGTTATCAATCCTCGTGTATCAGATCCTCTTCCTTCTTTCTCCTTCGGCCAGTCCTCTTCACCCCCATTAACTCTTCATCATTCTTGCCTCTGCATCCGGCTCCGTCTACTTTCTGGTATCCATGTTTCAAATCAGTGCAAGCCGCCCAATTCAGATTGCCAACACCATCCGTCATAAAAAATAGAAAAACTCCAGTAGGTATTGTTACAAGCTCACTGACAAACGAACCAAGCGCTCCACAAGTCCAGTGGTTGTCATGCTTCTCGTTAGGCCAACATCTTTTGATGGCAACTTTTGTATATCGTCAAACGCGAGCTTCTTAACTGTGGATAAAATAAGACATAGAAGTCTAGTTCCCATTCCAGGAATATTGATGCATGGCATCAAAAGAGCCTCTCGTGGCTCCGTTATAGACCGACGAAGCCTGCGGCTGGCTCGATTCGGTCTTCGTTGGCGAAGTTCCCGCAGGTGTACTCTTGTACTCGTCTTGAGGGAAAGGGTATGGCCGAGACTCGGCAGTGCTGGCATATGCCAGGTTCGCACTATGCTCCCCAGGCGCTGATGTCCAGGTATGCGCGGGCGCGTAGTAGTCCCTTGCAGGCACTGAAGGTGGCCCAGACGTTTCTGGGTTGTAACTTGGCTGCGCAACCTCGCTAGAACTCGAGTTCACGGGGGCATACGGGGCGTATCGATATTCTGGAGAGGCGTCGGTGTTCGCTACTGAGCCCGCACTCCTTATCGATGGATGACTCATGTGTCGGGGGCTTTTCAACGGCCTTGGGTTGTCGACGTAACGAGGGATGTTCATGGCCTGGTCATGGCTTCCGAGCGGAGTGGTGTGTATCGATAACTGCGGGGGGCCAGTCGTTGTCTGCATATTATAAGTATACTGGGATCGGACTGGTGGGTGCTCCGAATCATTCGTTACCATGGATATGGGCACAGGGGGTTCCATCGATGATTGAATGGGCATTCCTTGTGATTCAGCAGGGAAACTTGTCGTACCAGCCAGAGGGCCCATTGATGCCGCAGGATAACTCTCTGCGCCGGAGGTTGGGATATGACCTAAGGGCACCTGGGCCGGCGGTGTCCCCCAAGTTGGATATGAGCTACATATCAGTCAGTACGACTCAAATCGAGATACAGCCAAGTCGATTCAGGTGCAAACTCACTGAGATCGTATTGGGCCTAATTGTGTGCCCGGGATCTTCGGCGCGTTGAAGGTAAAGGCTGTCCGTGGGAGCTGAGCGTCAATGCCTCTCGGTTTCGCTTCCTGGTGCTTTGCGCTCAGGGGCCCCGCAACAACTCCCACTCCAGTTTCCACAAGGGCTTGTCCTCGGGATCCTGCACTGGATCCCAACAAAGGGATCTCTTTTCGAGCTTGAAAGTTGCGAGGGCTTCGCCCTCTGACGACGATGGGCGCCGTCGTGGATTCTGTGAGCACAGTCTTGGTACCGTTGGCCAATGTTCCAACGACTTTGAGATGAAGGACGAAATGTTGCTGGAGCTCCTTTCGACGACCATTGTTTGCAGTTGCACTGTGATCGTATTAGCAAGCGAATGTTGCCAGTGCAGCCAATGACTTACATCCTGAATTGAAGGCGTCGCCAGCCGATGGGGTACACAGCATATTCGCCATCAGATTCTGTCCCATCGTCCTGGAAAGGAATTAGGGGCAGAGACTGTGGTTCTTGATCTGGGGTTTGGTTTGTCTCTGGTGAGTTTGGTGGGGGGGTTTTCCACGGAATCACGATTAATCGGACCGGGTTGCCATCGACAGACTCAATGGCAGAAATAGTAACCTCCATGTTGCTGACTGCAACAGTCTCGCCAGATTCGGTGATCACAGACAGCTGACCTCGTGGAGTAACAAGTGTGCCGCTGATTTGAAATAGATTTCTTCGGTAGCAGGTCAACTCAGGCTGTCTGAGCGAGCCATCTGATGTATTCGCAGGCATTTCGGACAGGAAGAACATCCCGTGGAGTTGAGCGGACAGCTCTAGTTGTTGCATGCGACCTTGCTGGTCAACAATGGTGTGCTTATCCTGTGTCCTCTTGAAGGCCAGGAGCTTGTGCTCGTGGCTGGCTGTCATCTTGGAGTTGTCGTCACGGAGATCCTGGACAATTTCCTGGTAAGCAGGTGGCTCTGCTTCAGAGAAAGACCTCTTCAGGTTTGGGTAGCCGTGATGTGAGACAATTTCTGGGTGCGCAGGTCTGTCGTATGCTTCTTGGTCGTCTTGGGGATATCGGCTGTAGGGGTAAGAGGGCTGATCCATCTCGGTATGGTTACTACTAGTCCGTCCTGAGAGCGGCGAAGAAGTTGATGGCATGGGATCTGCCACTCGACCTGGTATGTGTACTGAGCCTCCGTAACTTGACCACATGCTTGAATGCCCTGGGTGTCCTCTCAAATCTGCCATAGTGGCCGGGTATGCCGTTGCGGTTGTCATGAGAGCATAAACTATTCAACTTTGCCGCTTCCTCAACCAGACCAAGTTGTCTGGACTTTGACCCGTCACTAGTAACGTGGTCCTGAGAACATCAATGTCGATACAGATCAGGCCAAACAAGATAGTCGAGATAAAAGAATCTCGCGAGACGTGTTTGGCGCAAGGTGTGGTGGAAGCGAAGGAACAACACGATACTCAAGACACCAGGGAAGTGATGTTTGAGGTTGATGGTGCAAGTGTGTACTTGTATATGGAAATGGATGGCAGCCAGAGGAACGGCAGATGATGGAGGGGAGTGTTTAGTACAACACCCGGCACTGTCCCCAGGGTGGAGACCGAGTTTGACGGGGGGCTGTTTCGAGGTCCAGGCACAGGGACTTGGGTCAGTGCTGTCGACAAGACCTAGTAGTATCAAGTTCGGAGAGAGTTCTTAGTATAAGCTCTCACAAACAGTCATGAATGTCTGCGGGCTGGGAGACCACTTCAGCGCATGCGGCCGTTCTTGGAAGGAGGACGGGGAGTGGAGGGGCGGATCTGAGAAACAAAACAGCCTGTTGTGATATTGGAGGCTGATTTCATGCAAATACTTTGACAATGCTGGGTTCCTAACAGAGGGCAATAATCTGTTCGACAGCAGTGATGGTGAACACCAACGGAGCCTTCAGCATAAAGAGCCTACGAAGTAGAAGATGAGCTTATTAAACGCTGTTTCTCTAGGAGACAAGCAATTCTGATAAGGTGGATGTATCAATGGAGCATGCAATGGAGCACGGACAAAGCTATGCTCCAGAGACTTTCTGATAGAGAGGGTCAGGTCCAGAGAGGACCGCAAACTGCCGGATACAGGCAGGATAGCAGAAGCAAAGGACATGACCGACAACGCCGGGGCTTTTGGGAGCCAGGACCTTCACACGAGGTAAGAGAAGACATCCCAGACACGCCCCAGCACGTAGCGTAGTCCCTTGCCATGCCATCCCCTCGTCAGCGTCTACCGAGGGGTTCGAGAAACACCCCTGCTCATCAAGCCCAGCACGAAAGAGAAAGCCCTTGTACTGTTGACCAGTCATGACGCTAAAGTTTGGATAAGAGCATGGCATGCCCAACGCAAGGTCCACGTACTGGCTACCCCCATCCATGCTGGTTGGGATGAGATGGATAGAGCAAATGGGTCGAGCGGGGACACGGGGACTATCTCTTGAGGGCCCGGCAGCCCCCTCCCTCATCAACCAAGCCGCCCTGCCCATAGCCAATCCTGAACCCTGACACTTGACCGGGGCACGTTGATTCTGAGAGAAGAATCCTCCGAGGCCTAGTAAAGGTTGCTGGCCCGCAAATTTCTAGAAAACCGTTGGACAGAGCTGTTAATAATGGGGCAAACTCAGAAAGCAGGGAGGTAAGGAAACAGAGGAAAACTCAGGTTTGAAGAGTTTTGCTATTGACCGGGGTTTGCTTGTGTGCGGTTGACATTCGCCCATTGGCATCACGATCTGGCTGTGATAGCAATGCCCTATGCTGCGCTGCGCTGTGCTGAGATGCCCTAATAGAGCATTAACACAGGGCGATATCACGCAAAAGGTACTGACTGCAGCTTATGATCTTGCCCGGTGAACTAAGGCATGGAGGCCCGGTTACAAGCCGGAGTAAGTACTTGAGTGTGATCCGTTTTGGGATCGACTCGGGAGATGAGAATATGGAGTACCTTCTTGGTCTGGCAGAAGAGACGGCTTAGCTTATGCTTACTCAAACCCTTTTAGCGGAGAGGAGGTGGAGTGAACGGCACGGCCCCATCACCAGCATATCGGTGCTCCATCATAATTATCATCGACCAATTCGCAGTGGCAGCAACAGGAACGGGCGCGCCGCTTGCATGCTGTGGGATTACAGCAAGCAGTAATGTTATATGCATGTGTATATGGGTAATATCGAAAGCCCTGCAGTAATGACAGCAGCCTAGAGAAGAGCACGAACCATGTGCCCATGATCTGTCTAGGATATCCATGCTAGCTAGGCCTGAGTCGTGGAAACGCGTTTGTTGATTGTGTTGTTGTCCACGAGCAAGGTGACTAGTTATTGTCAAAAAGCTAGATTGGGGATGCTTGCGCCGCATGATGGAATTGAATTTGACCGAACGTGCGGAGAAGCTTGCTCCGGCATGCAGCCTTGTGTTTGATGGAGATTCAGGGCCATGGCTGGTACAGTAGACGGCGTTGGTATTTGCAAACGGTCAATAGTGTGGCTATTTTCTGCGCCATGTGGCGTTTGCTTGGACCAACACTATCCCGTTTTCCTGGAATTCGAGATCCTTGTCCGTAAGACAGAGAAAACGTGCGTGCTGTGGACGATGATGCTAATAATGATGACGATGGGAAACTGTTTCGGTAGGGCTCGACAAAACATGGGCGGGCGGAGAAACGAAACAAGGCCGACAGTCACGTCACGACTCAGTAACTGCTGTCATAGGTGCTCCATTGCCTTTATTCTGCGACTCGTGGAGACGTGTGAGGGGGAACATGCGCTTGGTTTGAGATGGGCGCCCAGTTTGGAGATGGCTTCAAAGTCAAGGACGCCGTTGTATCAATGTCTGGCCCTGTCTTTGGTTGGTTCGTTGGTGGAGAAAAGGGAGCAGTACGTACCCAAAACCAGCAAGGTTCAGGGCACGAGAAAGGTGAGACAAGGGCACGAGGGGAAAATGCTCTGGACGAAGCAAGGAGGGAGACGTAGCGAGGGGAAACTCAACCAGGTTGATAATGGCCATTCAGAAGCAATTGTGATGCACTAGAGACGCAAAATGGGCAGAAGCGAGCCAGGAAAAGACAAGAGCGGCCGGGGCCGTGCCCCTTCTCAACGGCCGCCCTCCTCAACGGCTTCCCCCCACAGTTTTCATGCACAGTATATCCCCTCATCTAGCACTGATCAGACCGTGATTTGTTACTTACATCACTCGGTCAAGGCCCAGGCTACCAGGCCTCTCACCCGACAAGGCCAAAACTTCCGCCTCCTCCAGGTTTTGTATGCATACAAAGCATAGTGAGAAACCTAATCAGTCGTGGGTGTGGCATCCTCATCGCGTGTTGTTGTCGTCACGATGCCACAGGGGCCGCTCCATATCAAAAAACCCCAATTTTTTGGTGTCGAGCAGTTTCACTAACAGCTCAATCCCAAGCATATCAGAGCATTCCAGTTAAGTTAGCAAATCGTTAAAGCGCCCAGGCTCGGCCGTAGCGAGGGGCTCACCATCAAGCTATCACTATTGCTATCACTAGGTGATCAGGGATTGTTGCTAAAGGCGCGAAAGCGCGAAATGTCCGCCTTGCTTAAACAACTTCGATGTTCCCTGACCGGGGAAGTCAAGACCAAAACCGAGAGTCGAGACCAAACGAAGCACCAAGCTAAAAAAGACCAATATGTTCAAGTTAAAACATTTATTACCCAGGATTCAAGACCACGCGCAGGGTGAGGCCCGCTTCTTTGCTGGTTGGGGTTCCTTTGATTGTTGATTTCACGACTCTTCGACATGACAAGGATGGGCATATCTCAAGAATATTGGACGCGAAGCACTTTCACTGCATGCCCACATCTCCAACGTCTAAATCCGCACAGACTGGAGCACATGAGTCCCCGCATCCACATAGGATATTGAGCATTCAATACCGCATACTCTTGCGCACAGTTTATCATCCTCACATGTCTTGCACAGTCTTGTATTTCGTGCTTGTTCGGAGGAGGGTGGTCAACTATCCTCCCCATTCGTTCCCGTATCAACAGCAATACATACCACTATCTGACACTTCCAGCCACCCGAAAAGAATGTGTGTGTATAGTATTATCTATTGATCGAGACTTGCAGGCAAACGAGGCTGCCAAGCCCGCGCCATGTCCTGGAACTACTATATCCTAAAAGGCATCCGGCTACAAACCCCAACTCGAACAAGGAATTGAATTTCGCCGGTGAACTGTTCCTCCTGAGACACGCGCCCAGACACCCTTTGAGTGGTAGCTCCCTTATCCACAAGTGCCCTGTCCCGCCGCCAATCACTCGATGTAACCATCCCAGGTGGCCACGGCGATTTTTTGAGATCTGGCAGGCCATTGCGTCTGCTGCCTTCAAAGCAACGTTGGAGTAATGCAGATAGCTTCATTGGGTTGGCTCAGCCTTTCACGGTGAAGCGGCCACCATTTTTAAGATTTTTTTGCTTCCTCTTCTTCCTTTCTCTGTCTCCCTCTCTGTCTTTCTGTTTCTATTATTAACTCTACAAGTAGGCTGTTCACAGTTGGCTTTGCGACAAGTAGTAATGTTCAATCTGGCCTTTCCAGAGCTCAAGAACCCTCTGAAAGGTGATTTTGGTACTGGACATGACAAATGATGAGTGAGCACTGCGAGAAACGTTGCGCAGTCTGGTATGTACGGGATCCTCCAACAAAGGGGCCGATACTGCGAACTGGGCGACTATTCTGGCTATGTGGACTCCGAAATTGTGTTTCGCACATCCATGATCTTAATACACGGGTATTAAGATAGTTATCAGCAGGCTTTTGCAGCACTTCAATCGAAGGGCAATATAACAGACACTTGATTGGTCCACCCGGAAAAGTCGCTAAAACGGTCCTGCAGGTGCATACTTAAAGGTGTAGGTAGTACATCCTGGCGCATCCATGCACAAATGTCAGAACCATCGTTAGGGAACCCGCCCATGGGTTGTGTCACTACGTCTGGATCGGGTTCTGATTCTGCCTTGCAATGATGCTCAGCAGCGAGAGAGAAACAATATCGGAATGTTTCATAAACGTGACCGTTGGAGGGAGCGGGAGAGAGCTGAGACGGCAATGGTTACTGGTTCCTCAACCGCAGCGTAACCACAGACGTTGCAACGCGCCAGCAGATCGCGGCAGTTGAACGCCCACAGTGCCATGAGCTCAGGAAGCTGAGTCGATTGGCTTCCCTGCTGGCATTCAGTTTTAGCGTTGTCCTTGATGGCTGCCGATGGGTCCCGCCCCCTGCTGTCTCAAGCACAAAGGTCCACATGTCTCCGGGTTTAGGTCAAGTAAGCTCGAACTGGCGTGCCTTGGACTGCCTTGGGCCTTGTCCCTCCGGCCGGTAGTCCCTTTCGGGATGCTGATCGTCCCTCTTCAACCTTGACTGGGAGACACTTGACTCACTTTGGGCAATAGCTCATTATCCCTTGGCCAGGCTCCGTCGTTGAACTGAACATTAAACGCCGATCGAAGACCCGGCTCTTGATCACCTTTGTTTGAATCAGGAAAGCGATTCATCTCGGAACCATGCAAACGATGCATATGGACCGATTCAGAATCGCTCCCCTGGGTGGACGAAATTATACGAATTAATGCGCATGAAGTCGATAGAATTCAGCGAGATGAGTTTGTGGCCCTGATCCCAATTCTTCAGTCTTGGTCCCCGATCAGAAGTGCTTGGTTCGTGCTGATCCCTGATTTGTGGCTGCAATAGGTTTGAAGCGATCTCAATACCTACTTGAGGCGTTATCGGTTATAGATAGCCAGGTAAAGTGTTGAATTGGCTCCAGTTAAACTCCACCAACTGTAACAGAGCCTTGGGGCTTGCAACAGACAACCGTCTTGCTGCAGTAACTCGTCCTTTCATGCGACGACCCCGGGTTTGAGTAGCAGAGGGGGCAAGAAACAATTAGGCAATGAAACGAAACATTGCGTACATAGGTAGAGTCAACTCCCCCAGCTACCGATCGGCACCTTTGTTGAGCTAACAAGCTCAGACTAGCAGAGACCCTTGAAGAAATATAAATGTAGGTCTGCGTTCTACTTGCATACTGTGCCTAACCATGCAAGTACCCAAGGAAAGATACCTATCAACTTTGATGCTGCACAAGTTGTGCAATTATGCGGCCTTGCCGCGGGGATGAACAGTCCCGAGACTTTTCAAACATCAGGCCATTTATGGCAATAGTTCGGTTTGGAATGTCGCTTCTACCTGCATCCAGAGTACAAAGTCACGCTAGTTAATCGTCATTTCCCAGATGCTTTAATCAACTTTGTGAGAAGAGACATCCTTGTTATTCCATTTTGTTGGCCCACTAACTTACTGACCAGTTACTTCCAAGTTCCATGTGCTAGAAAATCCTTGTGATATTTACAGTGCGTTATGTCCAAGTACGAAAATGCCTCTAAAGGAATAGGTTCGCTCTGAAGGCCTCGCTTGATCCGTGTACCTGCATCAATCAGTCTGCTCGACGTTGACGTGGTATCGCGAGCTCAGCCCTACCGCACTTATTTTAAGACACTTGTATTTCGTGAGTACGCTTACGGCTCCTGGTTGGCAAGATCCGGTAGCATTGGGGCAGTGGGTGATCAACGCAACGCCCACAGGGAAGCGTGAGAGAGATCCCCCGGCAGTCCGAGTCGATGCAATGCGGATGAGCTGATTTCAGTTCAGTATGTATGCGCTGGTCCACTACAGAAATGGGCATCTGGGCGAGAAACTAAGGGCGTATGTGAGAGCGCCAAAAGGTACCTTTTAATTGCGACGAGGACAAAGAGTGACAGCCACGCATGCAGCATGTGCGCATGGGAAAGGGTCCGATCCTAGAACAAGAACGAGGGTTTGTAGAGCTCCCGAACCAGCCTATCCTGGGTACCACAAGTCTCTAACCTTCATTGATGATTTTTTACCACGTCATTGGGGACAGTGGTCTTGAGGCTAGATGAGGATCAGCTCTGCCTAAGAGACACTGCCGCATTACCCAGCAGCGAGATTGCTGGCTACTGCCATTGTTACTTTCTGCTTCTTGGACGTTATTCCCTGACAAGGAGGACCAGTCGGCAAACAAATTTTCGATACATTTCTTGTCATGTCTGAAACTAAGCTAAACTGCCAGGTAACAACATACTATAGTAAAAACATGGATCTCACTAATGACTCCCATGTTCTGCGACTGTCAGCCCAGAGCCCCAGGCCCGTCAACGATCACAGTCAATGTTTTCATTGTTGGCTAAAGGTCGAGCCTACCTGCGCGCGGACTTGGGCGCACATATGCAATAGTTGTGAGCAGGGCGGCGTCTGCAAGCTGCTGCACCTGAATCCCTGTTAGGTCATAGAGTTTCGACACAGTGAGCTTCATGGTCGGCAGCGAAATTCAAGGCTAACACGGCATGTCACGGCTTATTATCCACGCATTAACCCTTGATGCCAGCAGGTCTGGATACGCATGTACAATATACCAGCGGCTATTGTCTTATCAAGCAACCAAGATGGTGATCCCGTGCGACACCACGTGAACAAAATCTCGAGCACGCTTGCGCCTTACCCTCGCGTTAGCTGTTGGACCTTCTGTCGGCCGGAGCAGTGTCCGCTTGAAGAGGGTGTCTTTGTACTTGGCATCAACCGACAGGTCATCATGTGGCTAGCGGTAGGGCCTTTTTACATATCCTGATCTTAACATCTAGATCTCGTTTAGGTTTGTGCTATGACCTCTGGAGTCAGGAAGCGGACAGGTTATCTCTCTCTTATCTTTTGTCGCAAATACTCCTTTATGCGCTGGACACGTTGACTTTGACCGCCCCGCCATCTTGTGAAAGAAAAAGTAACAGTGGTTGACTTTATGGTTGCCGTCCTTGACTATAGTACACGAGTGTCTACATCTTCAAGGGTCACAGTGTCGATCGGCGAGCCAGCTCACTATAGCACCGGAGGATACGGTATCAAGGCAAACATTGGTCAGCTGTCCCAAGCGAGCAAAGGACTCTCCATTTGGATCAACAGCAGCTTTGGAACGAAACAGAACAGAACAAACCGATATAGGATACACCATCTCCATGGCCGGCCGAGCTGTCTGGGATCAGGGTCGTCTGCCGAGTGAAAATCCCGACTGGCGGTCTACTTGACGTTACCTTACAATCTCCATACAGGTGGAGGAACCCACGTTTACCTTCGGTAATTGACGAAGCATCATGCTTTGTCTTTCAGAATCGGAGCATTTCCCACAAGTCTAAATGAGTTCTTGTAATTTGGAATACTAGGCATACGGCCATGTTTGAGTAATCAGCAGATCACCCAACCAGAACAGTCTCAAGTACACACTCCACATATCCAACGGCTGTCAAGGACGAATTTGGGTTACTGCAGCGGAGCCTTTCTTTGATACCGAAGATTCTCGATTGCAAACACGAATTGAGAACCCGATGTGCGTTGAATGGGATGGGGGGTATGGGTTTAGGACTAACGTGCCGATTCAGGTTGGCGTCGTCCTTTGGTGAGGAGAACTTGATTCTCGTAGCAAGATACTTGCTGTGAGTAGCCATACATAGTCACATATGTATTGCCGTAGCAAAAGCCCGGTTGACATCATCCTAGAATCTTGGTGGAGATGGTAGATCATGCATGCATTTGCTACAGGACACATATAATGATTTCCTAAAAGTACAGTATCTAGAGATTTTACAGTATCAATTAAACCTCCTTGGGTCGTTACTGCGGAGCCGCGCATTGCCATCCATACAGCGCTTGGCGTGATCGTGAACCTGTCTGAGAACAGCTGTCACCGAATGATCCAATTACCATCATCTTCATCAGAATCACCATCAACGAGGTCCTCTTCATCGTTGAGCGCCATCTGCACAAATCGACGAACCCAGGCCTCCTGTGCCGGATCCAGACCATCCTGGTTATTCTCATCCTGGCCCTGTGCCTGCTGCGGTAGTTGAGGTTGTCGCTGGTTCACTCGTTGACGATTAGCAACAGCTCCCCCGCCACGAGCTCCTCCTCCTCCTCCTCCTCCTCTCCCTCGGGCTACCGCGCCTCCTCCTCTCCCAGCCCCTCTTGCGCCGCGTCCTCGCCCCGCTGGACCTCGAGGTGGGCCATTATGGCCGCGGCCCGCAAGTTGTTGCGGTGCGTCGGGTGCAGCGGGAGGAATAGCTCTTCGACCATCGCGAGCTTGATTGTCGACGAGTCGTATAACGAGGGGTCCTTCACGCGCAATCTCGATACCTTGGCCCTGGCCTCCAAGCGGTCTGTTGTTGCCCTGGACATTGGCTTCGTCCTCGCCGTCACTGTCATCAGACTCGATAACTTCCGGCAGAGGCATAAGCTCAATATCATCAAGTGCCGCGGGAGCATCTGCAACGGGACCGCGGCCACCGACGAACCCTAAGCCCACGTCGTCGCCATCGCCGCCCTCGAGTTCCCACAGCCGCATGTAACAGGAAGTGACTTTGCCGCCCGCCAGCTGGTTGTAGTGCTGGTAGGGATTCACCGGGTCAAGCCATGAAGAGCATAGATAGCAGAAATGAGTGTCGCATCGTGAGCAGATCATGTGGTTGCAGCCGTGTGTCTTCTGCGCAGGGGCGTTGCAGGTAGGGCATGGACTCGTGTGAAGCTGTAGGTATTCGAGGGATGCTTTTTCCTCCTCGCTGAGTTCTCCCTTGTCACGTCGTGGTGCACAGCGGACAAACTCTCCGTGCCATGACTGGTAGCATTGGCCACAGAAGGCGAAGCCACAGTCTTCGCATATAGACAAGAGATCCGCTTTGCTAAATGTTTCCTTATTCTTCCTTTTTCCAGACTTGGCACTAACCCCTCCTTGTTCTTGTTCTTTTTCTTCTTCTTCTTCCTCTTTGCCGGATTCAGCATCAGACGTCTCAGCAAACTCTAAACCTTCCGGCTTCTTGTGGCGTTTCGATCGGGCTGCTCCATTACACCACTGTCGTGGACAGTATATTGTGTTTTTGTCAGACTCGAGTTCTGTCTTGTACTTGAGCGTCACATAACGCTTGACCATTTCCTCGGAAAGACCAATCTGAAGAAGCTCGCTGGGGCTAATGGCAACCTTGTGCTTCTTCGTGTCCTTCGACGCGGCACGCTTCTTGGCGCAGTTGGGGCTCAGACAACGAACAGTAGAAAGGTTGCCCTCGTTGATGGCGTCGTTGTAGAAATCCTGTAAGCATTGTATACAGAATATATGTCTACAGTCAAGCATTCTGTGACACTTGGAGCCCTTTTTGGGATCTATGTAATGTCAGTACGTGACTGAGGATGTGTGATGAATATACATACCGAGACAGACACCACAATCAAATGTCTCCTTTTCAAAAGCAGCCTTTTTGGCTTTTATATCGTGGTCCAGCACGGCGAGTTTGTGTTCTGGATCAACCTGAAGAGTTCCCCCGGGACTGATGGTTCCAAACACGTCTTCAGCGGCGCGCTGAATATGATCGATGTAAGTGAATGCAACCATGTCGCGACCAATCTCGTCCCATAAGCGCGGTCCATCATCCTCAAGCCGTTTGATCGTTTCCCTCGACAACCACTGCGGTATGGTAGATACCACAATATCTGGTGGCGCATCTGCAGGGTAACCCTCTGGGAGACGGACTCTCAACCGCAGAGGGGGCAGGTACGAGACTTCGAGAGAATCAACCTCAGGCTGGGCATTCTCAGTAGCTTGGCCAAGTGTAGTGAGTCCTGGGTGGGCGGGTGCTGAGGCTGCTGGGAAAGTGACAGTAACTGGAGCGGCGGGCTCAACGGGGAGGTCTATCTCGAAGGTGAAGGGGTCTTTTGCGTCAGGGCGTCGGATCTCTGGGTATATAGCCTCAATAGAGCCAAGCTCTATAAGACGTGGGTCGTCGCTATAGTCCATGGCTGTTGGGGGAGATAGGAAAACCTTACAGCTCCGTCCAGGATGCCAGAAATTCGGACGAAACCTGAGATAGTTCAGAAAACACTTGGCAGGCTTTTTGGCCGGTGCTTTCCTTTTGCCCCCTGTTTAATGACCTCGATTCTTTTGACACCTCGGGACTGCTATGAGTTGTTATACCTTGGGAGGAGTGTTCATCCTCTAGTGGCGTAGTGTGTGTAGGCGATGCACTTCAGCAAAGACTTTGTCCAGAGTGGCGAGGCTGAGTAAGTATGTTAAATACCAAGGGCCCTCAAATTGACCAGCCCTTATTAATGAGTTTCTGCTAGGCCTCCATCATTTTAGTCTCCTTCTCGTTCTTCCTTGTCAAGACTCGAACATGAGGTGCTTCTTTGGTGGAGGTACTTTACGTAGAGAGGGGCGAGGAGAGGGTTTTTAAGATAGTGCCCAAGATAGGGCTACTTCGGAATGACCTGCAAGTGACTGACACCGGATTGTAAAGAGGAAAACGCAATCTTCGGCTATCAATAAAATGGGACGATATTATTCACGCCTGAAATAGCATTGTAAAGTAACGTAGATGACTCTTTGGCCGTGGTTGAATGTGGTAACGCCTTGTTTCGGTATCCGGTATTCACAGCGTTGACAAATAAGAGACTCCGAAATCCGAGACGCCACGTTTTTTCTCCCGCCTGAGCCACATATGCAGCCACAGCCGGCGGACTGCATCGTCATCTACAGCACAAGCTTAAACTTGGATTTCACCTTTTGGTTGCTTTCTACTCGTGATTGCCCCGAGCCTTTTCTCTGTTTTTTTTTTCTGATACAAACAGTGCCAATCAGAGACCACTGTGGTGCCCTACCAGGAGAATGCAGCCTCTGTCTATGTCTTGAACTTCTCAGACACCGCATATAGCCAGCTCATCATGGACGACAGTTCAACTCCCCTCGCTTCCCTCTCCGTCACCCACGTCTACTACGTAAGTTTCACACCTACACACAAAGACCTACAAATAACAATCACAAATAGGACCCCAACGACCATATCTCCCTCGCCTGCGCCTACCTCGCCCTCCTCCCCCAAGCCCTATGCGTCGTTTACGCCACGCTCGTCCTTTTTACCCGCGAGGTCGAAGTCGCCTTGATGTTTCTCGGTCAACTTGCCTGCGAGGTGCTCAACTTTGCCTTGAAACGGCTGATAAAAGAAGAGCGTCCGCGTCGCATACACGGCAAGGGCTACGGCATGCCTAGTTCCCACGCACAATTCGTTGCCTTCTGGAGTGTCTCCCTGGCTCTGTTCCTGCTTGTCCGCCACAAGCCGCCTCGTGTACATCAGGTTCGTGCAGAAAGTAGTTTGCACCGGCCATGGAGCGTTCTCGAGAGAGTTGCTGTGAGTGTAGCTGGGGCGGCGATTGCGGCGGCGACGGCATGGAGCAGAGTGTACTTGAACTACCATACCCCTAAACAGGTCGTTGTGGGTAGTGTTGCAGGTGTCATAAGCGCTCTCGGTTGGTTCCTTATTATTGCTGCCGTGAGGCAAACCGGCTGGTTAAACTGGGCTCTAGAGACGCCTTTGGCGAGAGCTTTCAGAGTTAGGGATCTTGTCACTGAAGAGGACATGTGTCAGGCTGGTTGGGAGAAGTGGGAGAAGAGGAGAGCTGCTGCTCGAACGATAAAGAAAGACAGATAGTCATCAATGAATTGACAACAATAATCACATGAGAGACTGACTACTAATATAAATTACCGGTATCCCGGATTCCGCAAGACCGTGCTCACTGTAGGCAGCCTTCTGGCATTGGAAATGTTACTGAGGATGTCCACCTAATCTTCTGGTATTATCTATATATAAAAGGGACCAAATCTCGACGCTAGTTTCAAAGACGGCCTAAATATGAAAACACAAAGGGAATCGTTACAGTTGCCAAACCGTTCATGAAATCGTCATCCTCCCCAGTTGCCCTACCGTTTTGTCCTCTATCAAATCCATGGTCCTTTTCCTTTTGTTGCCTCTAAGTCAACTCTTGACCCTTGACGACTATGTACTCTACCCGTCTCTGGCCCAGCCCTTGAGCCTTGTCGGCTATGCATTCTGCCAATCTCTGGTACGACCCTAGAGCTTTGACGGCTGGCAAGTCTGCTTGGCTCTCCCATACTTCTTGAGCCCTGTCGGCTATGAGCTCTTACAGAACTGACTGATCCAGCCCTGGGATTATGTGAGGCTGAGGCGGGCGTTTTCTCCTGAGGGCTATATACAGCGGAACTGAGAGTTGTCTCCGGCGGAGTATTCATACCCGCACTGAGAGGAACTGGTGGAAGTTCCTTCTCGGATAGTCTCTCATCAAAGTTGTCCTGGATCTTGTACCTAGTGCCCTCGCCTGGGACATCGACGATGGCAATGGCAAGTGGACTCGTTTTTCTTGGGAAGAACCTTACTGTACTGTTGGGACAGTCGAGGTTGTGTACTTGGTTTGTATTTGTGTCTAGTTTGAGCTCCGGCTTGGCAGGGCGCATATCACCGATGTTGGAAAGGCGCAAGCCAATCTGCACAGTTGCAGTCGAGAGCATAGAAGCACCACTTGACCGGAATCTTTTATCCGGTAGACGGAGGGCAGGCGGTGCAAGAAGTTCGTCAGCTAATTTTTGAAGCGCTGGCGTTTTTTTGAGTGTAGAATCTTTGTAGGTTGTTGTCGGCAAAAGGATGGGCGACTTGGGTGGCTCGGCTTTGGGGAAAATGCTGTACATGCTCCTCTTGAAGTTTTTGATGGACTCCTTTGATGACGTCCGTACGGGTTTCGGTACGGTTGGAAGACCGCCTGAATTACGCATACTTCCCAAGCGGAGGGGCTTCAGGCCACGGTTGAGGAAGTCCTTGCGTGCACCAAACACTTTGTCTTCCACTCTGTCGTCCAGCGTCAGATCTTCTTTGCTTTCAGCCTTGCGAACCAGCTTGGGAAGATCAAGAGGCTGTAGCATCGCAGACCTAGGGGTTGGGGGCTCTTGATCCTGGTCATCACCCCATTTTCTGAAACTCTGAGACGCTTCAATGTCGTCATCAGAACAACCGGTTGGGGATCTGCTTGATCGCAAGAAGAGATAAAGACAGCCAAGCAATAGTCCTGACATGTTCATTACAACTGTTCCGATCATGTTCAGTGTCATTGACGTCTCATCTGCTGCTCCTGTATCTCGAAACGCCGTATTGTAGAAGAATGTTATCTGCAAAGTCTGTTCGGAATTAGTACAAGCTATCACTTTCAGATCCATACTTACATATGATATCACGGCAATTATCATATGGTAAACCATGCGAGATGCCTCATCCCTCTCAGCAATGCGCATTCGGGCACCAGTATGAAGCTTGAAGCATATAACACCGCACTCAATGAGAACTATCAGGATGACAGTGAGTAAAACCCCAAAACATCCGGCATCGTATCGATGTAGGAAAGAGATCAAACTGGCAAAGCAAAACTCCGATGGCAGAACAGCAAATGTTATGGAGAACACGATGAGCAACAAGGTACCGATGGTTACTAGACAGGCAAGGGTGTTGAATTTGCCACGGAAGGGGAACATGCTCGGCCTCGTGATACGGATTGTCAACTCCAGCCCGAACAACATCTGAATGAAGGGTACGATGAAGAAAGCTAAATTGGATTAGTATCTTCAAGTGAAAGCTCATTATTCTTTCAACATACCTAGCAGCATCATTCGCGATATCGTGGCACACCCAAGGATCATAAGTGACTCAAGTCCCTTGGCTTGAGCGGTAGCATACACAATTCCCTGAACTACAATGCCCAAAGAAAGTACGAAGGGGTAAACATCTCGTCCTTTGACTAGCCGAAGCCAAGATGACCTATGAGTGACTGTGAGAAAAAAATCTTGCGGATCGGGGAAATGCAGTACATACTTGAAGTCCCATATCGGTTCGACTTGTTTTAGTGTTCTCCATGATCGCAGCAGAATACTGATAGTAACTGCGAATGCTACTATCACGTTGAAAACTGATAGGACGATGATTGAGGTGCGGACGGAGCCAGCTGCAGCAAACTTGAGTTCGTTATCCCATTTTGATGTAGAATTTGCCTGGAACTGAAAGCCGGTCGAGTCCATCGTCGGGTCGTTGTCCATGTTGTTGTCGTTTTCTGATCAAATTCGAGGTGTTTGTCAAGTAAAGGGCAGGCGTTAAGCCTTCACAGTGCCGGCACCGCGTTGTCCTTCTTGGTAGACCTAGTTTCCCATGTCGATGTCGAGGTCGTATGAAAGTATCGAAAGAGGGCTAGGATGCCGAAGGAAAAGCACAGATGATGAATGAATTGGAAAAGCACCGAGATATGATAGCAGGAATCAGAATGACCTCCAGGCGTATACTTGGTCAATTGAAAGCAGAGCAAAGTTTGAGAAGCAGTAGATAGATGATCAAACACACGAGATGTACCGTAAAAATGAAATACAATGGAATGGAAATGGCACCTGGCCTGTGGCAAACGAATGTAAGATTGAAAAACAAGAAAAGAAACGAAGATCAGACAAGCACCAACTGGGTGGGAGGAGACTGAGGCAATGGAGGCGATATAGGACTTGATATCTCGAATTGAGGGCAAATCACATCGAGCGGGAACGCAGATTGCCCTAGATCCGGCGAGCTTGGTGACCCCTGCGCGACTCAGAAATCTCCAAAGAACAAGGATCAAGCTGCTTCATGACGGAGCTTGGTAGCATTGAAGCTGTCGCCCCTGAGAGATGGTAGTGAAGAATGGTAGCCAAGCGAGCCAAGCCAGGCCCTCGATGTGGGCTAGAGGCATTTCCCGCATTAGAGCGAGAAGGGTATTGTTTCACCCGTGTAGATTGGGTTTCTGGGATGCTGATTCTCGAATACGCTGACGAAATCGGTGTAAGAGAATGCTACTCCACCACGAGATTGAGTTCTTTGGACTCGATCATCTGTGCCATTCTCACTTGAGCTTTGATGGTGATCAACCTCGAATGGAAGCCACAACTGAACTGCTTCTCAAGGTCCTCCTGATAGTGATACTTCACCACTGAGTGAGCTTTTTGAAAGAGTGCTCTGAGGGCGGCGAAAAGCGCCGGTTCGAAGAGGCTGAAGCATTGTTGTTACAGAGTCAAGTTTCGTCGGGTTGTAAGAGGCAGGAGTTCAAGGGAAGCAAACGGTGGGGTTAATCCGCATATGGGCTAGCGTCCACGTTTGTCCGTTTTGTGCAACTACGCCGTGGATTTAAAACAAGAAGGAAACATGGATTAGCGAAGGATCCCCTTTAGCATGAGAGCTAACGAGACAATGACTAAAGGGCCAAGAGCTTAGACGAGGGCCATTTCCTCTTTTGGAACAGAGGGTTTGAGATTACAATGGCAGGTCACACGGATCCTGCTGGTGCCGAAGGCGGGGAGAACGGCTGGCCACGAGACGATGGATACAGGGACGTTTCGCAAGGTTCAGAGCTTGCACCCGGTAACAGATCTGTCAACGGAACCATGCAAACGTCTAAAAACTACCTGCACAGTGAGAGAACACTAGCTGGCTAGCTTGCAGCTGGAAGCGAGTCAATTTCATTGAGAGCCTTGTCTAGGCCTCTCTAGTATCTGTCTGTATCTGCGGACCCGGTGGTTGGTTCTCCATTTTGTTGTTTCAAGCCTTTCCACTTTATCTTTGAAACCCATAGCTCTGTAAGCGAGGACAGCCAGACAGGGTCAAGGTTCAAATGCCGAACTCTTGGCAGTTCGTGTACCTGGTTCTCTAGCAGCTATCGACTCGTAAATTGACAAGTCTTGTGCGTCTATTCTTATTAAGAATACCGAGTCGTCCGTCCAGGAGCATGTTGGATTGGGGAAGAGCACGCATCCAAGTGGAGGATGTACTGTGTTTAATATAACTGTGAAGAACCCATAGATCTGTGGAATGAGGAGAAGTTTCATGAGCATCTAGCCCTAGACTAGTACAGTATTAGAAATCGACTTGATAGCGAGTTTCTAATGGCTAGTCACATTCAGAGAGCCTCCGTCTAATGGCTTCCTTGGTCTATTAGTTTATACTTATGTGAGTTTCACTCCCCACGCCTGTTGATGGGGAGATAGGGAACGTCAAGGCTTTTATCTTCAGGGTTAGAAGATACTTGGATAAGTTTAGGACAGCTTGGACAGCTTTAGTATATACTCGGTAAGCCTTTTGATTAAATCATTTCAGCATCCGGATTATATGCCATACTGTGTAAGTCTTTGTTGTTTTCTAGGCATTAGTCTATCATGGATTGTCCACTCTTTACTGTTTCCTCACACGTCGGGGCTAGAAGTATAATGAAGTGAGAGATGTTTCCTCCTCAAACAGGTACTCCCGGAAAGAGCCTGGACTATAGCTATGGGTGCTATAGCAGACAGTCAGTGGCTTGCGAAGCGTTTGATTAGAAAGGCGTAATGGTTGGTATCAGCTACAAGAAGCACCCCAGTATTTATGTGTGATCTCGTGTCTAGAATACCTGCTCTTCATCCTATCTTCTTGTAATGGATGCTTAAAACGAAGGTGTTACTGAGTGCTAAGCATGGGGTACGGATGACAGGTCTCTTATTATAGCTTTGCTGCAGTAGCTTCACTTCCGTCTTCGACTTGGCACCCCCTTCTATCTTTGTGTAATGCAAGATGAATATGTATACTTCATCTTTATGATATGTACTAAATAAACCCAATTCTAGTTGTTTTCGCTTTCTAGAAGAATCGATCAACAAAGGTCTGACTGTTTGCTCTTGCTTATGTTGTCCCAATTAGCATGTATAGCCAACAGAGATGCTTCGTATTGTTTCTATGTTTTGAATTCTTGGCTTCGAGCTAAAAGATATCGTCGACCATTTTACTAACATATTAGACTTCAGACAGTTTCACCTTGCATTGACAGGCTCAAGTTGATTGAGGCCTTCGTGAGAATTCTGAGGGGGTTGTTCACACCACCACAGGCCTATTGGATCACCATCCATGTTCGCATATTAATTGAGAAGACTGTTTATGCTGATCAGACGCTACCGATGGGACTTCATTCCTGAGAGTCGATATCGCATAATTTACCGCCTTCGCTCAATGATCCAGAAGCTTATGTCATATTGGTCATATCCACAGGCACGTTAAGTAAGTCTCAGTAAGCCATGCTCTAAGTGACGTTAGGTATTATCAATGACCACACTAGCTCAACATCTGCCGGCTTCACATGAACAGATTATCGTGGTCAATCAATATGTGCCAATGTGTTCCGTCTGTTGGCTTGATATTGGCTATCACGATGGTGCTTTAGACTCATGGTTACCCTAAACTGAATAATTTGACCAACACGCGAGTTCAATGCTGTTTCGATAAGGCTAATAAGCCTGTAAAATCGTAGCCAATGGCTAAGACTTCGTTTCCCTGTGCGATCGAGAATATCATGTGCGAGACCCAGCACAAAGAGATCCACAGTTATTATATCAGCACACTGCAGATGCATAATAGCTAGGTCAAGTCTTTGAAGCTGCTATCATGGTCTAAGGTATATAAAACCTCCTCGTATCCATCAGTAGTTGATACATAGATGGTAGAGTTACGGCGGGGAAAGTAAGAGAACTCAGCGATCGAGACGATTTTCAATATCAACTCTCTTTAAAAAGGCCAAGATCGTCAAAGTCCCGGCTTTCTCAGGAGCGGTTCAGTGGATCCATCTCCCATTTGCCCCGCCATTAGGCTAACAACGTCATCCAACCATATGAGCATCACAAGACAAAAGGTATAACAATTGAAAGGAACAATCGTGCGTTATCCTTTCAACTGCAGAAATGGGAGACCACACGGAGAAACACATACATTTTGAGGATGGGCGCAATCGTGAATACGATGGGAGTTCTGACGAGGACTGCAAGGCAGTAGAGGTTCGTTCATACTGTCGCCAATACCAGATGACAACCAAGAATGGTGCGACTGATCTAATCGCCTATACAGGTCGTCTTCGATCCCGGAAACCCCTATCGTCGCAAAAGCTCAATGGTTGCCTCAGAGATCAAAGCGCCCGTGATGCGCCATCCTTCGCGACGTGACGAGTGCCTTGTCCACCAGTTTCTCGACAGTCAGCGACGCGCAAAAGATGCTGCCAGCTCAGCCAGCGAGCCAGAGTCGGAACACTCCATAGGAAATAACCCTCCGTCATATTTAAGCAACAATCCAAATCCTAGCCATGCCACTTTTCACAAGGCTCTCAATGGCGATCACATCGAAGCTGTTCGCAACGACAGCCTCGACTCGATTGTTGACCCCAAATATCAGAAGAAGTGTCGCGCTGTTGTTGAGCCTGGCGGTATGGAACACTCAGGCCAAGCTGATCAGCAGGCCTGGACGCAGCAGATGACCAAAAGCATGTCCGAGGTTGACCTTTCAGGTTATCAGGACGACGTGCGAAGTCGCCTTCTAACCAAGCAGCAGCTGAGTGATATGGCCTGGGGTGTACGTGAACTAAGTCGCCGACTGAGTAGCATGCGCCTTCGGTTCAAGGTCAAGAGCATATTCATCCTCACAAAGATATACGACCAAGACTTGATCCCAAAAACACGAGAATTGGTCAAGTGGCTCCTACAACATAATCACGAGGTCGCCTACATCGTCTATGTTCAAGACAAGCTCAAAACAAACAAGAAGTTCGATGTCAGTGGGATCATTGATGAGGTGAGCAAGGGATACCTTGATACAGGGGACATGAACGAGCAGACTGTCAAAGAAACGCTGAACAGGCGACTCCGATATTGGGACGAGAACATGTGCAGAACACGCCCTCATACTTTTGACTTTGTTATCTCACTTGGTGGCGATGGTACAGTGTTATATGCCAGCTGGCTCTTCCAGCGCATCGTACCACCTGTATTGAGTTTTGCACTAGGAAGCCTGGGTTTCTTGACTAAATTTGACTTCGAGGACTATCAGCAGACACTCTTAACGGCCTTCACCAAGGGCGTCACAGTTAGCCTGAGGCTTCGTTTCGAAGGCACTGTCATGAGGAGTCAGCCACGCAAGAGAGCTCAGCTTAGTAAGGGCTCTGAGGAGGACGAGGAGCCGTCCCGAGACTTGGTGGAGGAGCTTATAGGTGAGGAGAGGGAAGATGAGCACACGCATCGGCCGGATGGGACGTTTGAGATTCTGAATGAGGTGGTAGTGGACAGAGGACCAAACCCAAGTGAGAATCCCAGAGTAAACGTTACCCCTGCAGGAGATGTTCTAACGTATATTCTAGCAATGTCAACTACCGAGATATTTGGTGACGATGAGCACTTCACCTCGGTCTTGGCCGACGGTATCTGCGTATCGACACCCACAGGCTCAACGGCATATAATCTCGCCGCCGGGGGCTCCTTGTGCCACCCCGAGAACCCTGTGATGCTGGTCACGTCTATATGCGCGCACACCCTGTCATTCAGGCCTATTATCCTTCCTGACACGATTGTGCTACGGGTCGGTGTTCCATATAGCGCACGAACGGCTTCATGGGCGAGCTTCGATGGCCGAGAACGTGTCGAGCTCAAGCCGGGAGATTACGTGACCATCAGCGCCAGTAGGTTTCCGTTTGCCTCGGTGCAAGCCCAGGGACGGAGGAGTGAAGATTGGGTGAACAGTATCAGTGGAAAGTTGGGATGGAACACCAGACAAAAGCAGAAGAGCTATAAGGAGTGGGAGAAATGAGATGATGTGTAACGATTTAGTACGGACTAGAATCATATATGTGAAGGATAGCATTTCTAATGGCGGATTTTTAGGTTTGGCGTTCCCATTGTACTATTTGAGCTGAGGAACATGTCTCGTCGTCACTATAAAGGGTGCTATGCTCGTGTAAATATCCACTTTTCCGGAAAGGTTTCGAGTTGCTTGGTTGGACGTGGCATAGGGGCTTCGCTATGTGTAAATCGATATAGTACGTACGAATTCAATGAGAGGTATCACTAATATTGCGTGAGGCGAGAAAAAACGGTCACGTAATTATTACCCAGGCGATAGAGGACGAACAATGTTGAGGAACTTACGATGACCTGACCATAAGCTTTACGGTTCTTACGACGATGTTATCCTAATCTTCAGGATCTATGATAAGGCCTAGATCTAAGCTTCAAGTATCTAGGCTTGGATTAAAAGAAACTCTTCACAAGAGGCTCTGCATGACTGCCCCTAGCCCACATCCATTATCTCAGTGCCCCAGCCGGGCTTTGCGTTCTGCACCCATATCCCTGCAGTTCAACAACACTATATAAAATGATTCCATGGCTTGTGGCCTCTTGGTGTCTAGAGAGTCTTCTTACCTTGGCGCAGATTCAGGGCATTTGAGATGTCCTTGACTGAGTACCAAATGACCCAAAGCGGAATCCAGACCCATAGAGTGTTGAAGAAGAATAGGTAAACCCAAAGGTACATGAAGTTGCTCGTGTCGAGATTGGCACTTCCAATGAGCCATTCAGGACAGAAAGTCATGAATCCTGAGCATTGTTTAGTTTGGCGAATCCATATAAATTGAGGTGCTGTCGAGACTTACCGCCGTACAGCTCACAAGTAGCCAGGACAATCATCCAGATGCTGACCTTGGGATCCTTCTTAGCGAGACAGTAGCACACATAAACAGCTAAAGGCCCATCAAAGAACACAGTCAACAACTCCAGACTCACAACCCCCAAGTCGACACCAGCCCATCTCTTGTCAGCCCTCGCATATACCATCCACAGCTGGGCAAACGGATTACTTCCACCTGACTGCGCACCATATACTCGATCGCTATAGCCTAAGAATCCAGGAGGTGTTGGGAACAGGTCCGTCTTCGCATCATCGACGAGGGGCTGATGCGAGAAGAAGCAGTGGTATAAAAAGCTGCCTTCGAGGAGAAAATGACACAGCGCATCGGCGAGATGCCATATAAAGAGAAACCGGAGAACCCCCGAGGAGGAGGATGGTAAGAACCTCAAAGAGGCAGCATAGGCGGCGAAGACGATTGCAAGAGTCGAGAGGAGGGAGATGATTGTTGTTTGGTCGAACAGGTCGGGCGGGAGGGACGATGGGGGTTCTATGGCCATTGTGTCGGATCCCAGTGCCAGACTTCTTCCAATTGATTGGTTTAAAGAGTGCAAGATCCAGCTACCGAGCTGCAGCTCCAATTGAGCTATTGTCGAGGAAATTTGAGCTTCTGGAGACGAGCGGTGTCGGAAATAAGACGCGATCGCGGCTCATTTCGGCGGTCGCTTCACGCGATAGTCTCAAGCTATGTCTTAGTAATTCGTGAGCTACCACCGCCACGCCTGACATCGCATTGCTAGAAAGAAGGAAAAATTCTACAGTAGTAAAACAATGGTGAATAAACTGGTATAATTTCTTCAAGGATTTGGTTCATATAAAGTTGTCTGTATCGTTCTTTGAAAGATTGGCAGAGTGTTCACGTGGCTCGTCACGTGGCTCCATCAACGACAATCGACAGGGTTTGGATGCTATAAGGACGCTTACTTCAAAAACTTGGCGAAGGTCATGGCATTCTTTTAGCTTTATTGGAAAGCTAGTCAGTCAGAGTGTTTGTTGAAAGAATACCATGCAACAAATATCGATCCAAGTGGGGTAAGTTGCTGAAGAAGCCGACCCCGTATATCCACAATTCAGACGCCTAAATCACAACAAGATAGGGCAGAGCTGGTGTGTGCAATAGATTGATTGAAGAGCTACTGGACTTGGGTATCTAAGTGCTCAATATGGAGGGTACGGGAAGTCTCGTGAACGAGATATGGCCCGAGTCCTCCGCAGTGTCATGTCCTCCTCATTTCTCAGGTAAGAAGCATCTATGGGTTCTGCTTGTAGGCCTCTCCCTTAGCTCCATGGGTGCTCTCATCGATCTTGTCGCCAACTGCATCTTTGGCAGCGGAAGCACTGAAGGAAAGAAGCATTAGAAAAGCCAGAGTGTAGCGAAAATGGTGTATAAACGTACCGAGTGCCAATGCCGGCGTTGGAGTCCTTGGCAACCTTGATAGCAAATTAGTCACATGTAATTACTTTACAAGCAAGTTCTGTCCTTGGACTTACCTCCTTGTTAGCCTCCTTGCTGGTGCCAGAGATACCCTCCTGGACCTTTTAGGCGTTAGCAACGACTCAGAAGCACGGTGGAACATCTCCAGGGCTTTATACCTTCTCGGTAGCTTGGTTAACGGTGTTCTTAATGGTATCCATTGCTGATTTATATAGTTTTCTTGTTTAAAAAGAAAAAGATAATTGAGTTGGTTATGTTGAGGTTGGTGGTTTGTTGGTATTGTGTGTGGTGATGGGAAGAAGAGAAGGGCTTGAATTGAAGAGGAGTAATGAGGGTTTATATAGATCTAAATTGATTACACTAATTTAAACTTGAAGACTCGTCGTCATCGAGTGTTTGACCACTTGTTTGACGTATACACCTCCTTGGATTGGCATGCCTATCTCCATTGCTCAACTCCTGTCCAGTTATCATGGACTATCATGTGAAGGAAAAAGTGTCGTCATTGACTGGCTTCTGCATACAAGTCCTACGTTGCCTAGACGGCTTGATACATCACTGTCACTGACCAGTGGGAGAAAATCGGTTGTACCCCAGTAATGCTCTAGCTTGCTCGACCACTTGAAAGCGGGATAGCAAGCAGGCTCGGGCGGTTAGCTTGTGATGGTTGCTCGAGAGACATCCCTGACGTCAGGTCATCACCGGAACGTCATCTCGATGAAAGGATCTGGGACTTGTGTTTGTTTGGTGGGGGTCAGAAGAGGAGACTGACCTGTATGTACGCGTTATGCGCGTCGCGGGGTATTGGGAGTTCAAGGATTGTGCCCTGTGTATGGTATAATTCCTACGTGAGACACCTAGACACTGACACATGATCGACCTCGGTCCCTTGCAGCTTAAAATTCGCCTCTGTTACAAAGACTCTCTAGAGTTTGATGTCATATCAGATCTCTTTGGAGGAATTTCTTCTTCAAGAAGCGGACCCACTTACCCTCATATCGTGTAACACGATGGGTCAGATCCGCCCCGCTTCCGGGGTTAACGGCGCCGCCACATAGCGGGGTAGCATAGAGTGTGGCGGTGACGTGGCCAGAGCTACTATATAATGACGTTATGTGGACATACATTTCAATTACGCTTAGTTACCTCACACTGCACTCATTATTTTGTGCTCCCCCGAATCGGGCATTTTGTTCTTCGACTTGCTTGATTATGGCCGACCCCGTCTAAGGCGGGTAAAACACAATTACGCCCGACGCCTGCATTTCTGCTTTCTGGTATTGATTGGTGTCCCTCACCATCTGCTGTGCTCTCCATCGAGATCTCTCCCCTCGTGGCCCATTTTGACGGAGCAATGTCTCCGCTACTGCAGCTTTCTGATCCATATGTGCTTGTGATTCCTGTTTTCTGACGTGCCACCACCGCCTCTTTCTTGGTGTCGGTTACTCGATCCGACCCCAGCCACTCAAGGCAATGGCAGAATGCATGGGTTGCAGCAGCCTGCTAGGGAAGGCAGGAAAACTTGGGACCTCGATCCTCAGCGACAAAAAATATTGAGGTAAGTAAGCTTAAGCTTAGGAGGCTATTCAATGGGGTTTATTTCAGCATCCTATATCAAGGCCTAATGTTTTCTTGCTCCCTAGGAGCCCGCAAACCCCCAAAGAACTCTTTGCATAAGTGACGATTACAATAATCGAAAGTGCCCGTTTGAGCTCCTATTCTTGGCGAGAATGACGCCTTATTTCTTATTTGATCTGACGATTAAGTTAACGCAATCTCTAATCTTAGATGTTTGTCTATAAATCGTCAACATGCAGGCAATAACTTCTTCATCAAGATATGATCGTAAACAAGGCTACTAGCTTATGATTCGGTTCTTTACCTGAGCCTTGTACACAAGTAGGCAAGATCGGTCAAGGCTGACCCGCCATGAACCACATTCCAGGGTAACACCGAGACTTTGCCTTGCCCTGCTCTAGCATCACAGTCGTTGTTATCCCCGCCGGATTGCACCCGTAGCTGCCGTAGTGCTAGTGGGATGCTCAAGCCTGAGTTTGTTGAGAAGACACTTCGATCGATGCACTCGATAGGCCAATCACGCATCCATGGCGAATCTGTGCAAATAATGTTTGACCATTGGCAATTGATAGAGCAATACGATCGGCCAGCACGTGAAACCCCGTCTAATCTTCCCCGACTCGAATCCCTAGGTGTGTTGAGAAACTTACGTACGGTTAATTAAATGGGGAAATAATGATATCTAATTACACGTAACTTGCTCTCTATCCGAGTTTTCGGGAATAAGACATTGCGCACTGGGGGCTCAACAGCTGGGTTAGTCCAGTCGATTTTGTTATTACCTTGCAGTGTCAGCAATGAAGATGATTGTTGTCCACAAATGGAACAAGAACTTACATTAGTAACATCCTGGGCAATGGAAACCTTCTCTCTACCGGCTTGACTTGACTTCAGCAGTCTCCTTCGCAGAAAAAACACGGAGGGAAATAAAGTCTTTCCATTGCCTCGTGTGTGAGAATGTTCTGATGGCCAATAACGTATGCGGCTTAAAGCCTTGAGGCTTGTTGTCACTGATGTGTCGGTTAAGGAAGCGACAGGGCTGGATATATCGAAATCTTCCAGCAGTGCTAATATATGAGTTGCCAAAACTCGTCTTTGTTTCTCGTCGAAAGGATCCCATCCCTCAGGTAGGTACATATCCATAGGGCAAGACGGCCACCACTTTTGTCAACACCGAAGAACGACTTCACGCTACGATTATTTATCAGAGGAAAGGGAAGAACAAGGTCATTGCAGCAGATGAAAGCGCCAATGAACCTGGGTATGTTACTTCTGTACTGGAGGGTACGGTCTGAATATCCAAGATACCTCAAACATTTCAATACTGGCCAAGATAGCTCTGAAAGGCAACAAAACGCATCTCTGAACAGTCACCAAGTTGTGTCTGCGAGCGATTGTCCCGAGGTGTACAGGTGCTAGTTGCACATGGATGTAGCTGGATCCTCGTCATCTTCTCATCTTCTCTTAGAGTGAGCGACTATCTATCGATGATCACATATCGCCCGTCGTCTTGGACTCCTCGACCAAGCCAGGGCAATCGAAGGATACACGAAGCATTCCAACAGTAATAGGCTTGCTTCTCAGCTTTATGGACAATATAAGGCATGGCTTGAGCTCCCAATACATCTTAAGGGAATGCCAACCTTGATTACGACTTCCAATCTCGGCGAATGATCAAAACCATGCTCCGGGAGCTTGGTCAATGAAGCAATTTTGACTATCATTCTGCTCAGAGGCTTCTGTTGTTGTCGTAGCCCGTGGCAGAAGTGGCCGAGTTTCTTCTTGAACGCCTAAATTTTGGGCCTGCGGCTGGGAGATATCCTCACCATTATATTTACGTAACCTACTTGTGCGAGATGAGACAACTCGCTTCTAGCTGAGCTGAGGTCCAACTCAGTGTCAATGTCGTTGTTGGCGGCATTGTGATCGTCACTAACGACAATACCCCCAGTAGTTCGTCGTCGTATCACCGGCAACATGGTGTGATTCATGGTGTACGGCTTGGGCAAAGTGGCCACAATCCTCAACCTCTCGTTGAGAGCACCTGGTGTTGCCCCCGTTGATTGTCTATCCAGGCGTAAGAATCTTGTCATAAACTCCTGCACCGACATTACTGTATCCTTCTGGTACGCAATATCATCCTCTGCATACTCAGAGTATACCGCCGTGAAACTGAGACTGAGGTACGCTATATGGATATTTCATACCACTATGCAGGACATATCTGACAGATTGGCCACAACTACAAGGTTACCTAACAACATCATTATATTCTATCATATAGAGGTGACATATAATCGACCAACTGACCGCCGCGACCGCGGTCGGCAATCATAAAGACCTCATCCTTTGATACTATGGAGAGAAAGAACAATAGCCTGCTGATGGGAGAACTGGACCCGTTCCTGTACATGCTGGTTGTAACTAAGCCAGTCAACGCCCTGCAAGCATACGTGGAGTGGGTCAGGACGTCAGGAGGACGATAAACGGTATGGGCAAGGAGGAAGATGTAGTACTGGTTGCCCATAACGATATGAATCACGACCATGAACTCCTGCCCAAGACGATGTTGGTATAGGGAATTCAGCCTCCCAAGTGGAGGTTCCCAGACAGTCTTCCCATATACAGCCTGGTAGTGAACCCCGACGGCAAAGTTACCCTCCACTGCCTGGCGTCTGAATATTCGTTAGAGTTCCAATATGTTTATCATGATATCACGATGTCAGTCAGGCACATGGTGACTAGGGGCATGCCCAACTGAGACGGCTTGTCTAGTGTTTAGCAGTTTGTGTTACTACTTTGTTACCTCCGTCGGGGTGAGCATGGTTAGTTTGAGACCTGCATTACTTACTATTTGTTGACACCATAACCTTTTAGGTCGCGATCCCGTGGTGATGTAACACTAAATCACAGGCCAGATCGCTTTGTGCAATGCGATGATGTTTGAGACCTCACTCAGAAGGAAAGCAATAACTCTACTATGACCTGTTTGAAGATGATATATGAGAGAATGTCCTTAAATAACTCACTCCATGGCTATATTGTTCGATATCAGGTTGTCCAACATCATCATGCTGATCTTAATCATATAATTAGGCGCCGCAGACTCTGTGAAATCCACAATAGACTTGATTATACCTTCAGTTATTCAAGTCTTGTTATTGCCCTTGGCCATCATATAGAGACTAAATAACGTTAATGACTTTATCGACCATACTCCTCTGGGTCTCACCAACATCTACAACCCCCATATCTACCACATCGACCATATCATTACTACTGTTCATAGCTTTGGCATCCAGGAACATATGGGTAGCTAGGTTCTTGGCGCCCCAGGAGGAGGTAGAGCAGATAGTCTCGTTATCATGTCGATAGGCTTACTTGCCGTCGTGAAGGTATTTGCAGAGGTTGTGTTTATAGTATTAGGGACCATAGATACATTAGACAGTATGTCTATCGACTCCCTTGGGTTCCTCGCCTGAGCGGTGCCGTCGAATTTATTGAGTATCATATGTTCATAGACGCTGTCTCTCATGGTGGTGCCATCGTACCTATGCATCAGCAGAGCCAACGGCTGATGTATACCCTCGATTGCCTCGGTATTACCCTCTATGAGGGTAGGCATGGCATCGACTACTACTGCAGTCTCTTTGAGGTCACATACGTGCTCTTTCTGTTAGTTCTCCCTGGCATAGCAAATTACTTGATTCTATTATTATACATTGATCTAGTATTATATTTTCATGATACCTAACTTGTGATATGTTCTTTATCTCTTCTAACTTATTACACTTCTTATATCTGGCCTTCTATCTTAAGACAAGTGTTAACAGAAATGAACTAGACTAATCACAATGTAGTATCCACCTTGCCAAAGAGTCAATATATGAAAACTCGCCTGACAGTCGTGCATTTGCTGTGGGATGAGCATCTATTCTACGACGTTAGATACCCTATAGCAAAATATGATGGGCTTATCTTCAATTGTCACTACTCTCAACAGCATCAAGAAATTGTCTTGCTGCTTGGTACAGAACTATCATGTTAACGTTTCACTTTTTTTTTGTCAAAACTAAGTTGGATGCCCATGATTCACATTTATCTAACTTGCATGACGGGCAATTGCAGGGCAGAATGAATCGTGTACTTACCACACTGACTCCTATCAGAGCATTATGGAAGAACGACACACAAACTGGTTACTTAATTTTTTATTTATTTAAGTATTCAAGGTCATACCATTAACCACATTGAGGTAAACATTGTTCTTCCATCTGCAAACTTAGACTGGGCCATATCATAATGTCTACGGCAGGCAAGAAAACGCGAGACCTCCATCTCAAGTGATGAAAATATTTTGGCAAGTTTAGTGTATCTCAGTAGGTCTTTAGACCAGTTAATTTTGGCATATTGTCTTACCGTTAGGAGTTTTATAACCCTCGAGGGATTTCTCTTTCACCAGAGACACCACGCATGCGAGTGACGAAATACATGTGGAACTCCCAATGTGCGGCGGACCCCTCCCCTACGTTGGAAGTGTTGTCATAACTTACATCACCAGCACTAACAAAGGGATATACAACATAACGCCGACGTCAAGTGATAGAGTCTGCCTCACGCGTAAGCCGACGCAAGTGAAGTGGACAGCATTGCTTTCCCAGTTTATATTGCAACTAGCACGACTCTGGACATCATGAAGCATCTCATTGCCGTTGGCGCTTGTTACCTGGATACGATCCTCACGAACGTCACCTCTACTGCGTACACATGGCATTTACTAACTCACCTCCAGTGTTCCCTTCTTCCCATCCGAAGACTCTAAGCTACGTGCCACCAGTCTCAATATCCGACGTGGAGGCAACTGTCCAAACTCTCTCCAGGTCTTGGAACAATTGCTCTCAGAGCACGAAACCCTCAAGCTGCATCTGGTATCACCCCTTCCCGCTGCTGCCTCATCCGCAACACAGCGTGTTATATCGTCGTTCGGTGCGCAGTCGAACATTGACTTCAACCACTGCGTTTATCGCGAGGAGAGTACAGAGGCGGCAAGCAGTTACATTATCCGTAGCGAGGCATCAGGTAGTCGCACGCTTGTCAACTACAATGACTTGTTAGAGATGACCGAAGACGAGTTTGGAAACATCGCGCGAAGCTTCAACCCGGACCAGGAGACATGGTGGCACTTTGAGGTAGGATGCAGATGTGGTATCCTCTGCCCGGTAACTCTAGGCTGATGATGGAACAACAGGGCCGAATCCCGGATACCATACAAAGCTGTATCCGTCTCCTGCGTAACGTACTACCAAAAGCAACAATCAGTGTCGAAATTGAGAAGCCTGGTAGGGAGGGCCTCCCCGAGCTGGCGGCAGAAGCGGATGTTGTCTTCTATTCGCGAAGTTGGGCTGAGGTGAGAGTGGACTCATGGATATCGGCCGTTACAATTGTAGTGACCTAACAAGGGGGATAGAGTCGAGGACACAAAACTCCGGAACAATGCCTGAGCGCCGAAGGGCATCAAAAGGCGTACGTTTCATGGAAGGATATCATGCTTCTGCTTTGACTCTATGGCCCTTGCTGACAAGAAGCGGCATAGGTCACTGGCACTGTGTACGTGGGGTGAAGATGGAGCAGCTGGGCTGTCTCGGTCGACAGGCGAGAGTCTTCACTGCCCTGCCCTGGATGAATCAGGGCGAGACATTTCCGTGATCGAGTGAGTTGTCCCGCCCTGACAATACCTAACACAGCAACAAACCTAGTACAAGCCGCGTAAAACTGCAGGACCTGACCACTGTTCGAGATATAGTGCCGTGGGAGCGGGGGACACTTTCATAGCCGGAATGCTGTACGGACTGATCTGTCACCCTGACGACTGGAGCGTGGGGAAGAAGCTGGGTTTCGCTGTTCGACTGGCTACACTCAAAGTGCAGCGGGAAGGGTTCGACGGACTCGGAAGAGACATGCTTGGAACGGAGATTGGAGGCGGTTGAATGAATACCTGATTACGGGTAGCCATGGGCATGACTGCCTGACGGTCTTGTCCCGATAATACTATGGCTGCTTGACGACAGTCCACACATTCAGCTCTCGAGGCAGACTTTCGGTGCAAGGGTCAGATGCCGGAATATCAAGGGGAATAAAAAAAAAAATTACTAAACCGCTCATTGGGCGGAGAAAGAAATGGCAAGAAACAGTAAAGTAGCTCGGCGAACCGTGAGTCGCCTATGGCTTACACCGGCTGATAATGCTCTCAATTCGGGTGATGAGAGATTAAGTGGGAAGAAGACAGACGGTTGAGCCTAGGACCGGAAGGGACAGATAGTGGAGGAGAGAAGTGGAAGGGGGATAGAAACAGGGGAGAAAGGCGGTGAAAACGGGGAATAGAAACATTTGGCTGCTTTGATCTTCAACCGTAGTGTACGCACTCCCGCTATTGGTGAGGGCACAGATTGGTTAGTAAGGTATGGAGGCGTAGGTATCAACTTGGACCTGTCACGTCTCTCTGCTGCGTGTGGATGAGTAGGTGTCTTGTTGTCCTTGGCTAGTCAAGGAAGGGCCAGGATGATGCTGCTCTGCCTGCAAGACACAACCTTTGAACCACGCGGATGCGCCGGGGCTACTGCATGGAGACCACGATTAGTCTAGAAGCACGTCGTTAGTCTTGGTGCTCGTGGAAAGAAACTGTCTAGATGGTGCAAGAACAAGACGGAAGTGAACATCCTTGAGTTATCCATCTACCAGCTGATCTATCAACAGAGGCTATAGCTCTGAAGCACTTCATAAAAAAAACCATACAAGTGTTGTAATGATTGTTGTAAGCTCAAGCCTAAGTTTAAGAATCGATTCTAGAGAATCATATTCACAAGGGATATTTGATTCCCAAGCTTTTGTTGAGACGGTTGAGCGAAACCGATAGCTAGCTAATGTGGGTGGCTAATCGTGGGATGCAGGAAAACTTTAGAGCTTAATCCTAAGTGACATAAATACTTAAACAGGTTAAGATGATTCAAGACTAATTTAGGAGATTCCTCGACTATTTATTTTCGCACCTCAAATGAGTGAGGGGTCTCGAGAATTTGCACGCCCCGAGGCATGGTTGCAGCACAGACTACGGTACCAGAGCCAGGGCGGCGGCCAACCGTCCGTCTGCAGCTAATGCTTACATAGTATGCATTAGGGAGGATTCTAAAGGGCAAGCGAGCCGCTCGACAGCGTCGTCATGCGGTGCAGAGTTTAAGGACCCAAAAGCCCCGAGACGCAGGCCCAAGACGATTTGCCGTAGTTGCTATTTGGGCAGCTGGCTTGTTTAGCAATGGCACCAGGGACAGGGACAAGGTGTGAGACGTGTCAGATGAGACGGGAGGACACGACAGAATAGGATGCAGGGAAACAGGAGCAAGTACGGAGTAGCGACAAGTCTAATGTGCCCGCGGTCAACACAGCTTTGAGAGTAGGAGGGCCATTCTATTTGCAGCACCAAACTCACAACAGTCCACACTGGAAGTACCATTGTTGTTGTTGGGGCATGTTTTCGACAAGGACTGAGAACTGAGAACAACGATACAGGTGTGAGGAGAACAAGAATAACCAATCTAAAAAGAGTACTATGTATATAAGTCACTACCTCGATGACGATAACAGACATCAGATACAACCGGCCAATATCGGAGGATGCACCATAGATACCAGAAATTGAAGTCAATACGGAGTATGTCGTTGATTGATCAACAAGCCTATGCAAGGTGGAGGTACGTACGTACGTGCAGCTGGCATGTTGTTGGCTCTCATCAAAGTTAAGGGGATGTGATTCAAGGGCTGGGCCATCAAATAGGATACGGCATGACAAAAGCGTCAGATCCATCAAACCTCGTCGAGGCAAACGAGTGAGTGACTGTGAGTGCTTGCTTTTGCGAATGACGCCGGCCCGCTTTGAGCATGTCTCAAAACCCCTGCACATTGATGAAAGCCAGAAACCCTCTGCCAGCACTAGACAAGGGGTGAACTGTGGATGTGAGTCTTTTCGCGGTGGAGGGTATATCCAATCTCATAGGCCCCCACATATGCCCAGTCACAGCCATAATGGGCAATTGAGTGGTGTCGTATTAGTTCTAGGGGGTGTTGCCCGAATAAGCCCGAGTGATGCGGACTTGACGGTCAGAGAGGGCTTCACAACTTTCCGTTGGCCTGGCTGAACTCTGCTCTGACCCGCCATGAACATCCCCGATCGGTATGGAGTTCTCGGACGGAGGAGCGGGCGGCAGCTGGAGACGCCCCCGGCTTCCGGGCTCTATAGTTAGATGCTAGCATTACGCCGCAGGCGTTATAGACAAGCATGTACATGTTTTGGGAGAATGCCAGGCCGTGTTAGGGACTGGAGATCTTTTCGGGTCTCAGGCGAACAGTAATGTTATGTTGGATAATTATGGAATTGCTTTCATCTGTGATCGTCAATGAAGTCCAATGAATGGGGCTTTTCGAGAGTGCCTCTTGTCTATTCTCGGGTATCTAAGGGATCATTCTCACAAGCTTCCTGAACAAAGCGTTGACTCTCGCCTTGCTTAATTGCAGAACTGAGAGGCTGAGAAGCCATGTATTCAAGAGAAAGTGGTGGTACTCTATTGGTGACATGGTTATGTGGTGATGGTCATGTCGATACATACAGTATTGAAACCGGTCAGGATTGAAGAGACCTGAAGGCTGCCTGATGCTGGTCTCTCTGAGTATCCAATCAAGACGCCCGAATTATAGTAGTAAAATACACCGAAATAAGTAACAGGCTTGTTCATGCATTCTCGGTACCATGGCTATCCAAGGTTGCGCCGCCAAGCTACCCACAAGATCCAAGACCAGGTCCGGCCAACTCGAGACTGATTGCCGTAACTTACGGCGTACCGTGAGCCATATCCCTTCCGCTCGACGGTCGACCTCCGCAGAGCTCCACCATATTTGCATTTGGACTGTTGTAAGTGACTGGATGGCGGTTGTTGTACGCATATTGCTTCCTCGTCACGGCCTGTGTCAAAGGTCTGAGAGACGCTGAACATTCACTTGGGATCGCATATGGGCTTCACAGCGTTCCAAACAATTCGTTGCTAACGTTATACAGCAACGATACAACGAGTCATAAAAAGACAACCAAGGTAATCAATCACTCTGCCCCCATCTTAACAAGGACACCTGCATGATCACAAACTCGCATGCATGCCGCCGGGGACTAATGCTGTGTGAGATGGTGCTCAGTCAAGGCGACCGAGGCGGGCTGTTTATGGCTCTCTCTCAGGCGAATCCTGCTGGCAGCTGACTTACATGGCATGGATGGATGGATGGATGGATGGATGGAAAAGTTGAACCATGGGTGTCGAGAGACCAAGGCGCAGCGGTATGTTGCAGGTTTCTCATTGAATGCAAGGGCTCTTCTTTAATCCTCTTGAGTCAATCAAGCCCGAGCCCTTCATTGGTTCGACGGACACGAAATTGGACCTTGGAAGCGCAGTATTTACCCCGGCACCAACTGTATGTACGTACAGATGATACCAAAAAGGTCAGACTTTTGCGCAGGGGCTGGTCGTTTCTAGCCTCAGACTCTCCGTTCTCCATTCACGTTGTTTGTGGTAGACCCATGGCAGCGGTTTTTAAAAGTGGCCCCAAGGGCATGTTTATAGTCTAGCGCAAGGGCGGCGCATCCCACGGTAAGGGTCTGATCATAATATTGGAACCATCCTTTAATGACTATTGACGATGATTGACGCCAGTTCTGTCCAACATCTTGAGGGAATACTAAAGCATAGAACATTTTGATGGATTGCGTGGCCTTATGAGCACATGCTCACATGCTCACATGCTGGGTAATCGTTTCCGAAATGTAGGTCTCCAGTCCACGAGGACTGTACTGTAAGCATGCAAACATCCAGTTGAATGTTACATAGCAAGCAGAGAGCAAGGCCAGACCAAACATGTTGATCTTCGGCAACTGGACCGTGGCTCTGGCGAATTATTCTTTTTCGCTTCCTTGGCGATACCCAGGTGTCATGCTAAGCAATCCCTGATGAACGGGCTTGAATCCTCCACTTGCACACCCTTGCTTGCCTTTTTCTTTTTTTCGAGCATCCACACAATCTGTTTTGAGTTGGCATAGTGTGGCAGGTGTGGGTTGTCGGCTCTCAATGACAGCACGTCCTGTAAACGAGATCGCGTGGATTCGAAAGCCACAGGCAACTTTGATCAAAACCGAGAGTTTCGGTGATGCAAGCCAATCGTTGCTCGTTTAGATTCGATGGCTTGTTTTGGAGCCTGTGTCCCGTGACAGTAGCCCACTCAGCATGAAGAGTTGGGTAACCGAAAGAAAGCTTGCACGTTTCCTACAGCTGTCGAAAGCGCGTACTCTAGTAGACTCAAGAATTCTTATGGCAACAAAGATCTTCGGATCGAACGACATCTGACCCGAATACGTATGCTGCTACTGTAAATGCATTGTGTCGAGGGGCTCGCTCTCTTGCAGGTAGGTAGACCAGTGAGTCTTCTTGTCTGACATCGAATCCATTGCTGATCGCAAGGACAGTTAGCGTTCGGGCTACCGAATTAGCGACTCGGCTATGGAAGGGGATCCACTGGTACAGATTTGCTGAAAGGGGTGGATTCGGGCATAGGGATGTGTGCCTAGTACGATGGTACCGAGGGAAAGTCAAACAAAGAAAAACCAAAATTTCAGCCTCTCTCGTAGTACATTATGGGTTAGATGCAGGATCTTTGATTTGAGGCCGAGCAGGGCAGGTTGGTTTGGGCCCCATCCATATGAGAAGCTCATCTGGTGATTGATTGGATGGTCACAAGCAGATCTCTAGGGGGAGTACTGAGTACGGAGTATGATTCCAGTTATTCTTCACAATGACTGGACGAATTCGTGATGAGTGCTTCCCCAGTGCAATGAAGAGAGTCTGAACCAGGGATGACATGAAAGCAATCATGACCTAACATTATGTTAAGAATACTGAATCATTTGTGTAATGTTGACAAGTTGCTTTTGGAACCTACAGTTGCAAACCCGTTTCCAAGAAACGGTGGCCAATCTTGGGCTATGGTGTTATGATGGTTAGTTAGCTGTCGACCGCCATTCGTTTGTTGCGTGGAGGGCATTTGTATGACGCATATGTTGAAATCGTCCTTGTCAGCCGCGATAGCAAATGTGAATCCAGGCGGCCAGGATACATCCGCCGATGAGGCATGCTGGCATGGTTTTGAGACGGATGGTGTGGTACTTTGCCAGGGGCTAGACCGTCCAAGGCCAGTGATACTGCGCTGTGCTGGGATGGGATAGTTTATGCAAAAGTATGTACTGTACCGTATTAGAAGACTCTCACATGGTGGTGGCTGCGCTTCCGTGACTCGGGCAACCCACGAACCGTAAGGAGAGGCTTGATGAGTAGGTCGATGATCAGCACCAATGTCTTGTGGGACAGCGTTCCGCGCAGAAAGCTAGTGGCTTTCCTGATGTTCCGAGGGAGATAAAACGCCTGGGCAGGACAATCAATGCGTGATCCAGCCCAAAGAGTGTGATTCGCGAGGACAAGACACGGGCATCCTTCAAATCCTTTCCTCTCCCTGTACATGCGACCCCACAAGAGAACCCAACCCAGCTGCCAGCCAGCTTGAAACCTCCAAGCCTCGATAAGCCCATGAAATCGAAGAACGGCAATTACCTGAATTCCCTAGCGTATGCCCAGGCTACCAGGCCGCCAGGGCAGTAAAGTCAACGTTTACGCGATGGATAGACCCTCCAATCCCCTATTGATCGAGGGCAACTGAAGCAAAAAATGGCCTAGTAGCTTATCCAAAACATTGCAAATCTTCATGTTTTGATAAGCGCTGTCTGAATAAAAATTCCGAACTGACATTGAGATTTACTGCAAAGATATTGCAGCAACTGACCTTCAGCAAATACCAGCAAGAGTATCTTTTGAAGGTCACAACCTCCGGATTTGTTGACCATTCTCAGTATCTTTTGTGTGAAGTATGGATATATCTGACCGCAATTGTTTGCCAAGATGCCGACGCGCTCTCCTGGTATGGAGAACGGTTGTAATTTACACGCAAGATGGATCGACTCGTACACTACCTAAACAGCGCAATCATAGGCACCGGTGGAAGACTCGTTAAGTGTTCTGACCACACACCCGAGTCTCGTACAGTAGACTCACCGGGACATTAAGCCAGGGTTGCCTGAGGTTAAAAAAAAGATGTTAAAAGATCCATCGAGGCGGCACGCTTTCATCCTGCACCATGGCACTTCGGGGTGGCGCACAGTTGCAGCCCTTGTTTGGTGACTGATTCAGTGGGCGATCAGGGCAATTCAGAAACAACAAGGCCTAACTCACCAGGCTCACCAACTGATGGACCCAGGTTGCTGATCCCTCTACAATTGGATCCTTCCAGAGGGGGGCTAGTCAACTTACAGTTGACGCCCAGATCTTTCGAGGGAGAGATGCAAGCTTCAGAAGGCGAGCAGGCGAGGACTAAAAGAGGAGAGGGGCGTCAGTATGCTGTGCTCCACAGGCACTCAATTTGGTGGTCATGGTCAGCGCAATGGAACTTTGAGGGTGGGGATAATCTCGTAAACAAAGAATCCCTAGCTACCAGGCCAGCAAAATTCTGGTCGACTGCGGTGTGAGCTTGATGAGTTGTGCATATCCCCCATAGAGAGGGGCGATGAGATGAGACAATGCAAGTGACAGAGAAGGAGTAAAAGCCCAGACCGTCAGTGTGTAGCCATTGTTGCATCTTTCGTGGGGTTTGCATATGTGCTAACACATAGATGGTACCTAGGAACAGAATAGAATTACCTTTATTATGAACGAGGGGCGTCGGCAGATTTGCTCCAGATTGGATCATTTTAGAGGCTGCTGTTAACTTTCCTATGTCTGTTTCCAAGCCGTCTGTTTGGCCGACGACCTGAGGGGATGATAAAAACACTTGATTAGATCTAAGGTAAATTTAGGAAGACATTTGGTTGATTGTTTTTAGACGCTGTGATCTTGAGTCTTCTTGATCCCTGATTTGGGCACTTGATAGATCAGATCAGACCTTCCTTACCTAGCACGTATCGATAGGTAAGGTTGCTCGTGTTTCGTGTTTTGAAATGAATCGCTTGTACATGTTGTAGACGACGTGGCAGGTCATGTTGGAGCATACATAAGATCCACTGATCCAGGAAGAGAAACCAAACCGCTTGCCCAAAAAGCCGCCAGTATTTAAATCATGCTGGTATTGGCATTGGCGCTGGCGTAGCACAGGGAGCTATGAAGTGGTACTGCAGGCAGACTGGATTCTGGAGCACGGGCTGGCCTCCCAATGTTTACCAAGGTTGGAAAGTGTCGTTGTTTCCACAGCCCCTGAGTGGATGAAAGTAATCGAACTTGACTCAGCGCTTGGATGATACTGTCAGGATGAGCGAGTCGCCAACTGACGACCTTTGGGGCTTGCAGATGGATAGATGACTGGTTACCGCACTTGCCATTAATAACTTAAAACAGGGAGGGGAGAGTTCAAGCGTTCTCAACCTATTCAGGCGGAGCAGGACGACTTGCGCTTTCAGTCTAGCCTAGGGTGAAAGAAAACAAGAGACTGGGTTAGTGGTAGATCAATGGAATTTGGTGTAAGCCAGTCTCGTGTATTTTTACCGCCCAAGGGACCTCCACATCTGTGACTGGGCAATCGACCAGCTAATAAGATGGATGCCAGCGCTCAGGCCGTCGGGCGTTGCTGGAACGTGCCTACCCTAGCTGCCTTACCTGAGATACCGATCCAAGCAACCAAGGTAATTACCTCAGGTGTTAGGTGGTACATGCCTGAAGAGTCAGGCGGCCTTGCACCGACATTCGTTCGAGCTTTGAGTCGAAGTCTCCTTGATCTGGCTGTCTGGCGTTCTCTCCTCATCAATACCTCTCTTTGGCGACCTAAATTAATATGTCTGCTAACACCTTAGTCCTTGTCTGAGGTCTCGCTCCATGTAGCCCAAACCGCATTGCCGTTACCTGTGCCTGGTCATCTAGTCTATCACACGCCCAGAAAAGCACTCACAGTGGTGCACAGTAGTGACTTACCTGGCTCTCCTGCACAGTCGGAGTACCATGTGCATAATGCAACGCCGGGTACCCGCCCACAGGCTTAGCTACCAGGAGAAGCACCATTCCGACTCTTAGGTACTAGAGTGCGAGTGTGGCCCCACATCTCAATATCTGAAATGGTACGTTCAAATTTCTCGTAGACGTTGGAGCCATTATACAGCCAAGACAGCGCAACACGAACCGCCTGCGATGGGACTTTGATGGAGTTATGCTGCGCCATCAAGACCCTTGCCAATACATCGTCTTGTTGATTAAACTTTCACGGTGATAACCATTCAAGGCCTCAGAGCAAGCACTCGGTGCCAGTGCATCAAGCTATCCACCCATTCATTGAAGTCTTGCACAGAGCGTTTATCACGGTTGCCAGCACATTATTTCGTCCATCCTCGGGAAATCGCCAATGATACTGTTCCTCACCAGACAAGCGTTCAATAGTCCCAAGAATAAACGGATCATGATATGCAAGAGCATGTACAAAGAAGCGGGTACAACAAACCGTTATTACCGGTGTCCTTCCTCGGCGGTGACGATAGGCGGATCTCAAACCCATTGCAAACATCATCAAGCACCTGTCGATCAGATATGATTGTTTCTCCTAGGAGAACGCCCTTCTCGCATCTCACCCTCTTTGCGAGTTGCAACAACTCAGCGTGGAGCCGAGAAATGGGAATTACATGTGCTACAGCAGGGGTGTCTGCAGTACCTGGCCGAAGCATGCCAAACCACGAAAGCAGTGATGCGCATCCCGCTTGGATGAGATTCAAGACCCTTCCGGAGTGGCACTTTCACTAGTAGGGAAATGTCCCATCCTTTGGCCTGGGCGCGCCGCTTCCTATAGTAGTGGTCCCCCCAGCCCATCTCAGGCCCCAAAAATGCATGCATTGTGGCGCCGGCTAGTGCTGTACTTGGCGCACCCCTCCAGCAATATTCTACCCCCTACTGCTTGGTGAGTCTCAAGCGGATGCTGCGGCCAGACTGGCTGACTACCTTGCTCTTTGTGTTTTATTACGACTCCAGCCCGTGGGCCAAATTCTTCTCCATCCCTTCTATTCCCCACTACTCCATGTGAGCTGCATCCCTAGCGGCAGGGGTGACTTGCCTAGCTTGCCTTGAGTCCAGACGACCCGAGGATGTCCACTTCTTCTAGAGACGCCGCTCTCATGGGTCTTCAACGCAATCATAGCGGCGGGAGGCCCCATCACCATCACTACCTGTTTCCTCTTTGTTCGCCTTGTCGGTACGACGGTACCACGCCAAACTTAGCGTATGCCTACCAAATCGGCGTGAACCGCACTGATCCTACTCTATACCATTCGACACGCCCTCACACAAGCACACCCTTGACTCCATGCCGCAGACGTCGTCTCAATACCCAGAGCAGCAGCCTGATTCTCGCTCCGGCACTACTTCCCGCCCGCCTTTCTCACTGCTTGCTGGCACCGCCCGTTGACACACCCCCTGCCGGCCCGTATGACGCAGCCCACCACCCCAGCTGCCATGCTAGAAAATTGATAATCCTAGCACAGGAACGTGAAATGAGGGTCAAATGTGATGAGGAGCCTAGCCAAGTACCCCATGGGCGAGATTCTGATTTGACGGTTGTTCTAAATTCTACGGTTAACAACCATCATGTCGCTACTAAATCGCCCATGCTTCTTTATTGCTTGGTCCCTCCTGGCCCACACCTAGATCCTTGGAGAGTTGATCTTGTTCAAAGCTGCTAGACTCGATTTATCTTTCAAGCCATCGATTGCCCCATGTTTCGTTAACCCCCTCGAACCCCTTTGGAGCCGGTACCACCATTTCACGATACATATTCAAGCTGAGCCCTTCTCAATTCTCTTGGGATCTACCATCATTACTTACACCTCAATAATTATTTTATATTGAGCACGATAACTACTTTGGTATCAGCTGTCGTTTTGATAACTTGTCTCGATACATCTCAACTTTCCACGTCATATTACTTATTTGATACACTTCAAGATGATGCACCCACTCTTCGGTGTGCAGCCAGCAGGCTCCTTGCCCATCACATATCCTTACGACACAATGCTGGACGACCACACACAACAAATGGCATGCTCGCAATCTTCAAGAAGGTTCTCACGAGGGTCCAGTGGACAACGATCTGGAGGTGCTATGAGAGTGACCAAGCCTTCAAGCGCCAACAACAGCCCTCGCTCGTCTGGTTTCATGGCTCGCCGCAAGACTCTTATGAATGACGGCAACTCGCAACGTCGACAACAGCAGATCATGGAACAGCTATCAACGTTTTGTGACGTTGAGTCGAAGCAACCCGCCCCACGATCATCGCGTCCTGTGAGTTGGCATCCGGGCTCATATGGCCAACAACCTTATGTTCAGGCGCAACAGCCCGCGTATGCCTTGACCACAAGCCACTTGCCTACCGACCACCAAGACTTGCACGGTAACTATGCTCATTATTCTCCAATGATGGGTTCGACTTCATGCGGTACATCCCCGCTGGCATTCTCCCATCTGCCTCTCCCATATCAATCTACCGACAACATGACCTGCAATCCTTACCACGGAACGAACATGTCGCATCACTCACCCGCTGCTTCTATGGTCTTGCCGGGTCGTCAACTGCCTGTCATTTCTGCACCCGCCGAGGCAACTGATAGCAATGGATGGGACTGGAATACCTTTATCATGCACGGCATTGGCTCCACAACACCCCCCACCCCTGAGACCCTCCCACAAACCCAATTGTCTCAACCTGCAGTATCAGAGGATCCTCACTATCAGGCTCTTGAAGATGCCGCGGAAGAAGACGGCGAGATTCTGGTTGGAATGGGGCTTTACGACACTCCGGAGAAGTACAACGAAGATCCTCAGCTCAACAACTATCGATCTACTGTATCATCTTTACTTGGGTCATCATTCAGGACCCATGAACCCCAAGGCAAGGGCCTGAAGCTCGAAGAGACATGGGAACCTCCCAAATCTGACGAAGAGGATGAGGATGACGACGAAGACGAGGACGAGGACGATGAGCAGTGAACCCGCTGCATCTCGAATTTTGTAACGGCATACATGAATAATGACATGGATTTTTGTATCACTATGGTGTTCACTGGTAGGCAGGAAAAGCCAGCTTTTGCTTCTTCGGGACATGGGGAAATATAGGGTGATAAGGTCGGTGCACCTGGATCTCAGGATAAGGAACATGGATGCAAGCGTTTGGATTTACTGCACATATAGAGTCTGGCTATGGATACCCCGTGCACAGAGCACAAAACTAGGAGATACAAGTAAGGCTCAGGCAGCCGCCCAATAGTTATCCAACGAAGAAGTACACAACCAATATGTTGAGAGAGAATAAAGCGACTTAACAATGTGTCATGTATTATGGCCTAACAATAATAACTCCACCATAGCCTATCATGCGACAGCAAGATCCATCATTCACCACAGCATTGTTGGAGATAGCTTTGGCAAAAAGAGGCGGTATGAGGTGGACCCAAAAAGAGCCGCGTCTCCTTCCAACGTTGATTTAGCTGTGCTAAACCCTGTCCAACATGTGGCATATCAAAGATCCGTGCTTCCGCACTTGACTCAGCATATTCAATTGGTCAAGTCCCAGATTTGACGCCCCCCTCCCCACTCTGAGCCAGCCCTGCGTGGCATGTGCACGACCCCCTCTTCCGATTTCTTTTTTTACGGCATTACGTATTTGCTCAGGGACGGTTGTGGCTGAATAATAAAAAGTGGCTAGCTCCACTGTGTGATTGATCGGGAACTCAATCCAATTCAGCAATGGAAATGTTGACCTTAGCAACTTCTTAGCACTCTGTGCGGTTCGGAGGCTCCGTAGATAGAGCTGGTAGTCATACGAACCAAGGTGACAGCGGAGAAAGGAGCAGGATGTATGATTACTCGTGGTTCTGGGGAGACATGACTAGCATGTTCCAAACGAGACTTGACCAGGAGCTCTGCTCCACCTCATGACCTGAAAATTGCTCAACCTGCCTAAGACGCAGGGAGGAGGGGAGGTAGGTCCTTTTCCGAGGTGGGATGGTAGTGATAGCCGCTAGATTTATACCGTGCTGATTGGCAGGGTGCTAAACGCTCTCGCCAAGCTTCCATTCTCGACCTCTACCATCCGAAAACGCAACCGCATCATAAAAGCATCTACAATCTAGTAGGTATACTTTTAAGACACCATCTATTGAATACCTACTACAAGGAAAGTTTTTGAGTTCAGGCGCTCTGAGTTTTCTTACTTTACTTAGATACCCTGTACCGTGCCAGCCTCAGGCTTTGAGGATTGTGCTTTGTATGCATTGAAATGTTTATCTAACACGTTGGCGTTCAAATACGTAGGTGTTGGGAGGGGAAATAAGGAATTGAAAGAAAATTATGATCATAATCCTGAAAACCCCTTGATATATCGTAGGTTGTAGAATAAACACATAGAGCATTGAAGCGTGATACTGTTGGCAAGAACATTACACCTTGTTCAAGCGATAGATATCCATCATTTGACCCTGAAAAATTGTTATCCTAACAAAATCCTACAACCAGTGCGCGACAACACTAAAAAATAGGAAAGAAAGAAATACACGCACTACTGTTTCCCCTGAACAAGTGAGTAGATGTTGCTTGCTATCTAATACCCCAGAGAAAATATCTATTTTTCTATTATCTTTATTTGAAAAAAAGAAAAGAAAAAGAAAATGGTACAATACGTCTTCACACCATGGCGCGACCGTTACGAACTCTTGCTCGTTCGCGAGCAGATGTACACAGGCATCGACACCAACGCCACAGAGGCAAAGGGGCATTCCGGCCATTCTGAAGGCAGCGTAAACATACAAAACCAACAGATTTTGGACGATCATGAAACACAGAAGAGGCAACACAAAGCGGTTGCGCGTGTGTCGATGTGGATGCAGCGAGGAAACTGTCCTCACATGGTCGAGTCAACAGCACTGTTGATGGCTGCCATGCTGAGTGATAAAGAGGCAGCCGCTGGAGAAAATGCAGCTTCGTCAGCGTATGCAATCAGAGCAGCATATTCAGCTGCCTTTAGCAGGTAAGTTCTGCCAGCCGAGACCCATTGCTGTGTGACAGAGCTGATGGAACATAAGGTTCGTTACTGGTCTTCTTGATGGCCATCAGGACAAACAGCGCAAACAGAGCATGTACTCTATTGCAAAGACCATTGGATTACCCGCTACATTCGTTGAGCTTCGCCATCAGTCAACGCACGAACAGTTGCCCTCATTGGCAAAGCTGCGCACAGCAGCTAAGAAGGCCTTATTGTGGATTTGGGATTATTACTGGAAGCAGCTGGGCGAGGACAATAGCGACGCGTGTCGCAAGGCAGTACTACGGTATCTCAGTGAGGGAGATGAATCGAAGCTGGCGGCTCTGTTCCAGGAGTTTGAGCGATGGCCTCCAGAGCGCGTTCTCAAGACAGTCCAAGAGGTCAAGGGCAGTTTGCCAGGCAATCAAGCCTTTTTGAAGTGCGCAGAATTGATGCAGAGGCTACGAGAGTCTGAGGAAGATAAGAAGTCGTCAAAATCTGGTACCGCCGATACGACCATGAAAGATACAGAGCCTGACACTGGTGAAGCTGATGAGGAAGATGACTTTGGGTGGTCACAGTTCAAAGGCACATGGAAGCCTAAACCTATTGGGATTGTTTAGCCCGAGCATCCAATCTTTCTATCAGATACCCCTTATTGACCAGACGTATAAATCATTCTGCAGAGGCAAATATGGGTGATGTTGGAATTGGACTCGAACATGTCACGTGCAGTCGCCCGCATCGGCAAACGTCATGATACTGGAGCCATGATGCCTCGCTTGGATGACAAAGCCTCACGTCTCATTCGATCTTGTTCTGTTACAGCGCATCCGCCTTCAACTGGCCTTGACATTTACACATACCTACTTATGTATAGACTCGCTATAAGTCGGCCATTCCCCAGACAGAAAATTGGATTTCTATCTAGTGCTGTGAGTCAATTGTTCAAGTCCAAAAGGTGTGCCTAGCTGAGATGATGTAGCTCGTTGCTGCTACCCGCGCCATGCATATTCAGTCAATTCCTATGTGTATGTCAAGTGTCCGAAGAATCCTCTTTTAAGTCGAGGAATCTGAAACTGATTTCAATAGGGGAGGGAAGCTCCAACAACTACGCTTACCTGGTAGTTGACGATAAGTCCAAGGATGCCGTCATCGTTGATCCCGCAAACCCTCCAGAGTACATAGTAACCATCCTGAGAATATTTGAGAAGCTGCTGATGTATATTCCAGGGTTGCGCCTATTCTGAAGGATGCTATTCAGGCGGGGAAGATCAACTTGACAGCCATTGTCAACACCCATCAGTGAGTATCATTAACCGTCAATTTCTCCCGACCTAGACTGATCTCCTTGCTGCCATTGGGATCATGCAGGAGGCAACAAGAAGCTGGTAAGACACCCCAAAATGATGTCCCATGAATACTTATCGACATCCATAAGCTTGCTGAGCTGGGCAATCCCAAGCTAGACATTATCGGCGGCAAAGACTGCGAGGGTGTTACGAAGACACCTGGTCACGGCGAGACCTTCAAGCTAGGCGACATCACCTTCAAGGGTGTGCATACACCTTGCCACACTCAGGACAGCATCTGCTTCTTTGTGGAAGACGGAAAGGACAAAGCTGTTTTTACCGGTGATACCCTTTTCATTGGCGGTAAGCTTGAGCAAACCTCGAATGCGTACAAGGATGTTTTGGGCCTGTGCTGATAATGAACAGGATGTGGAAGATTCTTCGAGGGCAATGCGGAGGAGATGCATGAGGCTTTGAACAAGCGCCTTGCGGCGTTGCCTGATGATACTGTAGTTTATGTAAGTTCTGAGCCAACACAAAAGTCCATCGATGCTCATATTGTGACAGCCGGGACATGAGTATACCAAGGCCAATGTCAAGTTTGCCGCATCTGTTTCCCAGCGTGATGCTGTACAGAAGCTGCACTCCTTCGCCGAGAACAACAAGGTCACCACCGGCAAGTTTACCATCGGAGACGAAAAGGTAACTCGAATTTATGAGTTCTCTCGATATGAAACGGCTGACTTTGCATAGGAACACAACGTCTTTATGAGGGTTGAGGTTCGCCAAAGTTCTTGAACATGTTAGGTTACCAAGCTAACAATCACAGGATCCCGAGATTCAGAAGCAGACAGGTGAGACCGAGCCTGTGGCAGTTATGGCCAAGTTACGCGAAATGAAGAACAACTTCAAGTGAGTAAGTAGTGACACTTCCTCACTATCCTTTATCCTCTCACGGCTGACTAGTCTAAAGAGAGCCAGAGTCCAAGATATAGATGTCAGGTAACAGAGTAACAAGGGCCCAGGAGGAACCAAATACGTGGGTGAAGATGAGTTGCATAGGGCGAGTGAGTGTTCTGAGTGAATAATTGACTGCATTGAAAATTAAGTACTACAAATGTATATCTCCATGGATCGCTAGGTGCCTGTCTTCAAAGACTTGACATCGCTTGCTACCCGCTGGAACCACGCCGGTTTGAAGTTGTCCGACGAGGCTTGTTTTAATTTTGCTTCACTGTCCACACTTGCTCGCTGTAGTGATTTCAAAGCGGCAAGCTCTAGCATTTTTAGAAGCGAATATTGAGGAACGTCACAGTATCGAGAAGAGCTGTCGGCGTCGAAATCCGAGTATATAGTAACGGCATAGCAGGCATAAGTAAACAAACCGTAGAGTACTTCGCGGTGATTATTCTCCAAAAGAGCGCGAGTGCATTGTGAAATCAGTCCAAAGAGACTGTAGAAATGTTGAGGTGAGGTGTTAAAGGGAAGCGGTTTGGGTTTCTGAAGAAAAATTTATTAAAAGTCATTGCTAGAAGGGCCCGTACAGTCTGAATAGAGTCTAGAGACGGTGTTGGTGCACTGTCCTTCGCGGACGCTAAATCCACTATCGTCACCACAACTATCTATCGTGACATCAATCATCGCTACTGCGTGCAAGTGCTTTCTGTTCTTTCTTCGCAAGCGCAAATGGTAATGCATACTCTGATCGTATATCAGTAAAGACATGGTCTAACAGAATTTCTCAGCCTCCAAAGCGCAAGGCTCCCGCGACCAGCGCAACCGCCGCGCCCAAGGCGCGACAATCCAAACTTGCAAAGGAGCATAACGTTACTGCGCAAGAAGAGGGCGAGATCCGCGAGGCGTTCAGTCTCTTTGCGGAGCCAATGGATGGTGAGAAGCATGGAGTCTTGCCTATTGACGACGTCAAGTCTGCGCTCATGTAAGTATCCATGTGAGGACGCTTCTGAGTTCTTGGCTGACATATGCTTGTTTAATTAGAGCCCTCGGTGTTCCGCCCTCTTCTCACGCAGAGCTCAAAGAATTTATATCAATCCTGGACCCAGAAAACGACGGTTACGCGACATTTGAACCTTTCTTCGCAATCTGCGCCCTCAAATTCCATACAAGAGAGCACGACTCGGACGCCCATCGTGCAGAAGTCGAGGAAGCTTTTCGACTATTCACAAACGGTCAGGATGGACCCATTACCCTTGCACACCTGCGACGTGTTGCTGCTGTGCTCAAAGAGGATGTCGATGAGGAGCTACTCAAGGATATGATTCTCGAGGCGAACGGCGGCGTAGGTGTTGCTAGGGGAGTGGGCGTTGAGGAGTTTGATGGAGTTATGAAGAGTGCTGGTGTCTGGAGGTGATTCTTCAGCTTCCAGGAGGCGCCACCATGTTACGATTTACGAATAAACGAAACTTCCCTTATACGGCTTGGGGCAGTTGATACCATGACATGAAGCGGAATCGACCCAAGAGTTGCAATCTTGCATTGGGAGAGAGGTAAGAAACCCAAGATGAGGGACAAGACGCTGACTGCTAATCATGCATTGTCGTTTGCAGACCAGCGTACATGATAATTATTATAGTATAGTGCGCGTTACTGAGTTGAGGCTTGTTTGGAGGGACCTTGATGAGTTCAAAAACGGAGGCATCAGCCATTCAGTGTCTATATCAGGAGTCAAGGAGCAGCTCTACGCATTCACTGTTTCCAAATCTAATTACACAATCTTAAAAGCGCTAGGTTCCTCAGGATCAACGGTCCTGGCCAATACATATGTATAATAACACCTAATTCTGAAACGCCTTATCAGATGCATGCATGCCCCGTAGGTGACAGCGACGGGACGGGATATGTGAGCTAACAAGCACACACTATGTCAACCCAACTACCTGAAATGAACCTGAACTATATAGCAGCGCAAAACCAAATGTCGTAACTTTCGTGAAAATCATTGCGGAGACTCGACCGTCACCGCTGGCTTAGCGTCACCACCCTTGGCCGCGGCGGCGAGCTTCTCCTCTTCCTGTCGGCGGGAATCGAGCACGACTTTGAGCTCCGGGGGAGGGTTGAAGCCAGCGTGGTCTGAGTGACGTTTGTAGTAGTATGCGTCAGGCTTGGGGTGCATCTCGGGAGGGAGCTCTTCCATGATGCACTTGACGATGTTGTCGATTGAGTTCTTCTTGGAGGCGTCGCGGTGCCATACGGTGATGAGGTGGGAGTTGAAGCGGACGGAGAGACCAACACCACAAAGCTGGTCGTCTATAGCAGAAGTTAGCACAAGTGTGTCCATTGTGGTCAGAGTTCATACCGTCGTCGAGAACACTTTGGAGTTTCTCGCCAATAGCAAGGAGCTGAACACGAGTCCACACATCAGGACCTATGCTCTTAGGGAAGCGGAATGTCCAACTTCCACCAAGAATATTGCGTCGATCCTCCCAGACAGGGCGGAAGCCTGACTTGAAAAGATACAAAGACTCTCGAACACCGATATTTCCGACAGGGGTATTATTGGCATATCGCCAAAAGTCCTGCACCGACTCGATCTGGGTACCCAGCTGCTCCAGCCCTGAGTGATACTGATCACCGCTTTCCCCTTCCTTGGCCTGTCGGTCGAAGTAGACGTTCCAATAATGCTGAGTGGGTAGTGCTCGCATCGTCTTTAGGAAGTTTCGCTTGGCATCGTCGCGCTGTTCGGCGGGAGAGCTGGGATCGTTCTCCTGAGATTGCGAGTCTGCGGAGCCGCGCGTGAAGAGAGGGAGACGGGAAGACATATTGGTAAGATGCGGGATGAAGAAGGAGGGAAAACGAATGTAAGAATGCTGAGTATGGAGGTGAGGAAAGCCAAAGGTCGGAGATGAGCACGGAGACTGAAGTTGAAACTACAGTACAGAGGCAACCCTGTCACGTAGGTAGGTAGGTAGCTTAGCTGGTGAGGGGCACGTCAGACAGAAAGAGGAATGGACAGCTTAGTCCAGGTTAACTATTAACAGCCCCTATTTCGTCGTTTAGTCCTTAATAACAAGCGAATAATGGCAGGCATGTAAGGAGAAGGCCAGTATGTAGTAGTCAAATAAGGAGACGTGTATACGCACTTTCGAAAGTTTAGGCCAAGTATTTTGTTGTTACTGTAGATGCCCAAATGCCGAGCTATGGTGGGGATATGCCTAGTAGGATGGAGTTGCAGAAGCTACAGTAACCAGGTAGGTCGGTATGCCTCAAGGTGTCCGAAGACTTCTATAAGACTCTGAATAGGGGGTGAAGACAAACAACTGAAATAGTCTACTAGGGTGACCCTTAAATATACTAAGTATACATATTGGTATTTTTATTGTCCAAGATAAATGTCAAGTTTTCTGCGATCAGAGCATAGCAGAAATAGTTGACATGGCATGATACGACATGACTGCGGGGTCCTCGAGGCGGCGAATGAGCTACTACAGGCTTTGCAATCCCTATTGATTGGCGACGAAACATCGTCAGTTGCCCATTTATTGACCTCTGTTACTGCGATCAAGGCATGTTGTATTTTCTCAGCTGACATTTTGACGAATCATCGTGACAGTTTCAGATATCCCTGATAAGACTGAAACTGAAGTTTAGAACCGACTCAGCCAATCAGGTCAAACACCTTGCTTAGTGAAACTACCTAGTTTGACAACGATCATATCGACAGTTCATCCTGTAGCGTTAACTGACGGATCGGAAAAGGGGTCTTAAGCCTCCCAATTGGGAGGACTCGCAGGAGATAGAGTTACTCACGCGTGTATAAAACAACAAGCTTAGAAAACAAGAAAACCCCTGCTAACCAGCGTACTTATGTAGTTGCCTAACGTTGATGTTGCTATCATTAGTTGATCTTGGCCAAATCCCCATCTGTGTCAGAACGAAGACAGTGTTTTGTAATATTGTGAACTCTTACATGTGGTGACAAGGATACAAGAGAGATGATTTTTGCTGTTTGGCTTCGGAGGATGGGTAAGGAGAGAGACATCGGCCCCTACTCTTGTTTTAAGACATGATAGTAAAGTGTAAAGACCATATATTTCACCAGGAGCTTGTCATTAAATTTACAGTGCTTCTAACTAACCAACTACCTACCTAATGACTATTCTCTGGTAGACTCATATGGATATTGTGTTTCTCAGTAGTTATGGTACCACTTGATTGACAGTTTGGAATGTTACAGATTTTGAGACGGCGTAGCAGGCTACAGGAACTTGTAGTTATGAAGCTTTATTATCGAGTACTGATTTGTCAAGAGGTACTCGGAGATGAAGCTTCTCTCGCTGCCATATAGTACTCCAGGTACCTGGTTAAAATTCCCTGACTGTAAAGAGCAACTGACTGTGACGGTGGTGTGCTATTGCACGGAAAGCCCAACGGTTCGTGAACCTTGCTTGGTTCCTGTCTTGAATCTCCCACTTTCTTTCTTTCTTCATTACTTTGTCACAATTTCGTTATTGAATAGTCCCAAAACAACTTTTTCCTCATACAACCAAGATAGTCAGTCTAAATACCTACAAAGTCTGCACTCAACTGACCTAGCTGTTATCGTCATTTTTTAACAAAGGGGTCTTGAGTTTCCCTACCTCCTGTAGACCCTATCCCTAGCCGTCTACAGGGGCCATGGTGGTTGTGGTATACATACACGCATAAACAAATAGGTTACCATGAACTCTATGGTCCATTTTATCATACCATTGACCCTGATGGACTCGTGTGTGATAGAATTCTTCATGTTTAAATCATTTGTAATGTAACGTAACGTAGCCTATTGTCCAGCAAACTCAAAGAGACATCCAGTGAATCTAATCCGACCCAGTCATTCAAGCAACGCTTCCAAAACACCATGCTCCATTCATGCTAGCAAATCTTCCTTCAACCACTTCTGCTTCGTTGGTCATTCTTTTCAGAGGGTTTCCTTTGCGCCCAGTGGCATTCTCGCGCTGTTCTCATTCTTAAACCTCGTCAAGTCCCCTTGCATCAACTTCCTCAAGTTACCCATATCCTGGAGGTATTGCTGCATTTCTTCTTGCAGCTCATCCTCACCATATGCTGTGCTCTCCGAATCGTACTGATCGTCATCGTACTCACTATATTCGGAGGCATTCTCCTTGTCCTGCTCGTCGACTTCTCGCTCTGGCTTTACGACAACAGGAGGAATAGGGTTCTTGAGGCTTTCGATAGCGAGCTTCAGGTGCAGTTTCAAGGCCTCATTCTCCGTCTGAAGCTTCTTGATCTTGCTCTCAGCTACCATGCTGCGCTCCTCCATCATGCGCTGCATAGAGTTGACATGAGTCTGGTACTCCTCCAGTTTGTCCTCAGCTTCCTTGGCGTTCTTCTCACGCTGTCTCGAGTCTGATACGGAAAGCTGCAGAATACGAATTTCCTCCGCCATGGCAGCAATCTGTGCGTCTCGCTCGGCTGTTGATATGTGGTCCTGGTTGACAACAGCTCTAGTTCGGATTCGTTTGGCTTGGTCGGCATATCGCAGCGTGGAAAGGGTTTCATCGTAATCTGAGGGTGCGATGCAGGCAATCATGGCCGTCTTGCTGTTTCCTCCTAGTGAGTCTTTGAGAAGCCAGGTGAGGATTGAGTCTCGGTATGGGACAACCTCTTTTCGCTTTCCACCTCTTCCGGCCTTGGGGTCCGCTAGAGCAGCAATTACACGTCCCAGCGTGGTCAGTGATTTGTTGATGTTGCTACCTTCACGTAATCGCGCACCAGTAGCCTCGGTGGCCTTCGCTCTCTCGCTACCAGCCAGATCCACCAGTCGAATGCGAGAGCTTCGCTCTGTCGTCTCGTCGGTTTCCATATCGTGGTGAATTTGTTTCAGCATGATTGTGAAAACGGCGTGACTTCGACTACTTGTATCGTTCATCTTTGTGCTCGCTACCGTGCGAGATGTATCGCCCAATTTCATGTAGCGCAGAATCTCATTAATGTTTCGCACGGGCACCTCGGTAAGATCCTTGACGTATGGACCTTCAGTGGGAGATTCGCGAATCTTGAGATAATTGGGCGCCTTGTGCGTTTGAGGAGGAACGAGGAGGTCACGGACGTGCTCATTGTAGACTTCAAAGTATGAGACGCGAACATTATAGGCGACGTTTGAGTTCTCGCAGTGAGCGGCGTCGATACGCTCAAAGAGATCCTCGCAAGTCCGAGGAATCAGGCCAGGCTGGTCTGGAGTGCCCATCATGGTGTAACTCTTTCCAGATCCAGTCTGTCCGTAGGCAAAGATACACGTGTGGTAGCCTTCGAAGTTGTGATCGAGAAAGTCCTCGCCAAGGCTGTTGTAAACGTCTTCCTGAGTGGCGTAGTGCTCGTCGTTAGTGTCATGACTCCAGAAGGAGTTATCGAAAGTAAATTTCTTCTCCTCGATGACCTTCTTGGCCTTTAGCTTTGCAGCCTCTGGGTCGGGATCATCGGGTGCGGAGAGCGTTGTGAGTTGAGTGATGGGGTCCATTTGGATCAGACATTTTGCCTGGCGTTCAAGTTCTGCAGACTAGTCAGATACATAGGCTCTATGAAAAAAAGAAGACCGTGTGCTTATGTGTGTTCACCTCTCTTGAGAAATGCTCTCACTCGGACTACGACCTTGACATTTCCTCCCCCCTCCATTCTGGCGGGCATGGATAAAGCCGCATCTCGAGATCTGAGCGATGGCGTTGAAGCTGAAGAGTGAACCCTGCCCTCATAAAAAGACGCCGAGGGCGATGAAGGAGAAGGCATCAATCTCGAGTCCAGAGCCATCGTCATAAGAATGCTGTTGACGTTGTCGATGCTGTCGTGAAGTCGATGTCGAAGAATAACCCACATCTCACCGTCTTCCCTTGTAGGTATTTTTTGTTTACCAGCGTCATTCACGTTGCTAGGGGCAGTTGCAGGGGGCCCTTGTCTGCGTAGTACAGGTCTTGACTGGTTTAACAGAAGGGAGCTTGGGCCAAGCGGCCCATCAAGACTCGGCAGCTCTAGTCTGAATCAAGTCTAGACTTTTCGTCAATGTCTGAAAGAAATACCACTCTTTCTGTCTGCTGTTCTTTACTCGAGTTATTCTGTCGTACTTGATAACCCAATTCTTTGACGCGGGGACCAAGTGACGCGAATTAAACTCCAGCCACCCTTGATCAATTTTACTTGCTAATTAGGGCGCTGCACCTGAGCTGAGCTTAGCTCGCCTATACCTAGGTACAGATACCTTTGCAGACGAAACGCGACGTCCAACATTCGTCTGCCCTCTCTTCTTCTACATCCCACAACAATCTTTTGTCGCGTTTTCAACTACAACAATCCGACCGAATAAATTAGCATCGTGCTTTACTGTGCGATTTTCCGGGAAATTTTATCACGTTCTTGCCCACCTCAATTTTTCGCCATTTTCTCTCTGTCGCACCATGGCGCGTACCAAGGAAGATGTCGCATCCAAGGGCGATGCCTCGCCTCGCATCCCCAAATCCTCCGCCGGAGTGACCAAGAATACCGCTGAAGCTCCCGTCAAGCGCGGTCGTGGACGACCTCCCAAGGGTGCTGCGCCCATGCCCAAGAAGGTCTATGTTCCAACAGGACGCCCCCGCGGCCGACCCCCAGGTTCTGGCAAGAAGACCACCGCTGGACCCAAGAAGGTCGCTGCAGTAAATGACGATGGTACGCCAAAGCAGGGACGTGGTCGACCTCGTCGAGCTGCAAGCGGAACAGAGTCTGCTGCTACAACACCCAAGGATGGCAAGAAGCGTGGCAGAAAGCCAAAGGCCGCCGATGTATCAGAGGATGAAGAGACCAAGCACGATGAGCCTGGTAAGGAATTTCTACAAAGCGCTAAATGATTCTGTGCTAACATCTCTCAGCCGACGAGGATGATGCCGGCAATGAGTCGCCCGCTAAGGACGAGGTAGAATTCCATTCTCATACCCTTCAGCCTAGAACACTATTTACTGACTTGTTCCAGGCACATGACGAGGATGGCGAAGCTTCCGAGTAGGATTTCAATTATGGCCAATATAGAAATCCTAACATGAATAATCAGCGTCGGCGGAATTTTCCTAGTTTCACAATAGGGTCTGAGTTTGGTTCAATTGCTTTCAGGTGCTTGGGAACACGAGGGGTGAGGGTCAGGAAGAATTCATGGAACGGTTATACTGGGATTGTGCTCTTCAGGAGTTGTACAAATATCATGCTAATTTACAGACGGGTAAAGCAGGCCCTTTTATCCCACCCATCCCACCCCACTTCTCCTATCTAAAGTTTCTTCCATGTCTCATACTCCTCTTCAAGATGTCGTTTTAGCTTTTGGAACTGGTTCCCAAAGTTGAGCCCACATCTCCAGCACTTCATGTCCCAGCGCAAATACGCCTCCTCCTTCGTATTCCTGCGCGGATCATCAGCTGCAAGCGGAAAGTCGTCCAGATCAACCAGAAACGGCGTATTGAACGAATTGTAGTGCTTGCGATGTCTCAATGCTTCAGAGAACATATCTCTCGAGAAAACGTGCACGTGAAGGTGTCTCATGCTTGGTACCGCATGCACGCCGGCCTTGACTTCTGCGGCCCAGTCCCGACCCTCCGGGAGTTCCCCACTCTGGTCCGGCTCGGCATCTCCATCGAGCACGGCTTGTCGATGAGCATCACTCTGGCTGTGCGCGCCAAGACGACGCTGGAGTTCCTTTGCGACCAGAGCCTTGAGGCGCTGAGTCTCCGTCTTCACTTTGGCAAGGACCTCTGGGTCATCTAGGGCATCAAATGGATGGAGAAGATTATACTTTGGCGAGCGAGGGAGGAGTAGAGTGTGAATTGTGGCCTTTGGATAACGGTCGTTTATAGCGACAAAGTCCTCGTTGTGATAGATGACGCGTGAGGATGGGTATGAGGCTGGATCTTCAAGATATGCGCCCAAGCCCATGCGGTCTTTGAACGGGTTTCCGCTACGTGATGGCCGAGCTGTATTTGTCTCGGGCGGTGTTTTCCTCTTTGGGGCCATGAGTTCTGCGACTGTCATTTGTAAGAATGTTTCGAGCGAGTTGAGTGTGTGACTTGCATGCATTGCGGGTCGACTTCTTTGTAGGCTCTTCACCACGGATCTCTTCCCTGGTAATGGCCTCCTCCGGCTCTGAATCTTGATGAGACATGTTTTTAGGTGAGAATATTGGAAACGTTTGTAGGATGCCAGTTGTTGGCGTTGGCGTTAATGTTGGTGTTTTATACTGTGGCGGGAGCGTGCAGGACTCATGATAGAGTGCCCCACACAAGTCTTCTAAGCACAGGCATGAACAGATATCTATTCTGAGTTGTGTGTTGCGAAAGAGTACCTCAGAATTCAACATTTGATTGCAACTATATAAGTTTCTAACTGTTGAGTCATGCTCGAGATCTTCATACATTTGAAGAATGCTGCCGTCACGTCAAGAATTCAATTCTAATGTACCTCTATCTGCATTATAATGACCTTAGACCTTCTACTTAAGCATCCATACCATCGAGTTCAATCATCTTCCTCACTAACATGATGACCTCATCGTCCTTAACATTCATCTCTGGGCTCTCAACCTTCTTTGCAATCAACTCATCAACCATTCCTCTAAGTCTAGCCAGCAAAACACCGATACGCGCCCATCCTCGAAGTCTGAGCCATCCGTCAACAAGTAGACCTCGACCAAGAGTGTCGAGTTCGATAGGACCCGAGAATAGTAGGAGTGTGTATGCATTGAAGGCTGTTTGATATGTTAGCGAAACCGAACAAGACTTGCAACATGAGAGGGGATATACGTACGTGTCAGGTCCCGAATGAAGATCTTGCTGGTTGAGATCAGACTGAAATAAGCCATATACGCAGCATTCCCCGAGAAACCCTGGCTTCCAAATAACGTACTGCTTGGGTGAACAAACACGCGTCCATTTTCTTGGTTAAAGTACTTGATCGACCTTGCCTCAGGGTCCAACTCCACGGCACCAGACATTGAACTTGCAAACTTCTTGTCGGGGTACTGGATGCGAGCGATCTGCGGTGTGAAAGCCGCAGCAACCAGCGCTCTCAGGAGCTGGGATCCATCAGAGCTAGCTCCACGTGCATGAGCCTCGATTGTCGCTTCTGAGGGCGACACGATACCAATCTCTCCCAGGGCTGTGTAGTACTGTGCGCGCGTATTGGAGATGTCCGACAAGGTCTGGAAATTGAGAAAGTTCTCTTCACACCATGATCGTATCTGACGATGGGGTATGTGGTCCTGCATCATGAAATCCCACTCCTGGAAGGCCTGAAGATCAGTTAAGAGATCCCCATCACCTCTGTAGAACCTCATACGAGCCTCCTTCGCTTCGTCTCTCTTTTCTTGTGGAGAAACGAAGGGACTTCTTGTGCTCAGAATCGCTGCAATGGTTACGCAATCATCTAGACAGCCGAAGATGGCACCAAACACCATCAGCTTGCCGCACCGAAGGTCAGCTGGGAGCATGGCAAGCTGCTGACCCATAGCTGTAAGCTCGTCACCATCGAGTGCTCCCATGCGTCGCAGGAGCTTCATAGCTCCATCAATAGCAGTCGCGTCAGGAGGTGTTGGAGACCTGCCAAGGAACCCGGCAACATCCTTCATTCCCATAGCACGAACTGAGAGACACAACTGTTCCAGTGGAACACGGCGAATCTCTGGCTCAGGTCGTTCGGGCATTTGTTGTTCGAGATTTTGCGTAAAGAGTTTGTAGCATCTGCCCTCTTGAACTCGGCCAGCTCGACCACGTCGTTGCTTACAGGCGGCGCGTGATGCCCACGTTTCCTCGAGCTTGCGCATGTTGTTTTGCACATCGAAGCTGGTCTCCTTGACCTTTCCGCTGTCAACTACCACAACAATGTCGTCTATTGTGATGGAAGTCTCTGCAACATTGGTTGCGACCACGACCTTTCGCTTTCCTGGAGGAGCACCAGAGAACACTCTTTTCTGCTCGCGTGTCTCAAGCGAAGCATGAAGTGGCAAAACATGAAGCGAATTAATAGCTTTGAGTGCGCGACAAGCTTGGTTGATCTCACCAACTCCAGGGAGGAAGATCAGAATGCCACCAGGTTTCTTTTCGTAGGATAGCTCGAAATCAACGGCCTTGACCGTCTCAACCAGCAGGTTGTAATTGATGCGATGACCCAATTTTTGGATAACTTTACCCAGAGTCTCTCCGCTGATGAACTCCGAATCAGAGCTTTCGACTCCATATGCGGTCATACGGATCACATCGTCCAGATAGTACTCGTCTACAGGGAATGTTCGGCCTGCAATTTCGACTGTGCCCACGCTGAGTCCCTCCGAGGCAAAATATCTCTTAAAAGTTGCGGCATCAAGTGTCGCAGACATCAGAATTAGCTTGAGCATATCCTTCTTGGCCTTCATGACATCGCGGATAAGGTTGAGTAGGAAGTCAGTATCGAGACTACGCTCGTGTACTTCATCGATCACAACATGACTGACATCCGCCAAAGACGCCACGACATCTTCTACTCGCCCCCCTGAGGTTTGTAATCGCCTGAGTAGAACACCCGTCGTCACAAATGTTATTTTTGTATCTTTCGATCTCCGAGATTCACCCCGAATAGCATATCCCACCTCTTCGCCCACGCGTGTACATCTTTCTTCCGCTACACGATCCGCAAGGCCAAGTGCTGAGATTCGTCGCGGCTGGGTAACAATCATGTTTGCACAACCACCAAGACCTTGCGAGTACAGATCATCCAGGATAAATTGCATAGACTGTGTTGATTTACCCGAACCTGTTTCTCCACTGATGATAGTGACATGGTTGCTTCTGACGGTACCGATTATGGCTTCTCGCATCTGCCAGGCAGGGAGACCCTGACGCTTGGATACCATGTTCTTCAAAGATGATGACTCTTGTCGTCGAAGCCATTGCTCCCGGCTTTTCTCATCCTTGATCCATTTGATCATTTTCGGGGCGCGTGTACTTCGTTTGTTCTGTGCAATAGCCGCAACAGGTTTGTACTCGGCTGCAGCTGAGGAGACGGCCGAAATATCCACCAGCTTTCCAGGCTCTTCAATGATGCCGTTGATGTTCTGCTGGATCCAGTCCATTGCCAGGTAGATCTTCATTGGCTCATCACGCAAAGACTCATCGATATACTCGAGTGCTTTTCGAATGATGCTAAGCTTGATATAAGAAGGAATGTTGGCCACGATCGAGAGAATCAAGTTGGCAGGATAGGTAGCTGGACGTCGAACCTGAAAAGAGGCATCGACGGTCTGCTGCCCATTTTTGACAGAATCGAGCTTGATGCGAATGACGTTATCGCCTTCACGTTCGAAACCCTCCCCATAGATTGCCTCAAGACTCCCAACTTCTTCTTCCCACTGTTCCTCGGGTGAGCCCAAATCCAAGAAGTCAGCACCGGCGGAATCCTGAGATTCTCTGGGAAACAGCAAATTTTGTAAAGTCTCTGCGGCTTTGTCCTCATCAACCCCTTGCTCATCCAGCACCCTTGTAGCCAGCTCAAGTGAGTAACCTGCTTGAGCTAGTCGTTTGATGATGCCCTCTCTTCTCAGATTCGTAGCCCCAACCGACACTCCAGCCGCATAGCTCTCTGGCAAGGCCCAACGAGGAAGATCATCTTCAGGGACGTGGATGAGAAGCCACTCGAGCGTCTCTTCTCGATCTTTGCAATATTCGACTGCCTCTTCCACATGGCTTTTACGGAAGCTGAGCTTGCTGAGTTCAGAAATAATAGCATCTTTTTGAGGATTCGACATCTGGACACCATTTGGGTTCCACTTGACGCCGCTTCGCAGCAACGTCTCTAACTGTGCTCTTGTCTTCTTTCCCATCTCAACCTTGGGCGCAGTGCTCCACCCCTTCATGATGTTGGATGATCGACTGTCTCCTTTACCGGCATTGCTCATAAGGACCAGTCCAGAAGCACCAGGCATGGCAGCGGCCTTAGCCTTAGCGGCCTCAATTTCTTTCCTCTTCTTTTCTGCGGCAGCCTTTGCCTCTTGACGCTCTTGAAGTGATTTGAACGGGTCCGGTTCATACATCCAGGCCTTGCCTTCTTTCACATCTTGGGTTTTCAGGGCCTGGAAGTCTTTCCATAATGACTTGTGCTCTGGTGGGAGAACCGTGTGCTTATTCTGCATGCTACACACTCTGAAGAGGGCATATGTTGCTGCGGCATGCTTGGCTTCTATTGCCGTAGGGCGCATGATCAGATGCTTATGAGTTGCTGGAATCTTGAAGGGTTCTAGTTTGGTGATTTGCTGGGTTTTGGGATCCTTGGCGCTCATAGTAACCCATACAGAGAAACCATCAGGGGTCTTCTTGGTATCATAATCGGGTCTTTCCCATTTCTGTTTCTGGCAGTACTCGCTGAGCAGGTTTACTGGCAGCTTTCCTGTCCATGAAGAGCCGCCGATGAGCTGCTTGACCGTAGGTTTTGGAGGGCCCGAAGGAACTGCTTCAGGAGTAGAAGTGCCACCTTTTTGGCCCTTTTTTCCTTTCCCTTGGTCTTTAGGTGGCGCAGACGGCATGGGATCAGAAAGGTCTATACCGCCACTGGACTTTCCCTTGCCTTTTTTGACCATTTTGAAAGGACGTGGTTATTGGTCGTGTTGTTGTAGAATTGATATGGGAAATGCTGGGTTGGTGATCGATTAGTTAGTGGAGCTCACTCGACACACAGTAATAATTATCAGCCGCGGAATGTTCTTGATGATTATAAAAGGCGATGTGATAAATACGGCTCGGAATATAGTGCCAGGTGTCAGTATTCATATCTTATCACAGCCAGTCTCCCTTTTTCTAGAAACTGCTCGCAAGAGCTGCAACATCGAAAGAAAGGGATGAGTTGCCGCATGGCCAAGTAAAATCACTTCGGGGGAACAAGAAATATATCTTGATTCACACTGTGAGTCATGTGGACCAGTGCTAGTATATTACAGTACGTATTCTTTTACATGTACGGACCTTGTAGCCCCGCTATTCACACTCAAAACCTTTCGGGGGAAGACTCTGATTATGATCTATATAGGAAGCTCAACGAGAGATGCTTTGGGTGGATTCGAACGCGAATAGTTTCCCTTCTCATTTAAGTACGAGGAAATGACTCATCTTCATTCGACACCAATCTACAGTCAGAAAATCATTACATGTCATCATGCCTGGTAATCATGAGTGAGGGGCAAACACCCATCGTATTCTTTTGGATTAACTACGGTCTCTGGCTACCCTTGAACCAGATTCACCACCACTTGGCAGCGAATTTCGTAATTTCGAGCTTCATCGTCTCAGAAGTCCTGGTGCACTAGCATAGGCTTCTCCAAGGCATCCGTCCTCGATTGACGCTGCCTCTCACTCCAGCGGTCGTCCTGCGCAAGTCCCATGTGCCTAAACACCAACCATCATGATGTCTTCAGCGTATACACGTAAACTCGTCGGCGTCTGTAGAGTCTTCTCATGAGCATTCATGACCGAGAAGCCAAACGCACCGCCGACTCCGCTCTCGTCTTACTTCATCACTCTCAGGCTGGAGCTTTCAAGCTACCATAGGGCCTGTAATCTGAGGGGGTGGGATTTTCCCTCATATAAACCTTCCAGATACATTAAAAAGACGCGGTATGGGGTGTGATATCATGGGGATGGGGGTAAACGACAGTCACATAAAACTGTTCCGGGGGAAGGGGTGTCGTGATGGTGCTATGTTTTGGGGGGGGTTGGGATTGCTCCACATTCTGGATTTCCTATCGAAATTCTCAATCCGAACCGGCGAGCCTTTTACATGTCCATGGCGTCGCTGCCCTTGGCAAAGTCGAAACCGCCTGAGGGAGCAGCACCGTTGGTACCGAAGCCGAATGTGCCGTTAGGGCCAGCAGGTTGTTGGGCCATACCCTCGTCGGCGTTCTCCTCATCGTCCGAGAAGTACTTCTCGATGATGTTGTAGGCCTTCATGTAAATCTCCTCGTTGGCGTTGTTCTGGCAGTCGTGGATCTTCTCCATGCCACCGCACTCCTCAATGAAGAGAGCATACCGGTTGATGGAGTCGCCAGACTCACCAGCGGCCTGCTTGTCAAGGTCACCGATCTTGAGGATGTTCTCAAGGCCGTCCAGCGCAACCTGAATAATCTTGTTATCGGGGCAGCCAAGTAGATCGCACAGGGGCTTGATGCACCCCTGAGAAACCAGATAACGGATTTGCTCCGGCTTCTGCAGACCACCGGAGGTGGCGTTGCTAATAGCCCAGCAAGCCTCCTTGCGGGTTTTAAGGTCTCCGTTCTGCAGGAGATGGATCAGAGGAGGAACAATGTTGGCATCAATGACGGCCTGGATTTGGGAAGAGTTGCCGGCAGTGATGTTGGAGATTGTCCAGCATGCCTCCTTTCGGATGCCATCCTTGGTAGAGCTCAGAAGAGACAAGAGGCAGGGTAGGGCGCCGCAGTTGATAATAACCTGTGTTTGAACGTCGTCACCGGTAACGATATTGCCAACGGAGCGCAGGGCGGGAGTCTGGACGGACGTAGAGGCGTGCATAAGAAGCTCAACCAGTCGGCGAGGAATGCCAGCCTCAATAACGGCCTGGATCTTGTCGTTGGATCCATCGGAGAGGTAAGAGATAGCCCAGCAGGCATCGATGAGGACCTCGTCATCAAGGGAGTAGACGAGCTTGGACAAGACAGGAAGAGCGGGGGCAATCTGGTAGCAAGTTAATTCGCGCTCGTTTTCTTGTTCTCAAATGTCAACTTACAGTAGTCCAGTCAGGCTGGGGGGTCTTGCCACGGCAGAAGTTGCTAAGTGTCCAAGTAGCATTGCGGAGCATGCTAAGCTTACGGCTATCGCCGAGAAGGTTAAGAAGAGGCTTAAGAGCACCGCAGCTGAGGACATAGTCACGGCAGTGAGGGCTATCACCAGCGATGTTGCCGAGGGCCCAGACGGCCTGTTCCCTGACATCAGGCTCGGGGCTAGCAAGAAGCTCGACGAAAATCGGGACAGCGCCAGCCTCAATGACAACCTGTGTCTGAGTGGCGGAGCCGGATGCGATGTTGGTCAGAGCCCAGGCAGCCTCGAACTGGACCAGGGTGTGAGGGGATCGCAAGAACTCGACAAAACGACTAACAACGCCGGTCTTGATGACCTCCTCGATCGGGGGGTTGCGCTCCTTGGAAAGAAGCTTTCGGAACTTGGTTGTGGCCTGAATCTGCGAATCGATCTGGTCCGAGAAGACACCCTGCACCATCTGAGGAAGGTCCTCATTCAACTAGAGACAGGGGTTAGCAAATGCTTACAAGAGATACACAGCCAGGGCCGTGCTATTCGCAGCGATGCATGACAGCAACAAGACGGAGAGTGGAACGTGAACGTAGCTGCACCCGTAGCCTGCCTTTTGCCCAAACCCGCCAGAATCAGAATGTGGGGTTATTTGAAGTGTATATTTTCCCCCACATCAGAGGCAGACGGGAGGGACGGGGCGAAGCGAAAGCGACAAGAGATTTTGCGCAAGCAGCAGGCGAAACCAGCATTTCTTAAGGATAATCCAAGGGTCGAGAAATAGAAAAGCACATACCTGGGACTCGGTAGGAGCGGACTCATCATCACTATCAGGGGCGGCACCGAGAGAAGCACCAGGGCGGTTCTCACCGGTTCCAATACCTCGACGCTTGGCCAAGTTCTCCTCACGCTTGGCCTTTCGAATCTCGACTTGCTGCTCCTCGCGACGACGACGGAGCTCCTCAGGCTTGAAGGTATTCTTGGCCTTGAACTGAGTTCGGCGATGCTCGGGAATGTATCGCTCAGCCATGATGACTGCGATTGTTTTGGTACGAGGGGGCGTTGGTAGGTGAACAGTAGCAAATTGATGTGCGGGGTGAAAGATGCACAAAGGGTTCGCAGAGAAGAAGATGGAAAGAGCTCAGCGTCTAGGGAGAGAAGACTTGCTCTGCAACGTAGAGTAGAAAATCCAGCAAGGAGAAGAGGATGAGGAGAGGGGGGAAGGAGAAAGTTTTGTTGTTGATGTTGATGGAGAAGAGAAGTCTTGGGTCTGGGTCTGGGTCTGGTCGGCCGGGGACTAGGAGGGCGTCGAAATGATTGACCCAGGCAGTGGGCGAGTCTTTCTTTGGACTTTGGGCCACTGATTGCCTGCTACACCCAAAGAGAGACCGCTTCCACCGTAGGGGCCCCAGTCGAGTGATTTCAGCCTCAGGCAGAAACCGCTCCGCAGGCTGTTAGTTCAGCACCGTGCAATCAAATCACCTTCAGCTCTGCAGACCTAGACATGAAAAGAGGGTTCTTCTGTGAATGATGTGGGTAAGGTTAATCTAGAAGAGAACAGGTCATTGTTTTTATCCACCTGGAGACCAGGTAATGTAAACAAAGTAACTACCAGTGAACGAATATTTCACGGCAATCCCTTCGCCATGGCTTGGTGCCTGAAACTCAATAGACAAAATCTCTGTGACCTGACTCGTCTTGCCTCCCTTTTGAATATTGAGGCACACATTGAGAAATCTACAGCTAAAATTGCATGGTGTAACGTCTAGCTCTCTGTTCACACAAATATCCCACTAGGTCGCCACTGTGCCGTTAACGTACTGTATAATGAATCTTGGAAGTTGAATCAAATCACATGCAGCATCACGTGTTGTCGCGGCTACGTTGATGGAGGGGTAAGCTCCCCTGACGCGTCAAGGCCCAAGGTGCTGTATTAATCGCGTCCTACAGAGCCGTTCATTATCCGTACCTTGGTAGTTGACGACGCATTGAGCATCCATATACTGCCACTAACGCGATCTCGAAAAATCGTTTATTTATCGAAATTTCGCCTACTATCAATGACCATCCATTCGTGCTGTTCAAGCCTCCATTCGTTGCTTCACAGCAGAAACAATGCCTCCCACATCTACATCAACACTTCCAGGATATGTCACCATTCGTGATATCCTGGATGGGAAGATTGCAAACGGGGCTTTAGTCAATGTGTTCGGCCTTGTTTCTGATTTTCGTGACGCTATTCAGACAAGAAAGACAGGTGAGAATCTATCTATTCCTACCGTTGATTATGTTATCCAACGCATCTAGACTGCAAATGTCAGGTTCGGCTCTTCGACTCATCCGTAGATGATGATGGTTCAATTGCCTTCGACATCTTTCGTCCGAAAGAAAACCTACCGAATCCCGGCAGTGGTGATGTAATGCTAATCCGTCAAGCAAGAGTGAGTTAGCTAAAACATTTCAAAATGCTTGTATTGACGGTCACAAAAGGTTCAATCATATGCGTCTGGTGGCCCCTCTCTCTTGAGTAATTACAACACGAGGATCTCACAATATAAAGCCTCCAAAATACCGAGAAACCCCGGCGAAGCTTCATGCGCTCTATGTCCACCAAGTGGCCCCAAAGATACACCGCCAGGCGATAAGGAGAATGCTTTCGTGTCTGCAATGTATCACAGCATTGACAAGAGTCGATTACCTAATGAAGAAATGTTTGAGACTATGGTTGTTGCATCACGGAACGTCAAAGACAAGTTCAAACTACTTCAAGATGTCCAAGAGGGATGTTTCTGTGACATCGTCGCCCAGGTCGTTCGGCCACCCCACGATGGCGGTGACAAGATGACTTTATGGGTTTCCGACTATACAGAGAACCCATTTTTTCATAACTTTTCTATCGGCTTCGACGAATCTTCTATTGGCCGAGATGGTGATCCATTTGGCTACACCGACAAGTTCACCATGGCTGCTAAGCCATTGGGCTGGCCGGGTCCTTTTGGGAAGAGATGCATTCAGATCACATGCTGGGAACCCCATGTAACTGCAATCCGTGACCAAGATATAGGAACTCTCGCATGGGTTTTGATCAAAAATTTGCATATCAAACTAGGTCACAGTGGTGCCAACCTGGAGGGATTCTTGAGAGAAGATCGTGAGTCCCATGGACCAAAGATTGGTATTCGTATGGTAGATTCGAATCCCGACTCAGAGAATTTTGATCCGCGTGCAAAGGAGGCATTGCAAAGAAAAAGAGGATACGAGCGCTTAAGACAAGGGCAGGCCAGAGAAATCAAGGAGGCTTTGAGAGCCGGACAAAAGCGCAAGCATGGCGTAGAGTCGAAATCGGAACCAAAAAAAGGCAACTCTAGATCGAGGCGCAGTGAAAAACGATCAAAAAGCAAAGCCAACAAACAAGGTGAGGGCAGAGAGCCTACAGAACAGGGTGTGGTCCCTTTCGTGGACCTAAACATTCGAGGTAAACTCGCCTGAGCTCACAGGACTCCTTAATACAGCAGCTGACGAACTTTTAGTGAAATGCGAAAATGAAGACAAGCCGGCCAGTCTGATTGCCGAAATCACAAAACTTGTCCAGCATGAAACTACTATCGATGATGGTCTTGTAAAACTTCCTCTGCCCTTTGTGAACTTGAACTACAGAGCAAACGTTCGAGTTGTCGACTTTTCACCATCAAACCTTGCAGATTTCGCCTGTCCAAAGAAGGAATCAGAGTATGATGACCTTTCCGATGACGGTGAAGAGTCGCTGTCCAACAGCGAAACTGAAGCTGAAGATGGACAGCCAATCCAGAGAACGCTGGATGATTTCTCCAAGGTGCGAAACTGGGAGTGGCGTTTCTTTTTGGAGCTTGAAGACGCTGCAGTCGCTGAGAAACATAAGAAGCAGAGACTTTGGGTGGCAGTCGACAACCAATCTGCTCAATTACTTACTGGACTCGATGCATGTAACCTGAGACGAGATAAGCAGGCGCTGGTAACCCTCCGCGACAAGATGTTTACGCTCTGGGGAAATCTGGAGGAGAAAAAAGTCGCTGCTCAGGAAGCGGCAAGAAAGGGAAAGCCTCCAGTTGATAGCGACGATGAGGATCAACGGCAGCCCGAGCCAAAGAATTTCGGCAAAGCGCAACTCACAAACCGGGCATTTCCATGTTGCGTAAAGCAATACGGTATCAAAGTTGCCGAGCCAGAACCGTCACAAGCCAATGCAGGGAATGGGAAACGCTGGCAGAGAATGTTCCAACTCTTTGGCGCCAGGATTGTTGGAGAATAGTTTGTAGCAGACAATCAGGTCTGGTTGTGGTATTTAAGACGAGCTCAGTGACGATGGACCGTGTTTATCAGGCGTATAGGGAAAAAGTCGTGTTCAGGTCTTGATCTTACGGCGTTCACTGGCAAGTTTTGTCTCAGATAGGAGTTAAAAGCGATTAGACCGAGACGAAGTTATTCTGATTTTGCAATGACTATAGATGTTTGTACACGCAGTCTTTTGACGCCCTAAATTCAGGTCCTCTGCCGCATACCCAGACTCCAGCATGTAAGTTCAAGGTGACAAGAGACAACATACAGAAACGAAGAAAATAAAGGAACCATCCGAAACTATACCACCCTATTCACAAAATGGAAACAGATCACGCATATCATTTCCGCCGAAGGTCGCAATAGTTATGTATCCACCATGTGAGAGGTCAAACTCGTCGTGTCTAATCCCCTATAACATTATCGTCTGATTCGTGAGCTGGTCGTTCCGCTTCTTCATCTTCATTTTCGTCATCGTCTTCGATTGGATCATCCTCAAGAAGACCCTTTGCGCGGAGATCTTCTCGGGAGCCCTCCTCTGGTGGCGGCGTGTCATCAAAGATGTCATCCTCGTCATCCTCTCCAATTACAACGGCTTCGCTAAGCTGGGCCTTCTGAGGTTTGGCGCTTGTTGGAGCCTGTGCGTGGGCGGCCTTTTTTCTTGTCCGCTCGGCCAACTTCTCTTCGTCTAGGTAGGTAACGACTTCTTTGAAGTTGTTGCCAAGTTTATTTTGGTTGCGAAGAAGACGCCGCCTTAGCTTGCCTCCGTGTGAGCCCTTATGATCCACCAGGCGAGCAGTAATCACGAGGACATATTTTGCGGTGAGTTCGCACAAAGCTTTTTCGGCCTTGAGTTCGGCAGTAAAACGCTCTTCCTCGGAAAGACCCTCGTCCTCATCCTCATCCTCTTCGTCTTCATCATCAGCCATAGGATCTTCGTCTTCAGCTGGCTCATTTAGGGTTTTGTCCTTCTTTATCTTCTTGGCATACTGTTTTTCGGTGCCGTCAAAGATAGCAATCAACTCAGGAATGAGGCCGGATTCGATATCTTGAATCAATGTCTTGTATTTCTCGCCGTTCGAGGATTGTGACTCAGAGCTGGACGAAGGCCGGAGTTGATCAATAGTTGGGCGTAGGGTGGCGAAGGTAAGGTGAAGGTCACACAGGCTGCCAGTAGCGAATAGTCTCAACTGGTCAATGGCGGCGCGTGATGATAGGGTTTCAATAAGATGTCGGCGGAAAGTCTGGCGAAGTGCCGATAGTTGATCAAGCTCAGCATCTGCGATACTGCCAGTCGTTGACAGGAGCCTGGAATAAGCCAGCGTCTTCCACATAAAGTAGAACTGGCAGGTCTTGATCGCAAATGAGACCACCTCATCCTCGAGATCATCAATGTCTTGGTCATCGAGAGGCTCGTACTTGCCTCGATGAACAATATTGGCTAGTATTTGAATGGCAGGGTTTGTTGTTGATTCGGATGAGTCTCCGTCAGCCTCCAGGACATCGATACAGTCTGAAATGCTCGCCAGCTTGCTGATCTTGAGAAGAACTGTTGACAATTCTCTGAGAGGTGCCTCGCCTAGATTACCTCTCGACGAAAGCTCATAGGTTTTGTCAAAGTTGTGTAGAGAAGTGATGACAGTTTCCCACAGGTATGACAATTTATTGTCTGTGATTTCCTCCAACTCTCCATACTGTCGCGAATGCAACAACGCCGCAGTTGCTTCTGACAAAACTCTCTTATCGTCATGTCGGTTAAACTGTGTGACGATTTCGTCGAGCAGCTTTTCGTATCTGTTTGTGTTTTGACGTAGTTGCTTGAAGATTTCAAGATCGAGAAAATGCGCCAGGCGAAGAACAATCGCGGCTGTGTCTGGTTCTGCTCCAAACTTGCTTAGAAGAGGGGGGATTACAATGACCAGCTCGGCTGCTGTATCTTCGGGGCTTATTCGCACATCCTCGGCTTCTTTGCCTGTCTGTGGCTTCTTTCTTGATCTGTCGTGTTCAGGCGCATGTGTCAGGCTGGATTTTACTGCTGAGCTCAATACATCCAGGAGTATCGATTCTTCCTCGGTAGTAGGTGCAACAGCCTTCTTGAATGCAAGATCTGGGTTGTTTCCCTTGGATCGCGATTTTGAACTCGTTGTGTGATCAAAGAGCAAATATCCTGCCAAGAGTGTCCACTGCTTGATCGCGTTGACCTTCTCGAATAGAACTTGGGCTGCCAGCGAGATCCTGGTCTCTGGAACAGCAGACTCCAAAAGATCAACCGCAACATCTAATCCCAATATCTGACCACTTTGGTGCTCCTCCTCGATCTGATTGTCATAGATAGCAAGGGTTTCGGCAAGGCACTTTAGATCAATCCATTCCATACGGGGGGCGTCAACAGAAGCCTTCTTCCCGCGGGGTATGTCCTCCGTAGCTTCAGAATCACGCAGGTCCTTCGTCTTTTCACTGATAGCGTCCTTAGTGCATGCGACGAAGAACCCAACAACCGCCTTTCGAATTCTGAGTTCATTGTCAAATATGAGCTTCCCAATAGCGTCCACCTCTTCGCCTTCTAAAAGGTCTTGGTCGCGGAGGACGTCAATAACGCCAATTGCTGCGACGCGAACGGCGACATCGGAATCTTTGCAGGCCATTTCAACTAATCGCGGGCGAAATCTGTCAATAAAGTGGCCCAGCTGCCCGGCGTCTCTCCGAAAGACTTTGGTAAGCTGCTTTAAGACCTCGAGACGAGTGGGTGCATTGGTATCTGACAGCATCCAGCCAAGATACCGGAGGTAGCCCGGCTCAAGGAAGATGACAGGCAGGGAAATGATCCAGTTCCCGAGTGCTTCCACACACTCAGTTCGAATCTTGGGATCGACATCTCGGTAACGATGCACAAAAACAGTGTCGAAAAACGACTGAATGGCATCAGCGCAAGCTTTGCGATCTTTGTTGGTCTGTTCCTTGTCACGCTTTTCTGTACTCTTCTTGAGTCTGTAGTCAAGGTCGTTGGCTACTGTGACTAGCGCACTTTGGACTGCCAAAGATATAGTGGTTGCGGTATGGCGGAAGGGTCGGAGTGATGATGAGGACATGCTAGCAAGCCATGTATGCAGGTTGTCAAGAAATGTTTCGTCTCTGTACATGAGACGACCTTGGTGCACATCAACGATGAGGCATTCGAAGAAGGAAATGAGTACGTCTCGGAAGGATCGTGAATGTTTGGTTCTGGAGATGAGAGGATAGTCGGTAATTTGTTGCTGTAATAATGTCAGCAAGATTTCCATGGCTAGAGGCACGATTGAGAATTGTAATACCTCTTGGTAAATGCTCTGAAGATCTGCCAGTCGTCCTGCAACGTTGTCCAAGTCTAAAACATCGTCTTCTGTGATGAGTTGATCACAGCCAGCGCATTGAAGGATGCAGTTCACCAAATCAGCAGTGGCTGCTACTGCGTTTGTCTTGTAACTAGCCAGCCATTCTTCTGCCACCGATTTGCTAGAATCACCCGATCCGAACAGATGGGCTTCGTAGTGTCAGCATGTAGGAAAGCACGCAGGAAGAGAAAATTGAGCCTACAGTAGAGCCCATGCCCTTTCACAGCAGCGTCTTCAATGCGAACACTCTTCTTAGGTCTGCTCGGGAGACTTTTGGCTGCATGGGTCACTCGCGCAGGCCGCAAAGGCTTGGAACCGTTGATCTTGGGCTTTTTGGCTGAAGGCTTCTTTGCGCGACTTGTTTGCGACGACTTCTTTCTAGAGCGCGGTGCAGGATGGTCTTCATCGCTGTCATTGTCGGGCTCGTTGCTCATCTCCTCGTCTGAATCGGGCGCTTCATTTTCCGCATCTTCCTCTTCGTCCTCTTCTTCGTCGTCCTGATCGTCTCGCTTGCGCTTTGGATTTGTCGATTGAGTTGCAGTATCAGGAGTAAATTTGGTGGGTGCCCTCACGACGCGTCCCGATCGGCGACGCGTTGTCGCATCAGGATCTGGAGACGGGCTCGCGTTATTGTCCATGGTGTCTCTTGGGGGTGGCCGCGATATCGGCATTTGAAATATCAATGTCTGGTGGTTAAACCCTCGATGCGAGGGTGACAATGGTGTTTTTAGCCACTTGGCGCGTCGAATGTCGCGTGGAGTAAGTAGAGTGCAAATGGGGATGGAGATGGGGATGACGGCGCAAGCTGTTCTGGAAAGTGGGTGGGTGGTGCCACTTTTCTTTGCCACGGGTGAACATCGGAGCAGTAGCTAAGGTACCTCACCTAATCTTCTTAACGAGTACCGGAGAGTCCTTACATCTTTACGATCAGCTTATGTCTCTAGCATCCATCTGACTTGGATACATGTGGTTGTTTCCATAGCTTCATGATATCACAATAGAATTGTGATTTTTATAAGAGCCAATTAGCCTGACTTCACGTAGCGCCTTTGGGGCTTCCCTTTCTGCCTCTTACAAGCCACGCTCAAGCTTGATGTACGGTATAACCCCACGATCCCAGCTGATGTGGGGCCACAGCCACTGTGTTGACCAACGATCTCTTATCTCTTATCTAATAGTAGAGAACCTTTGACTCGTGCCTCAGTTTCAACTAAGGTAAGGTATTTATTTGTTAGTCAAGGTGCGTCAAGATGGAGACGCAGTCTGTCGTTACTATTGCCTGCGCCCAATCAAACTTTCGCTGATTCTTGGACTTCTACCTTTCACTATCATCGCAACATGGTTCCAGAATGGACTCGCCCTTTCCTCCCTCATCCTCCTCTCCTGGCGATGGCCGCATCGTCGTTGGCCTGCTCCCTGCCGGCGAGAGCGGTCTTGAGACCATGACTTATCAGTATCCTTTGAAATTAATATCCCCGGCTCCTTCGTCTAACCAGCCAAGCACTCTCGTTTTCCTGTTATCTTATGGAGGGGGTCTTGTTGCTGGAGACGGTGTTAATCTGACAATACACGTCAAGCCGCAGGCGAAGCTCAGCATCGCTACCCAAGGTCACACAAAGATTTTCAAATCGCCTACAGCCGACGTCATTACAACTCAAAACTTGGACGTTACTATAGACGATGATGCTTCTATGTGTCTCCTTCCGGACCCTGTCCAGCCGTTCGAGGATAGTGTATACGCCCAGAAGCAAATATTCAAGCTCAGAAGCCAAGCGTCGCTCTGTCTCTTGGATTGGGTCACCCAAGGGCGTGTAGCTCGTGGAGAGAACTGGAGCTTCAGGAAATGGACAGGACGGAACGAGATATGGCTACAAGATTCTGAAACAACTTCGGCTGACAGACTTCTGGTACGAGACTCAATCATCCTATCGAGAGATGCGAGTAAGTCCGTGGGCCGCACACTACCAGAAATGATGCAGCATATGGCGATATCAGGAACTCTCATATTGCGCGGATCCAAGACCAAATCGTTGGGGGAATTCTTTCAGGATGAGTTTGCTGCACTTCCTCGCATTGGAGCCCGGGACTTCCGCTCACCAGAAGCGATGGCGCGAGGCATCACAGATGTTTCTAACTTCGAGCGTTGGCGATTACAGAGACTCAAAGAGGAGAAAGAAGGTGGTGTCCTCTGGTCTGCAGCCAACGTTCGAGGGTGCGTGGTTGTCAAGTTTGGGGCAAAAACGGTTGAAGCCGGAAGAGAATGGATTGGATCAATGATTATTCAGGAAGGGAGCATTGCTTCTGAATTCGGTGACAAAGCACTGATGTGTCTTCGATGATACAAAGCCTTGGCTGCCATCACATGAAGAATAGGGACGTGTTTTTTCCGGCACTTTTGAGAAGTATACCGATTGGATATGCACAGTCAATTAACGACACCATGTTGCCAGATTTAGAAGGCACATCGGTACATTCTTTGTCTAATTGTTGCAGATGCGGGAACAGTGTGGCTGGTGTATAATTGTATTCTTCATTTTGAGATCGCCTTGGTTTACCAAAGCTTGGGCACCGCTTGAATAGCGACTCGGCCGTCCATTGTCCCCAGCCAATGCGAAGAGACCGCGGCTGGTAGGATTTCATATCAAGCTTGCGCAAATCGCTGAACACGCAAATGTTTCTCTTACGCCGGCTTTGTATATCAGCTACACAATTTCCTGCATCTCTACCCCTAACACTATGAATACCGTGCTCCTCGGCACTAACTGATCGAAAGGCACCACCATTTGCATTATGATGGAGCCTTGTCCTAACGGCTTCATTCCATTGAATCGTCTATTTTTCTACTAATAAACATCAAGCCGGGAGCTAGTCGCGCCTGTCACACTGTCTATCAATCATTCGTCTGCCAATACCATTTGTATGAAAGAAACCTAACTCATAATGAGAAGAAAGTTCGAGATTGGCTTAGAGTTAGATACATCCTCGTTGGTTACATATTACCATGGAGACTGCATGGTCCCTCAAGGAGGTGCATATGATGGCTGGCCACAGAAGAACTCGTTTGAGGTATACGGGATAAGTTGTAGTGATGACCCTGACCGCACCCCCCTTGGGACATCGTGTGAACAGATTGCTACGGTATGCTGCTCCTCCTAAACTTCAGTATGAACAACGTTATCGCATTAGGACCTGTAAGAGGCGTCCGATAGGCCTGAGTCTCGATACACCCCGCAATCGAATATGGTCTTTTTCGAATACATTCCCAGCCGCCACCCAAAACAAGGTCTTGTTCTGTTTTGTTTGCGTGCTTTGGAAGGAGTCTAGTATTTCATTGAGCATAGTAATAAAAGTTGGAACCTGGCAGTATAACAACACCGAGTGAGGGGAAGTGTTTTACTTTTTGGTACAAAAGAATGACTGCTTCACATTCATAAATTCACATGACAGCATGCCGAATTTGAGTATGTCCTAAGCCAGCATTAGATGCTGGCCAATAGGAACTCGGCTGGATTTCCATATTGGGAAACGATGTGTTAACGGAGCACCGTCTCAACTGATATTCTCCTATAAAAACAGACATGAGATTAAGTTGGGATTCTCAAGCTTTCTAAAGAGTCGACAGGAGTGAAATGGTTTCGAAAAATGGAAAACTCGACGCTTGGAGCAAGACAGTATATGTTGCCTGAATATAGGCATTGTTAGTAACTGTTCTCCATACCAAACATTTTGCCTATCTGTAGAATACCTACCTATATCTTGTATGTAACGGTGATTTTTCGCTAGTTTGTTTATTTAAAACCATGAAGTAATAGGAGAAGGTTTAATTTGCCTTGAAATCGACTATCCCACCCTCAACTTCATTAACGTTCGTAACAGCCTCAATTGAGATGCTTGTTATTCAGTCCTAACCTTGATTGATGGGTGATATTAATCCTTTTCCTAGACTAGGCAATACACAAGTACTTTCCTCTCCTTTAGCAAAATCTTAGGTAGCCTTGATAGACTACCTACCTCCTTACCTCAGGTATTATATCAACCTTGAACAGATGGATAAGTAGGCGGTGAGTACTAGATGTCTCACAAATGGCAGAATTCCATCGTCCCCCACCATTCCGGACCCCACTATTGAACTTTCGCATTGCGACTCAGGCTAAATTTTTGAACGCTTCATCTGCGACTGAAACCTTCGATAACGACAATTACTACCCGCCGCCTACATTGACTCTCAGCCGGTAAATCATAACCATAATATAAACAACATGAACCGTGGTAGGGCAGCGGCCCGGGGCAGTCGGAGAGGTGCGGCCGCAGCAAGTTCACGGGCAGCCGGCGAAAGCAACGCCGGCTCGTCCACTCCAGCCGTTGCAGATACTCCAGGCAGTGCGACTCCAGTACCTCAGAGTATAGCGACTACATCAACCCGTGGAGGTGCTACCACTCGGGCGACAAGAGCTCCTGCAGCTGGTCGCTTCCGACCCAAGAACATTCGCCGAGATGAAGCAGAACGAGACAGTCTTGCCCGACAGGAGGAGCAGAAAGCCAGCGAGAGAGCAGCAGATGAGCGTAAGGCGAGAGGTCGTTCACGTTTCAGGAGTAAAAGGAGCCGTGGTGATGCCATGGGCAGAGGCGGTTTTGGTCGAGTCATTTCGGGAGCCAGCGGTCCATTCTCCTCTGGTGCAGCAGGTAAGCCTTACCTCCGAGATATCAGGACTCAATTGCAGCTTTCTAACTGTCACAGGCTCTGGCGGGCGTGGAAGCGGTGGTTGGTTCGGCGGTGGAGGAAGTGGTGGTGGTGGTTTTGGGGGAGGTGGTGGAAAAGGATTCAAATCGGATTCGAAACCTGGCTTCGCTCAGGCGTCACGATCTCGCGAGGCCCGAATCAATGCGGATAAACTCCACGTTCATACTCCCGAAGAGGATCTTGATAGCGAAGACGAGGCCATGATCGAGGCGCTCAATTCCCGCGCCGTTAGCGTACTTCCTATGGGCATATACCGACGAGAGCATAAGGATGAGGGCGTCATAGTGGCCACCACAGCAGAATTAGAAGCCGCGGAAAATGCTCAAGCTATTCCTCCCACCCCTTCAAAGGAAGAGGAGAGCCTTTGGGTGGACGGCGACGCAGACGAGCCTCTTTTAACGGACGAGAACGCAGAGGACGGTGGCATCTGGAAGAATAACTCGAAAACGCCAGTCATTAAGAAGGAGCCCGGACTCGACGACTCCATGGATTTGGATATCGAGGCAAAGACCGATGCAGGAGACAAAGACAAGCAGGCTTCCGAAACACCAGCGCCACAGACCAAGAAGCCAAAGCAAGACCCAGAAGAAGCCATGATCCAGACAGATCTGGAGATTCTCGCTAACGAATTGGGTGCTGTCGAAATCTCCGAGGGCGAAGACGGCAAAACAGAAGGCCCGAGCAACAAGGATGGTCGCATGTACTTATTCCAGTTCCCTCCTGTCTTGCCCCCTCTAAAGCCAATTACCCAACCCAGCTCCATCAACAAAGTCAAGCCTGAGCCTGGTGAGGGCGAAGACAATGTCTTGGAATCAACACCAGCCGCCGCTGACACAGAGCCCGTGGATCTTACCAACGACAAGAACACTACAGGATTTAATGTACCCGGCTTTGAAGACCCCGAGCAGAAGGCTGGTTTCATGTCCAGCCTGCTATCAACAGGCGGTATGGTAGGCCAACTAAAAGTACGCAAGTCAGGCCGTGTAGAACTGGACTGGGGTGGCAGTACTATGGAACTGAACCCTGCCACAGGGATGAATTTCTTAACAACGGCCGTCATCATTGAAGAGAATGACGAAAAACCTCGTCCGGGGGTTATTGGTGGAGAGAGTATTGGAATGGGCAAGATCATGGGTCGCTTTGTACTTGCGCCAAAGTGGGATGATGAGGAGGATTGGGAGGTCTCATCCGAGGACCTAAGGATTGAATAAGGACCATCCCACGGCCATGTGCTGATTTATGAGCACCATATCAACCCTAAAGACATGTCACAGATACACTTGAAGACGATGACTGAGCAAGAGTCGCTCAGCGAAGAATAAACAAAGATACCCAAACTACACCATCAAGCCTTTCATGATTATAGAGTGTGTCATGCCTATCAAGCATGTACAGTCTATTAGGCGTTCTCAAGCATGTGAACCATCGGTATCAATGTTGATGATGATGAATGAGTCAAGAAAGTTGAAGAAAGCGTTGTAAAAATGCTTGATTATCATAAACACATTAGAGGCTAACAAAACCTGTGAACCTTGTCCAATGCGCCATCTATCAGGCCCCTGTTGACTCGTAGCCTTTTACTAACCACCTGCTGCCTCTCCTTTTAGAGGCCAAACCCATTGTGGCGAACCTTGTTGATTTTGCTTCCCTGTATGTTCCAGCCCAAGCCTATTCCTAACGCCTGTTGCTCCCTTTCCCGAATGAATACAAGTACAAAATAGTCCCCTGTAAGATGTCGTTGTCGCGACAGAAAAAGAGAGGAATAGCTATATATCTGGCTCTTCCATCTCCGTTGGGTATCATATCATAATTCCATTCATCTGCCTCTGCCCCTGATATTATCGCGTTCGAGTTCTTGGCTGTATGCCTCGAGGTCGTGGATTTGGTCGAAAGAGCTAGAAGCGGAGCGATCATTCCGACTTTGCCAGGACGATGGGGGCGAGCTATTGCCTTGTATCACCAGGATCTCGCTTTTAACGATGCTCGCTTGACCAGGTGAGATAGGGCCGTCGGCCACGTGTCGAGGAGGTAAGATTTCGATATCGTTTGGGTGTGACAGGGAGTTCGTGTTGTTTTGTGATACCATGTTGGTCAGTGAGACATCGTCAGGGCCAAAGCCTGGCATAATCAAAATTCCGGGCTTGGAACGGTTTGCGTTTGATCTGACAGCAGCAGAGTGGCCTGTGCCATAAGTGTTTTCGGTCGATTCGAAGCCTCTGATCCTCATAGCACGAAGAAGTGGTCGGATGGTAGCTAGACTTGATGCAACAATAGCGACACCCGGTTCTATCAGTGTCCAAACCATGGCATCGGTTCCAGCAACTTGGAAAAGTCAGTTAGGCGAAGACTACATACCCGGGCGCTACTCACATAGAATATCTTCCGTATCAGTAAGATCCGCAAGGAATCGTAGGCGTACAAGGGTCGCGACACTGGCACTTGATGGTATGTTAGACGAGGTTCTGAACAACGAGGAGAGCCAACTCACAATATACCTAGCCCCAAAATTGCAATAACAGTTGCCTTTGCTTGCTTGGTCATCTTGACCGACCACAGCATTGGGATTGGTAGAAGGGCCTATCGAGCGTTCAGTATTGTGCAGCAGCTTAGCAGATGAGACAAGTGTTTCACTTACGTAGAGCCAGTCAGAAACGACTGTCATAACACTTATGGCATAGGCCGCTGAGACGATCTGGTCTGCACTCACACAAGTACCGTCTTTGATCCTGAAGTCCCACTGCATTTCGACTGGTTTGCACTGGAATAAGTTCCAGAAAAAGAGAACTATACTCCAGATGCTGATAATAGCTAGACTGATCCAGATAATCCAGACGTAGACCCGTTTGACACATAAACGGAGCAAGAAGACACCAATGCTGAGTTTTATGAACATCATGTCCAAAATATAGGTCGCTGTTGCCAAAGCCTGCCACTATAATGGAGTAAATATCTGACCAAGACTGGGTGTCGATGGAGAAGAGGATGCCTACCATAAGGGCTTGAACTTTAGCCTCATCGGGTTTGATGGCGTCATTGTGCTTTCCGATTCCCTGCTGGACACCTTCAAGGATGAAGGCACATGATATCGTGAAGATGATCTATCTCTTGGTGAGTGTTGTCCTATGTAATGTAACGAGGAATTTACCTGAGCAACGAGCATAAGCCAGTCATCGAGCTGCAAACTTTTCATCAAGACAGCCCTTGTATAGGTGCGCAGCCCGACAGAGAACCAGCTTAGTGTCAAGAGAGTGATCGCTGTTGCGACCAAAACAGACCCGTTCTCTTCATGAAGGTCAATATCTTTATTAGTGGCCATGGCGCTGCAGCGTCACGAACAACTTTTCGAGCTCGAGCATGGCCCAGTCCTCAAAAGCCGTGGGAGAATCAAAAGAAAAAGCTCAAAGTTGAAAGAAATCAAATAAATTCACAAAACAGAATTAATGGGAAGGACGCAAGGGGGGGCTCACTATGAGATATATCTCACAGCTGCGAGTGAATCACACATGCTAGGATTGCACCAACCGACCCGGCGGATCTGATCAAATGCAGGGCAAGGGTCTCCAACTCATAGCCGGCGATGGGGGGGGTGTCAAATTGAAGTTGATGTATGTAGAGCATGGGTGTGATACGCCGGATGCAAGGTACCAGACCTGCCACTGACCGAGAAGAGAGAGAGGGTGTGAAGCTGATGTCTTCAAGCACCCTTGCATCTTACCGTCTTGAAGACCATTTTGAGGCATGTTTCTAGCCGAATTCTTCAAGCCACTAGCTAGCGGGAGGCGATGTTGCATCCGCAAGTCTATGGAAATTCTGCAATAGGCCATGGAGGGAACGGTGCATCTGTCAAAGTCCTGTTTGGTCCAGCCTAATTGCAGGCAAGGCTGGTGAGGCTTCGCCAGACCAGGTTGTTTGTCGAGGCGATGGCGTCAATCCGCGCATGATAAGCAGTAACATCATATTGAGCAAGCTTGTACTGGATGACACAGTCAAGCTTTGCATACCAAGAAGCAAACCTTGAGTCACCAAGATGGTACGTAGCGCAGATGTTGGAGATGGTTAGGTTTGGGAAGAAAACAAGCGTATTGTTTGAACCAAGTGCCCTGTTTAGCGTTCCGGAGCCAGCGGCAACTATCTTTCCTTAGTTGAACGCCAAACATCGGGGTTGGGAATACTTACAGTTAGGACTTAATAGAGTTTTTGGTAACTTGACCAAATCAAATGCACATCTTGAACAGTCCCAAGCAAGGAGGTGAACAGAGACATGCTAGCATGCGCAATCATACGACAAGCAAACAGCTCAGGTTGTGGGGTCTCAAGTCTCCCTGTTAGCCAATTTAGTTGAGGCTCCGAGGGTTAACTTTGATCAAAGATAGTGAGAATAGAAAGATCTTCGGTCTTCTCCACGATAAAAATCAGTCGCTAGACTCTCCCAAGATGCTCTCCCGATAGTGCGAACCCGAAGGTATGGTAGGACGTTCTGATGATCCGCACTTCACTGCGGAACTACGGTTTTGGTTCAGCCATCGTTTCAGTATCAGCTCGCAGGAAAGTCTAGACTAGTTCTAAATCCCTGTCAAAACCTGACATTTGGGGCAACCAAAGACTGCATCCTTGTCTGCGAAGAATCGGTCATTACAGCTCGCAGTAAGCCACCTATGAGGCCTGGCACTGAATACGGCGTCTCTTCTTAATTTCCTCTGGGCTGAGTCCGCCCATAGATGCATTAGTCGCTTTTGAATTGGACTTTTGAGATCACCATTGGGAAGTGGGGAGACGTTGAAGCACAGGGGCCTGGCGTTCATCAGCCCACCTCGCTTCCAGCATGCCTATCAGCTGTAGCCTGTGAGTCCCTTGTCGATACGTAACTAGCATGAAGTTCATGAATATCAGTAGGCGACACGCGAGGGTTGGCATAGTGGGAGTGAAACAGTGGTGATTCGAGAGCAATTTGCTGGGTGCGTCAAGGTATTTCCGTCCATGATCCATCTCACAGGCACAGCATGGTCAGTTTCCCGAACCAGACACGTGCAGCCCCTGTAGTGAGAACCCATGCCCCTGTACATCTTCAGTCTTGACGGGTTTTTGGTGTGACCATGCCAGAGCAAAAGGCCAAAAATGCCTGTCGGTCATCAGCTTCGCTAGCGGTTTATCTCCCGATGATTCCGATTTGTGTGTGTGATCCTGGCATGGTAGCTTATTGCGGCTATTCGTCTGATCATCTCAGGGGATTCAGCGATAGAAGATTTATAGATTAATGTAGAACATGAGATGTCTTAAGGTAGATAAAGTCAGTACCTTTAGATGATAAAATTGTCTGATAGGAGGACGGCAAGACGGTTACATCGGAAGGCGTTCATCCGTGGTTCCATGTTACTATGTCTCTTTGAACGTGCTTCTTCCCGTCCCGTTCCGCAAAAAGCAATGCACCTGCCAACTGCAATTGCTAAATTAGAGAAATACTTGTAACATGTTGTGCAGGGTGACCTGAGAGTTCCTTCTGTTTTCGTAAATGTCTAAGTATTACCCCTATTAAATACCCAGAATCAGTGGACTTTGCTCTATACTATTGATATCTAGTTCACATTTATATTCGAGATTCTCTCTACCAAGTCCTTATTCGGATCGTGCCAGAAAGTGACTTGTACGATTCTGCAGATCTTATTGGAACGCCAGATATAAGTGTCCAACCCGATAAGTTGGAATCTTCATCCGATTGGCCGATACCGGGGTTTGAAAGTTCCGACAGCCCAAGACCCCTCATCTTGGTCTAACGAATGCCGATGTCTAGAACTGGGAACAACACCCGCCCCCAATTTAAGAAGCTTCTGCTATAAGAAACGGCCAAAAGAACTAACGCCTCCGATCTGAGTTTCTCGCATCTAATACCCAATCCTTCACTGACCTCCGCGAACAACCCTGTGATCAACATTTCCTTTCGGGTCATAGCGTCGATAGTCACCCATAAAGCGAAACAAGATGGCCGATATTGCCGAAGACAAATCTCTGGGGCTCACTTATGCGTCTCACCAATACGGGGAACATAACCGTCAGAAACTAGGCGTATGGCGGTTTGCTGATCGTCCGGCCCAAACAACTGGTTATTGGGTGGTGTGAGGGTTTCCCATCGATCTCCCTATTTCTCCGGTTTCACTAACAGCTTTCAGCTTCATCCATGGAGGTGCCTGGCGTGATCCTCGTAACGATGAAAACGATTTCACCGAGTCTATCAAGCGCATTGTCATCTCGGGTGCAGTCGCGACACTGGATATTGCTGGCTTCGTCAGTATCGACTACCGGCTATCACCTCATCCAGACTTCCCCCAAGAGTCTGCCACTGTAAAACACCCAGATCATTTAGAAGACATCTGGTCAGCTTTGAACTACCTACAAGGCAAGTACGAGCTGTCAAACAACTACATCCTGGTCGGTCACTCCGCCGGTGCAACACTCGCGTTCCAACTTCTCATGAGTGGGGACATTCTCGCCTCTCACCCCAAGGGACCCTTGCCCATTGCCATTGTTGGAGTATCAGGTATATTCGATCTTGTTGGGCTCAACGACAGGCACAACGGCGGGTATGCTAGCTTTATCGAAGCCGCATTTGGTGACGATAAGTCTGCCTGGGAGAAAGCCTCACCAGCTCGGTTTGGATCAAGCTTCAAAGACAACTGGGCAAGTGGGAAATTAGCAATGCTTGCATGGTCTGCTGAGGATACACTTATTGATGAGCCGGAGATTGATAATATGGCATCTCTTCTAACAGAGCAGGGACTCAAAGTGGAAGTTAATAAGCACCTCAGAGGTGAGCACGATTTTGTATGGCAAGACGGGAGCCAGATTGCTCGCCTAGTCATCACGACTCTTCATCACTTACACAGGATATGAAAAGGCCTCTGATGTATTACATTCAATTTAAACATTACCATTTACTTGTTGCCTTACTCAAAAGCCCATGCCTCCTTACTCAATCATAAGTACCGAATTGTTGTATCCCTGTACATGCCCAATCTTTTTGCCTCTTTATTTCTTTTTCATCAAAACAAATCCGGTTGACGCAACTCTAGATGAAGCAATCATGAGAGCACCAAACAAAAACACAGTACCACCCCAAATCTGTGCATATACAAAATTGCCATTCGATTTATCCAGGATGGCACCAGCAGTCGGTGGTCCGGCCAAACTGGCAAATGCAGAAATCGTCTGAACCATACCGAAGCGAGTACCCATCTTGCGGGGATCTTTATTACTTGGTCAGTCATATACAAGAGAACAACAAGGCAAAAGTCGGGGGGTCTCTTACCTTTGGTCAAGCTCGCATTAGCACCAACGAATGTTCCCTGACACGCGCCGTTCACGAATCCAAAGAAGACGCAGAAAGCGTACATGCCGGCGACGGACTTGACGCCAATCCAGCAGTACACCATGACGCTGAGTGCAGTCATCCCAATAAGGAATGCGTTTATCGGTCCCAGGATATTGTCAGCCAGGTAACCCATTATAGGCCGTGCAGGAATACTCATTGCGTTCACAATCAGTAGCAAGCTGACAGCTTCAACTGCTGTAAACCCAATTACGTTGCGAGCATAAACATTGATCTGTTTACTGTTAGCGACAAAATCGCAGTACGGCTGGTCTTAAAAGGAGTCACTTACATAAAAGAAACCAAAGTATAATGCATAAAAGTTCAGAAACGCGCCCAGCACGAACAATAAATAGGGGAGTTCCCTGAAGGCTTCCCATTCTATCAGGGGCCCTGATTTTCTCGGAGCGAGGTACGGCTTTAGTATGAGATTTGCGGCAACTATCAAGACGAGAGCGACAAAACCAGCACAGCGGACAGCCCATGGGAAACCGATTTGTGGGATGAGATATTGGAGAGTGGCAGGGAAAATGATGGAACCCAGCCCAGTGCCCGTAGCAGCCAACGCCAGAGCAAATGCCTTCTTGGCTTTGAAATAAGAACCAACAACAGTCACAGCAGGCATGAATAGCAAGGCTAAGCCTATACCTGTGCAGACACCCTGAGACAAGAATATTTGCCAGTACTCTTTACACAGACTGGTCATGAAGGTTCCCAAGATAGCCAGGAAGCTTCCGAAGGCGACAGTCTCTCTGGTATATCCAGCATCGGCAAGACGGCCGGCTGGGCCACAGAACGCGAATGTCAGGAAAGTCTGGCAGGAACCGATCCACGAGATTTGTGACGAAGGCAATCCAAGCGATTCTTCATAGTGAAGCTGGTATACACCAAAGGAGGCGGGGTAGCCCCATGCCAAGCAATTGATGAAGACACCAGCAAGAACTTGGGACCAGGCTGTGAAGCCTCCATCTGGTGGGTCGAAGCTTTCAGGATCAAAGACTGGAGGAGGGGCGTTTGTGTTTGAGATAGTGTGATGGAGGTTCTGAGGGTCCTCGGGATTGCCTTCAGAAGGACATGGTGACGATTGCCTCCGAGTTGGCGTCTTCTCTACATCTTTGCCAAACATTGTTGATACGATAAAGTGTGTGATATTAAGGTGTGTTCCATTGATATGCTAGAACATGGACTGGCCAACAAGTAGTAGAATTTGAGGTTGCTGGGCATAGTTTCAGGGCTACTCAACTGGGATGGCTGACAACTATATACGTCCTGGTCTCTGCCCCATCCCGATCAGAGTCGATTCCTTGATAATTGAGTCAAAGATTTTTCTCGAAGGGCGCAATCCCATGGTCGCTTGCCGATATCGCGCCCCACAAACCCCAGATCGGGTTACTATAGTCGTTGCTCTCAATTTCAGTCAACATCATTTGCTGACCTATAGTGAATCATGGGGTTACACTTCTGAGTGCCAACCGCGCCCTTCAATTACATTGGTAGCCGGGTCAAACAGAGCCGGATTTACGGGTAGCACGACACAGGTATACTGTCCATCACGAGGCCATAATGTTGGCGTCGGCATGCAAGAAATCGGCCTCCACGAAAAACGTTATAAACTTGAATAATCAAGAATCGAGTTGGAAATTAAGTATCTAAGTAAAAGTCTCCCAAATGAATAATAATTTATCAGTATCAGCTAATGGTCCATTTAAAAGTCCCACCATATTTGAAGAAAAGACGCGAAAAGTATTGCCGTTACTTCATGTTCAGGGTAACCTCAGCCGGTCGCCCCACTAACCGCCGACGAACCGATCCCCACCGACCCCCGCTCCGATGGCCGGCATTGTTTATTTCCGGAGTCGGAAGTCCGTTGGTCTGACGCGTGGGGCCAATAAAACGTCTCCGAAGAAGTCACGGGTGGTCGCGGCCGGAGCCGGCGCCAGGGGTCAGGATAAACAACGATAATCAATGGTCAAGATTCTTGTGCGACCGCTGAAGAGTTTGCGCCGTTCATGAAATAAGTTGTTGCTGTTGTTCTGGAGGAATGTTTGAAACATCATGATAGCATAAACTTAGACATTGACTCTGTGATAATCGCAATTAACTTACGTTTTGGAACGGCACAGCCCGCATCTCAAATTTTAAACATATACACTCGAGTTAAACGCACAATTGACCAACTCGGAGGTTGATTATTTTATTCTGTCAACCAACGTCCATGCCCTAGTCAGTCAAAACAGAAACCAAAAAACACGAGAAGAAATTACCCCGCGCTCGTGATGGAGGGGTAAAAACAACAATGGCGGTAAAGAAAAATATGATGTAAGATTGTCACGTGAGGCGAGATCCTGTCCAACGTCCAATCGGCTTGTAGATCGTCTCCGCATCGGCAAAAGGTGGAGCGGGAACGGCACGCTAGTTCAGGTTGTGATGGTGGGGGGCAGCGGATTTGCGGTAGGGGTGTAGGTTAGACCACAACATCTCTGCACAGAATATTGTGATATATTGAGTCGGAATATATATGATGGAAAAAAAAAAAGGTCGAGGTGGAGGTGTAGTTTCGTGAGGCGTAATGCGGAAGTCTCACTTTAAACGTTGCAATTGACTGTTTCGGGGCGTTTCGGCAAACGATGCCGAAGTTCCGGGCTTGCGCTGTTGCGAAACGGCCTCAAAATACAAGCCTTGGTCATTATCAGCAATCACTGTTTAAATGTGCCCCAAAACATTGGTAAAGCGGTCGCGCAATACCGGAATCCATGCCTTATCATTTTGAAGACGTTATATGAGCAGCGCATTACGGTAGCTCGTGTCGCACACTTTCACATTCACGCGCACTGATGAACCTAATTAATCTCAGGCATGTTGTATGAGGTTAGTTGCGTACAACAAGATATAGAAAAAGTCGCTAGAAAACAGAATAAGACATCGGAAACATTTGGCCTTTTGCCACATTAACCCGTTCCTTTGCGCGGCCGGTGTGGCATCCAGACAGCATCCCTTTTTAGTCATGCATCTCGATCAGAATGCGCCTCACGTACGCACACGATAAACCTTCCATACACCGTTCCTGTCCTTCCTTCTAAACCTTGGGAGATTTTCCAAGCACCACGCCCCTTGTTCCCCACCGTATCGCACCTTTTTTGAGTGGTTTGCTTTATGGAGCTGTCGCCCACAAGTCCATCGCGATTCAGAGGCGGCTGACAGTCAACCTCGTTGAGCCTGGAGGCAACGAAAGCAATGTTGAATCGGAGGAGAAAGAAATTTTTTGTTTTGAAAAAGACACTCGACAACTCCTACATCTTGCCTCCAAACGCCGTATAAGGAGTGTAATGGCCGAACGGCCGTCGTTATTACATCCTCCTGAGTATCATCATGAGTGCTGCCCTCTCGCCTGCAAGCCAGAAGAACCAGGGAAAACATAAAAAGAAAACACTTGAGTGCATGGCCCATTTGTTGGTAAACCGTTGGGACCCATTGGGAGATTTGTACAAGTCATTCATGCCACATCGACAAAGATGACAAGTAAGCCGACAACAACGCTAGTGAAACTGCTGTATCAAAGCTCAAAGACCAGTATATACGACAATATTGAAAACCTTCAGGCGGTGTGGCTGAAGCCAGGCGCTTATCGCTTGCGCTTCTTGGACTTATCCAATGTCATGGCAGCCGCCGCGATGGGCGCAGCGGGTAATAGCGCAGGTTGGACAACGGCGGTGACCTCATCCTTCTTGATGGGCACTCCCATGTGACGACCGTATCGACCCTTTCGGCCGTTGCCCTCATCCTCACTAATGCACTGGTCTGCCGACAGGCCAGCATCACGACAGCGTCCGCAAGGCCTTTGGCGATCACAGCCCTTCTTGCTCTTTCTGCAGCGTTGGCAGCGAGGTTTGGTGGAAAGATCAGGCTGGTCATCCTCGCCAGGGGCAAGGGGAGTCTGTCCGGTAGACGCAACTGATTGCTTTCGCGAAGGGGGCATAGAAGCTGGGGACATTGGGCCACTTGGGACAGGAGGCAGCTTCTTTCCCTTAGCGCCATTAGAGGGACGGGCAGTCTTGGAGGACTTGGCCGATGGTGCTTTAGAAACAGAGGCAGATGCCTTAGGTTTAGTAGAGGCTTTCGGAGTCTTGCCAGGCTTGCTCTTGCCGGTGGAGAGTAGAGACTCGTCAGCGCCATCCTCATAGTCGGCATCGTCTCCACTAACTTCGGCACTTTCAGGGGGTGGCATGAAGTGTGACTCGGTAGTCTGATAGACGTTGCCAACAGTGCCGGAAATATCTAGCTTCTGGCGTCGCGCAGGAGGCAATTCGGTCTCACTCTCGCTTTCGCCATCACTAGTAGCGCCAGTAGAGGAAGCAGCATCAGCCCTGCCACTAAATGTATCATCGAGAGTAGAAGCAGAAGTTCGGCCGTGCGAGACGTTGGACATGTCACCAAGTCGCATCAGCTGGATAGCAACGTCCTTGTCCTCTTCAGACACACAACTGCCAATAGTTGGGTCAGGAGTAGGAAGAATTCCCATGGCACTACTGGTATATCCGCCACTGTTTCGGTTGCGGCGATCGGGTCCCGGGGTTGAGTAGAGATTGGGATGCGTGATGCCATGAGAATATCCTTGGGGCGACTGCATAGGGCGAGGGTTTGTGAAGGGATTTTGATGAGGCTGCACGAATGGCATTGCGGGGCGATGAGGCTCAGCTCGGCGAGCAGGAGATACTGAAGGATTCGATGTCGCCGCAGGCATCTGGGGGGGTGCGAACAATGGAAGTTCCTGTAGCCCGACGTTGTCAGTCTCTCTGAGCCCGCCTTGTCAAAATGGCGGTCTCCACTTACCGAGCTTTCGAACTTGGCCCTCTTACGACGGCCACCTTCAACGATGTTCTCGACACTGATATCAGTAGTAGGTAGTTGGTCCTTGTTCTTTCCAGATGTCGAGTCATGCTCATCATTGCTGCTATAGCCATTTATACTGTCGCTGTATAGTTCGGTATGACTCCGAGAGGCAGAAGCTCGGGTCTTGGATGAGCGAGAACGACCCTTCTTCCCATTTGTGCTGGCAGAAGCACTTCTTCGGCCACGAGCAGTGTTGGGGGAAGGGCTTCGTCTCCGCGATGTCCGAGAGCTGGGTCTGGACAACTCTTGGGGAAAGCGCTGAGCCTGAGTGGCAGTATAGCCATTGTCGCTGTAGTAAGGGTGGGTGCCAACTGATGAGTTATGGTAAGGATGGGGAGAATACGTAGTTGCATTCGCCGGAGGCTCCTCTATAACCCTGACGTATACTACCATGTTGTTTCGAAAGTTCTCGTACCGGGCAATAAGGGTGTTCCCAAGATCATCTTCGAAACTGACTCCCTTTGACCCGGTCGGACCCGAGTACAGACCATAAAAGTTCTTTACGGTAGTGACAATGGAGTCCGTTGTGTCGTGGGGGTATATTTGCACTCGCATTGGCAAGCGCGCACGGCAATGGGGGGATTCGAGAAACAATAGCTCAAATGCGACGTTCTTGGGTGTTGATGTCTGTTGGGGTGAGACACTGCCGCCATTTGAGGACGCTCCAGAAGGAACGATAGCAGTGTTGAGAGGCGACATTGAGGCCATTGTGAAGCTGAGAGGGTGTTTATTGTGTCGGTGGAGATGGACGTTGTAGAATTGAAGGGTGTAGTTGGGTTGATGGGTTTCAAAGTGGTGTTTGCGGGCTTTGCCTGGGATAGACTGGGCCCGGCCCTGTTCACGACAAGATCGCTCAACAGTACGCTCAATACTATATGCGACGGTCAAGGACCAGAAAAGCAGACAAGACAAGATATGTAAAAAGTGATGTCAAAATGTAGATGAAGAATCAAGGGATAATCAACATCCACGCCGTAGGCGGTAAGCGCCGAGTCTTGTGTGTGTCTGTGTGGTCTCAGGGCTTTGGACTTGCGGTGCGTATGACGACGATGAACGGTGGAGGGTTTTCGTTAGAACGACAGCGACGGTAAAAAGATCGATATGCTGTTTGTTTCGAAGCCTGTTAGCAACTGAGAAACGGCTGGATGGTCTGAGGAACCGCCGAGTAGATGATGAAGAGGACCCCTCGAGTAGAGGATGGGTAGGTTGAGGGTCGGGGCAGTCTGGCGCTTCTTGGGACGGGGACAACGGATGAAGCAGAGAGGACATGAAGCTTGGGGACTCAGGATGGAAGAGGGGAGAATCGGGGCCTCGAGATTGGGTCTCGATGGGGATCGCGCATAATAACACAGGCGATGGGACTTACCAGAGGGGTCTTGATCCGTGTTGGGATGGTTGTGGCGGCGTTGAAGAGTCGGCAAGAGGATGTGCATGAGGAAAAGAGGAGCCAGACCAGATGAGAGAAGAGAGGTTGTTGAATTTGAACGGAGCTGGGCTCACTAACACGAGAACATTCCGTTTAGGGGGGTTAAGCGTTAACAACTCCTGAAGGAGGCCTGGAAATTAGGCCAGCAGACCGCTAAAGACGGCCCTGGGCAGCGTGGGACAACCTGTAATTACAGCGTCTGGGCCAGAAGTTAGGGATGGGGAGACATGGCTTATGCTGAAATTGAGCCAGGGCTGGTTGAATGGCTTGCCCTGAGGGGAGGGGACTCATTGCCCAGGACCCATCCATTGTGGTTCCTCGCCGATGAACCCGAGCGTCTATTCAAGGAACTGCCATGACGTGCCTCTAATCTCGGTATTATTGTGGCAGATACCGTGAAAAGGTAGCCCGATGCTTAGAACAGGCACCGTAGATTTGCTTTTGGTTTCTATGTTGTGACTGACTTCGGGGGAAAAGAGGGCGCATTCTCGACTCCTCCCGCGCGAACGAACCTAGAAAAGCGGATGCGGCGGTGCAGATGCGCAGCGCAAATCGATCAGTATCTTTTTGCGCGCACGCCGCATACACTACAGTTTCGATTCGTTGAGCATTCTCGAGTCGCTTGATGAAATTATTACAATATAAACTCTCCATCTGAATCTCATCTGCGACTCCTCACAGGCTTTGAAACCTGTGCGGGCCAGTTATCAGAATAGGTTGCAAGGACCTGGGCAGCCATATGTCGATCCCCAGCAGCAAAGCAAGGCGCATACTCGGTTCTTTATACGGGGATGATGAGCCTTCGCAACGGCCATATCTTGTTTAGACTCGTCGCAAGTCACAAATCTGGGCCATAAGGTTCAGGAACAGGCCGGTGAGCAAAGCAAAAGTAATGCGCCAGTCTAAATTCCAGTTACTGAAGCTGTGTAAAACCCGTCGCTTTCAGTTGAATATTGGCTCCATATCGCCGGGCACCATGACGGACTGACAGTGCATGCATGGGTTGCCCATTTCAGCGGATCCTGGGAACCTTGGATTGCTGGCTTCCTTTCCCTCCCGAACCTCTCACTCGAGCGCTGGCTATTGCTACGGAGTATGGTCTCATCGGCCACTCACGATCCATCGACTGCTAGCTACATATCCATCGCTCCAAGAAGCGACCCAAGTTAGGCTAGACACTGGTCGTTGGCGACCAACAAACTGTGACCGTACTCCCAATGGAAAAGAATCCTCAAGCCCAGCCCCTCTTGATCCAGTGTCTCTGGCACTTGTCGGTGGCCTCGTGTGAGTCTGTGACTGTTGACGACCCTCACCTCCAATCCAAATGTGGTGTGATTAGTCTAAGAAGAGGAGACAACGAACAACAACCACTGCAGTGGTTCCCGCTAGCTTCTGCTTATAATGTACATAGTCCATACCGTAGAATATGCTCAGCGACATCGCTTGTTGAGCTGCGATCGCGCGCACACACGCACACTTTACCTGCGAATTCCTCCTCCGCGCTCCAATGGGAGCGTGCGAAGCTTGTCCAGGGGTCAATGCGACCTCAATCAGGGCTTGTTACAGAATGTTAAACTCTGGCGCAAAGTTGTCGGTCATGATCCAATTGATCTCTCTGGATATAGGGCTTGCAATGAAGACTCCATGGTCTGAAGATTCAGTCATGGCTTTGGAGATAGTAGAAGGGATGCTGAGAAGAACTTTCTCGAGGTCGACACACTGAGAAAGCGGAGAGCTCTCGATTCAACGGCTCAGAGATGTCTGAGTTGGTGGTTGCAACAGATCATCAACAGCCAATCGCACTGATTGTCATGGTCGACCGAGCTGGGGACCTGTCTAGGCTGATCATGTGTCGAAATAAGCTTGGCACACGGTAAGCATCACGAACGGTCTGTGTTAACGAGGAATTTTTGAGACCTTGGAAGGGGATAATGGGCCATCTTTGGATATGTCAAGTCCTTCACTGTATGGATAAGTTTTGAAGAATACTATTGAGGTGTCGCTGTGCCTTGAAGATGCAACATGAGAGACACCCCTTTGTGGCGATATTGATTATGACACCTTGATGTTCCAGTTTTTTTTTTGTACTACTATCTAACACTTACCCGACAAGATCCTTATGATATGGATAGCAAAGTAATTGATGCGCTTCAATTCCCCATAACTAAGAAACAACGCCATACAGTGCCGTTTGATGCGCAAATCAGCGACTAAGGAGTGAAGTTGCGCCAGTTCATTCTCGACTTGCGCTTCCATGATGGCCATTGACCACTCCGAGGGATGATGCGCTTAGCTTGCGAATGATTCTGAGACAAAAGAAATCCAAGCGTTAAGAGCCCAGCCAGCCGCTGGGTGCCAGGCGCATACCTACAAAGTTCCAAAGCGCTCGAAATAGAAGCAAAATAGTCATTCCCGTTGAACAGAGATGATGCTGAAGAATGGGAATGCGCCTGTTCAGAACCTCAGTCAACTGCGTTGGCATTATATTCATTCTCGTCCCCCACCAACAGGAACAGCCAATTGTCCGTGTCATGATAACCCTCGTTCGGCGCCTGGGCCCGGTCGATCAAGTTCCCTTCTCTGGGGTTTCATCTTGAACCGTTCAGGCAGCGGTCGCAGCGATTAGCTCGCGGCGTACGAGGGACGAGGAAGATGGTGGAATGGCATCTTGGATTGGACCTTGGCCACACGTTCGGCTTGTTTTGTTTCAGCATGAGGCCAGAGCACGCGTGAACGTGAATGTGAGTGAACGTGGAGGTAGCTGTGGATGTGGATGATGGTGCCATGGATCCGTTGTGATGGCGGCACACCAATTGGTCTCTTTTCTGGTCCGACAGAGACTCAATCCGACCTCAGTATGTCGTTTATGCTCCTCTCTCAGTACGTCTAATCTATTCAACTGTATATCAGACTCGTGGACCCTTAGAATGGCCACAGTCCAAAAGGCATACCATCAACAGACCATGCATATCGAGACCCTCAAGGACCCGTGACTGACTAGTCCATAACATGCATATCCTGGACAAGCCAAGCAGACCCTTGCCACATGTTGCGATCCAGAGATGCGCAATGCGCTGCATGATATCTTTTCGCATTGCCTTTTGTATAGTAGATTTTATAACCTGAGCTTCTAACCACACTGATGAAAATGTCGCAGTAAATGCGCCGTCCAAAACTAAAGCGCACATCCCATATCTCATCTCTGTGTCGCACAGCGTTACATTGAGAGCAAAGCATGCGATGCGCCCATCGTCCATCAAGCATGACGCTTGCGCGCACGCTGTCACCGCCCCGCCCTGGATTATCCACGTTTGGATGCGCTGGCGCAAAATTTAGGTGATCGTGGTCAACAACAAAAAAAAAAACAGATGCGACAAGGAAAGGCTCCATCGACCGAATCAGCGTTCGTCGCAGCCCAGCCCAATCCAGCCTGGAGTTATGAGACGAGCCTGGGCCGTGGTCACCTCATCTCCAGATGTCTCTCGGATTTGTCTTCCATGAGACTCCAAGGCTCCGCCATCAGCGTCTAGGCTGGGACTATCTGTGACAAGCGAGATAGATAATAACTTCGATATCAAGGTGACAGGGCCTATCAGATTTGCTCTCTGCGATCTGGTCCATCAGCAGCATGTCCAGGCGCCGCGCACAAAAGATACGGTGTGTGTATCTGTCACCTACAACCCTTGTTCGTCTGCCTGTGCTGTCTATTTTGCCTGTCAAGAATTGTGACGAGATTCGGCATTTATCCTTACATTTGTACATGCTTTGCTCTAGCAGAAACTTATCTGCATTTAGATCGAACTGCGCCTAATATGCTATATTGCCTCACAGGTTCACTTCTTATCACCACCCACCCAACTCGTTTCTCTGGCATGTGGCGTCGCTAGATTCCCATTGCGTACTTCGGACCTTTGCTTTTGTTTCTCGTGTCCATGTGCCCAACGAATTAGCCGCTATTTGCACCCGTTGAGTCCCGTTCGAATTCCGTCGCACAAAGTGGCACAGTCTGATGCCAAAAAGGTTGCGCAGAGTCATGATGCGACTGTGTCGCGACTAGGTAGCTTGGAGCTCAGTATATAGAAGTAAATTGAATATAGCAGTAGGAGAGGGAATAAGGGAAATTCATTTAGTTACATCGTGATCGGGACGGTATTTGGACCAACAATCGCCACTGTACTGCTGTAGGGTTATTTGCGACTGAGGTCGCAATTTCATGAGCTATCACACCTGTATGAGTCCAGCCGTTTTGTGTTTCGTCGCTCTTGAGGTACCTTGAAATTACCAAGGTCATCTGTATTGGAATTGTATGCCAATTACATCTTACAGGTTGGCGACCTAGATATGGTTACTCATTGCGTTCAACCAATTCGACGAATCCAACGTTCGCTCAAGACTACGTATTCTTAGTCCAGAGACCCTACCAACTCCAGAAGATTCTTGCTAAATGACACTGATGATGTTACAATATCGCATCGTTCGAAATGCGACAAATGGTGGCGTAGAGTTGGTCTTAGTGCAGCTTGCGTGGCGGGCTGTCTTGCTTAACCATGATGGAGGCATCGCATGACAGTAAAACAAGCGTAGCTATTGGCGTGATTCTAATTATTATCTGCCATAGGATTCCATCGCTGGTCCAGAGGGATAACCATATAGTATATTTGACCTTTTGATATTACGAGACGTTTGTATACGTTGTTGTTGATGAACTCGACTGTGATGATTCGGCGCAATTCTTGATGCTTTTTATCTGCACACAAAGTTGGGCATATCGGCGGGGAGGGATAACTTGGCGACGGCGCGAATCGATGAATTGTCTCGGCGGTCTCGGAAAGGAAAGGGGAGGACATGATCCTCCCTGATTCAATTCGCGACAGGCCTCGACAGATTTTTTATTCTTGGAGTACTATGAGGTTTTTAGAGATGCCGTTGAGTTTACGTATGATTCAAGTCACGTGAAACCGTACCCGTTTGGCGCGTTCAGATACCTTGATGAGACGCGGTAAAGATTATCGAGAAATTATAATCAAAATTGGAAAATTGTGCAACATACTGGAGAGTTCGCTACATAAATTAGAATGGCTTGTATCTTAAAGATCCAGACACAAATTATGTAGCTATCATTTCTCTTCTAAGTGTCTCAGACACCACATAAACGACGTCAACGTCTTAAAGTGCTTTTCAAGTGAGACGCGACGGAAGTCGAGATAAGCTCGATAAGGCTGTGCTATTCCAGAACCGGTATAGCGTCTCGAAAAGCGCCATCGCCGTGACGACAGGTTGGAAACGAGCCAGGACCCGGTAGCGGCCCGTGCGCCATCCCTCACCAAGCTTAGTGAGCTTGTTCTCCTTGAACTAAAGGGCCAAAAATAACGTCGTACCTGAGAATTAGCAGCATAAACAAACAAACAAAATCTCATCTCAAGCAATAAGTGGGTACAGCGGGGGCCAGCACTCCAATCAAGTCACAGCTTCTGCTAGCACTGGCAAGGCATGAGGCTTCCACAACCATTTACGTTGTCCCGTTGCCCGTTGCACAGTTACGAACAGGATGTGGATGGATGTGCATGCTCTCCTCAGACCCAGCTCTTCGGAGGTACCTTTATTATTCCATCATCGCCGCATTCTCATCTGTCTTTGTTTTGCACCCTTTCATTCCCATTTTCCCTCCAACGCCCTGAGCATTTTGAGCTTCTAGTGCTGCCATCATCACCGCTGATCTCAACGAGCATCAGCTCAGTTCTACCAGGGCTAATCTCCCCGTCCAATGCCCCCCTGCGCGCCCGGGCCCCTAATCTCACGAACACCCACCAGTCCAAAGCTATCGCCTGCTGCTGCTGCTTTTGTTCCTGCTGAGAAATAAAAACAACAACAACCAAACACGCCTTGTTCACCAAGCTTCCCTCCCCGGCTTCCTCATCGTTCAATGTCCGACGCAGCCTGAGATAGCATCCTAAAAATACTGCGCGCAGTAGTCGATACCGAGAATTCAAGGGAAGAGTCAACACGGCCTAGCACTGCAAGCCACCCGTCGCCTGCCAACTCCCATCGCAACCGTAATTGCAGCATCTTAGATGATAAATCAACGCGCCGACTTCAAACACCAAAACATCCTTTCAGCATCCGTACGCGATCTTCACCACCAGCATCCTATTAATCGCGTTTTTACCACATCAAACAACCTTTTTCATCCACACAATCCTCAGTTTTGAACCTCACTATGGACGCCAGGGTATGTTATCATACACTATCTCCCTGATTAGTTACCGTTGCCGTGACTTGACAGCCACCTCTCCCTTGCATCACGATGCATACCAGTACCCGTTACAGAATTGTAAGCTAATATCATATTCCTCAGCCTTTCCGACCGCGTGGCGCAGAAAACGCACCCCATCTTGAACAATCAAACAAGTCTTCAGGAAATCTGGCAATGGCCAACACAAACACAGCAGCTGGTTTCCGCGGCCCAGCGAAGCGAGCCGCCTTCGGTGATATGACCAATGTTAGCAAGCAGGCTGTATACACTCGCGATGAAGGCAAATCGATGAAGATTTACGCTTCGAAAGGTGTGAACAACAACCACGGCGGCGCGCCTCTAAACAAGGAGAACACTGTCTATAACAAAGATTCTTTCTCTCGTCCAGCGCAAAGGCTACCCAACATCTCGTCGACACGAACCGTCCTAGAAAATAAGTCATCTGACGCGAATAAGAAGACATCGCGTAACAACGTTCAAGAAACGTACGTCAGGAAAGATACCCACAATGCCACCAAGGCTCCTGCTCTGTCAACTCAGAATGCCCCTGCTCTTCAGCCACGCCACTATAAGAGCCAACCTCAGCTCAAACCTCAGCAACAACAAGCTAGTCTGCGTCGCACCCAAAGCAAGCAGCTGGAAAAGATAGTGCCAAAAGCGGATGTTGAGCTCGGCTCTAAATCCTCTAACCCTGTTGTAATGTCGCTGCAGGAGGCTGATTATCCCTACGACCAAGGCGCCTACCTCGATTCTATGTATCTTCCCATCGAGACCGGTGTCGACCTGGATATGCTTCAGAAGGAGGAATATCCCGAGTCACACATCAAGCTGCCTGAGATATCCGAGGAAGAACCCATTGTTCCCATCCCTTATGACCCATCTGTCCCTGCCATGTCAGAACCTGAAGAGTGCTGGGAGGAAGCTGATGACGAGGACTTTGATGACCAAGACCAAGCATACACAACAGCGCACTCAGTTCGCTCACGGGATATGACTGCTGGAGGTGCTACAGAAATTGTTCCACTGCCTCGTATGACAGCTCGCGTTCAACGCGAACTTGAGGATGCACGTGAAGAGGTGGAGCGCACTCGCACACAAGACGAGGTTGAAGAAGAGCTTTGGGATGTCAGCATGGTTGCCGAGTATGGTGACGAGATTTTCGAGTATATGCGCGAGCTTGAGGTAAAGAGTTATTTTTGTCTTGCTCTGATCCCCATACTAACAATGTTTTGCAGATCAAAATGCTTCCTAACGCGCACTACATGGATAACCAAACCGAGATTCAGTGGTCAATGCGATCAGTCCTAATGGACTGGCTTGTACAGGTTCACAACCGATTTGGTCTCTTGCCTGAGACGCTTTTCCTGACAGTTAACTACATCGACCGTTTCCTTTCCCAAAAGATCGTCTCAATTGGCAAGCTCCAACTTGTCGGTGCCACCGCAATCTTGGTAGCCTCCAAGTACGAAGAGATTAACTGTCCTTCTTTGGGTGAGATCGTTTACATGGTTGACAATGGTTACACTGCCGACGAGGTCCTGAAGGCCGAGCGTTTCATGCTTAGTATGCTGAGCTTCGAGCTGGGTTGGCCGGGGCCCATGAGCTTCTTGCGACGTGTTAGCAAAGCTGATGACTATGATCTTGAGACCCGAACTCTGGCCAAGTACTTCCTGGAATTGACCATCATGGACGAGCGTTTCGTAGCATCCCCCCCTAGCTTCCTGGCTGCGGGTGCACATTGTCTTTCTCGACTCATTCTCAAGAAGGGTGACTGGGTAAGTTAGAGTTACGACTATGCTTATAGATTACACAGGCTAACTTGCAATGCAGACTAAGCAACATGTCTTCTACTCGGGCTATACCTGGAGTCAGTTGAAGAACTTGGTGACGATGATGATTGAATGCTGTGATCGTCCGGACCAACACCATGCCGCCGTCTTTGAAAAGTATACGGACCGCCGGTATAAGGGAGCGTCTTTGTTAGTGCAAGAAGCTCTCGATACTGGCTTCACTCTTCCTCACCAGCTATCTCCCGTTCGCCGAGAGCTTCAAGGATATCGCGAAGGCAGTGCCGAGTTGTCCATTGCGCAGCCCCAACTCATTCCCATTGAAGGATAAGAAGCCATCATGACCCGGTTGGCACATGCTTGTGGCGGGTCCTTTCTGGTACATGGCGCCCGCCAACTTATCGCCATTTCTTCTCTTCTCCAGCCTGGCGCCGAGCATTGCGACCTGCCACACCGGCGATTGAGATGTTTTGACTGTTGTTGTCGTTGCGTCGGTACTTGACCGGACCGGGGTATCTTTACTACTTCATCCGGACCGGAATAGCAGGTGCGGCCAGCTCCCGGACAAGCCCTAATTACCTACCCCAGACTTTGTCTCGACACAGGCTACGGCTATTTTCGCTCTTGGCCGGGCTTTTTTTCTTGCCCTAATCTCGTTCTTAAAGACGGTGGTTCTTTTTGACATGAACTCTTTACTAATACCCGGCCGGGGCTGGGCACAACATAACAATTTAATATGAGCGGCGACACTCCCCACATGCTACCCCCCTGGACTCCTCTTCTCCATCATTCGCCTTGCCTCAACCCCAGACTCTCGAGCTTGTAAGGAGAGGAAAGCAGTGGAGCGAAAGGTACAAATACTGTATAACGACTCTGGATGACTGTTACGAATATCACGATTGTGCGACTGCGATTATATCATCTTTTATTGCCTATTTGGCTGGTTTAATACATTTTCGGAATTCGGCGTTGCGGGAACGGTCTCTTCCACCACCAACTTACATACATGCGACTGCATATATGGAATTGTAAGTGGGATATGGACTAGGGACGAAGGCGTATGGAGGATTCTTCAGGGACCGTTGGGGGAGGCTGGACTTTTGAGTGGTGGAGGGCTCGCGACCTCAAGCAGAATGGAGTCGACCATAGACCAGAGCAAGTGGGATGGAGATACAATCAGCCATGATCACCACTGCCACCATCGCCAGTAACCCCATAGGCCCCCAGTTTGCATTTACAGTAGCATATAGATTAGTAGAGGCTCTGGACGCGTGTATGGTATCTAATCCTCAATTCTCTTGTTTCAATATTGTCACCTGATGTTCCTTGTGCCATTTAGTATATCAGACCAGTGGGCGCTTTGTCTTTGCTGCTTCAGTCCGGGACTGGGGCATGTCTTTATCATGTTGAGAGGTTCTTCAACAGAGATGCATACTTTCATATCTAGTATTTTGCAAGGCGGGTTCTATCTCCTATAATGTATGGCTTTCACTTGCCGGTTGTCTTGTATAAATACCGAGATAGAAAAACGTTGTGTTTTGCACTTGCCGTGCAATGCATCTTGCAGGTCGTTTAAATCAGACAAGATATGTTCATATCACACGACTTGCCATCCACGCAAGTTATATCATGTTGGGAGATCTATGTATACAGGACTAAAAAACAAGATCACGAAACCTGTCGCTAACTTTAATCATATCGAGGGGGAATATATTAAGGGCGAGCTTACCCCGACCCTAGCTCAAAAACCCCGACATTTCCCCACGGAGGATTCTCCTTGCCTGATGGGTACGAGCGCCCACTAACAAGACCAGAACAAGGGATGGACATTGGACTAGTCGTGGCAGAGCCCAGGGGAAAGTTGCTCTGTGCTGACCGGGAATTTCCGGCATTTCGGTCTCTCGCAATACCATAGAGTCGTAAGAAGTAGACTCAAGTACCTACCTATTTATGCGAACTCCCCGCTGACCCACGGATACCTAAGTCAAGGTTCTTGAAAGTGACAGCAAGTGTTCTGATAGGCGCGCGAGCAAGTTAGCCTCACAGGTGATGGCAAACTGGCAATCGGGTCTGCAATGTTACATGTCTTGATGGAGAAACTGAGGGTTAACAATATGGAAGATAAATCATGGTGAAAATGGCTTCTTTTGGAGTTTCACCTTGGCCAAATTTGGTCAAAGAATAGCATTGAGCTGTGCTCGTGACCTAGGCATGCTCGAGGAAAGATTCCACTTGAAATGACCAGGTCCCAAGGCTGCACTAGAGAGACCATCGGCACCATGTGACGTCTAAGAAATTGAGGGAGGGTTTCTGCCATTCTGGAAACATGGATACTGTCCGCTGTCGCAAGCGCGGGCAAACCCTCCGCGACTCCGAGTCTGGGGCACAGGATATTGTGTTTTAGGCGAGAACAGGTGAGCAACAATTTACATTAGGAGCCTTTATAAATAACTATCAGGGGGATCATCGTTAATGACTCCGTACCGAAGAATCTGCATTACCTGCAGCATGATAGATTGCGCTACGGTCCAGCGGAACCGCGACGGCACATATGATTTTTCAACATTTCTCATGAAAGACCAGGGACTCGCTCCTCCCACGTCAGAGAAGGCTGCGAGACCCGGAAGGGTAAAGGAGGAAACTCAAGTCATTCCGGGCAACGAAGTATGACCTCAAGATCCAAACCCGGTCACTGGTTCAAAATCATAAATGATTGCCTTGCCGTCCATACACTTCGTCAATATATCCACAGCATGAGAACGTCTTATGCTGAGGATCGTTAATAAAAACACGAAATAGCTTGGACTGTGCTGAATCAAGCAGTTGGCGCTGCTCCGAACTCCGGTTAGGCGGGTCAGTCCTGGGGTCCATCTCCACAACGATATGCCACCCCGGGATCGGGGGAGGGAGCTTTCCCGGTGTTACGGAAGAGAAACGGCATTCTGCTGGGAAGAGCATATTCAATGGGTTTCCTTTGCACACGTTTCATATCAGGTGTCTATTCTCATAATTGTTGATAGTATGAGTTTGAGATGCCAGGAGTCTGGCAATTGATCATGATTCCCTTCTTGAGGCTCAACTTTTGAGGCACTGACTGATATCCAGGCTCGTTAAAAGACCTTGCCCAGGAGGTGCTCGGGATGGGCCAACTTGGAAGGGGTCCACAGATTAGATCCATTAGACATGCACGCCCACATGTAGAAGAGATGATGTATCTCAAGGTACCGTCACTCGAGCTGGCAGTAGTTTCTGGGCTCTGTCTTCACCGAATTTGCTTGGAGATCGTTGAGATGCTGGTGACTCTTGTTGCTCTCGTGTCATTGGCGCGTGCTCTTGAACTTGGCAATATGAAGCGAGATTCCTGGATCGTCGACCGTCAAATACTCTGCCTAGGTACGAATCTAAAAGGCAAGGCATCAAGTTAAAAAGAACAAAGAAAAAAGAGAGCGCGCTTGCAGCGGTCCGCCCTATACCTGTCCGCTGGTCCGGACTTCAGACCACCAAAGCCCCACGTTGCTTCCTTTTCTTCCAGAGGTGCGCTTCCAGCTGCCAACCTGGCGGGCTTCAGTGGAAGAAGCAAGTGCAACAGCGGTTATTTAGGGCACTTTCTAAAGGGAGCTGCTGGTTGACTTTAAGGTACACACAAATAACAGAGTATTTCTAGTCATGTGCAATACTCAAAGATACTTGAAGCCCAGTACCTCACCCCTCGTGGCAGGCGCAAACACGGACACACACCCACTACAGCACACCCCCCGCCCGGACCAACCACCGGCCTGGCCCAGTGAATAGCAAATTTATCTCATCTTTCGCTCCATCTCGAAATTCCCCAATTGACGCATTTTGCTCTCCTCTTCAGCTTCTGCTTCTCTTCGTTTCGCTTCCCTTTCGCTACGTCGACACGTCTCCGACATTCTCCCCCTGCCGCTGACTTCGATCGTTCGAGGGAAATCTTATCCTTTGCACCTCTTTCTACCTCTTGTTAGCTTCTGCTATTTGCGTTGCTCCAGAGAATTTCGTCGTGGTCAGCCGTTGTCGGACCACTTGTCAGTGGACACTACGAAACCAATTCGTCTCCGAGTCGCCCCAGACACCTCAGTTTGCGACCTGCTGAGTATCGCTCGATTATTTCCGACAACCTAATTGCTGTGAACTCGATCCATCCTTTTCGGAACTTTTCTTTACCCCTCCGAGCGACTACGATATAACAATGTCCAAGCTTGCTGTGGCCAAGGAGGCCGTCAAGGAGGCCGTCATCGGCACACACGAACCTGAACAGCTTGCTGCCCACACCAAGGCGCGCTTCACCAAGCATGCTATCAAGGACCCTGAGACAGGCGAACTGTACCTCGGACCCGATGAGTTTATCAACGCTGTTGCGCCTGAGGGCGAGGATTACGTGAGTCACGCACTCCTGCTTCAAGCAAGCTGTAGCCAAGCTTGCATACTCGCAAGGACTTGCTAACCACTGCCAAAACAGCACAAGATCTCCCGTGATCAATACTCCATTCTATTCAGCGTCGCGGATGTCAATGGCAAGGGCAAAGTGAGTCTTGCTGACTGGGGTATTTTCGAGCACCTCCTCAACAAGCCGGATGCCGAGTATCAGATCGCTTTCCGCCTCTTTGACGTTGAGCGCACCGGCTCTGTTAAGTATGACGATTTCCGCACGTTGTACGAGCTCAACAAGGGCCCCGACAACCTAACCTTCGACTGGGACTCCGACTGGGCCAAGATTTACATTGGTAACAAGAAGCACCGTCACCCTCTCGACTATCCTCAGTTCTGCCAAATGTTGCGCGGTCTCCAAGGCGAGCGCATTCGGCAGGCCTTCCACCAGCTTGACAAGGACGGCGATGGCTTCATCAGTGGTGAGGAGTTTGAGCGCATCATTGTCGAGACTGCCCGCCACAAGCTGTCTGAGCATATTCTTGACAATCTGCACACTCTTGTCAACCTCTCCATTGGTTCCAAGATTTCATACGCCAATGTGCGCGCTTTCCAGAACGTCATCGGCGGGATGGATCTTGTTGAGCTCATCTTGCGCCGTGCCATTAACCAGAGCAAGGACGGCAAGATCACTCGTCCTGAGTTCCTGAACGAGGCTGCCAAGCTCACACGTTTCTCTCTTTTCACGCCTATGGAAGCTGACATCCTTTTCCACTTTGCCGGACTCGACCAGCCCTCTGGCCGTCTGGGACTCTCCGATTTCGCCAAGGTCCTTGATCCTTCGTGGCGGAACCCCATTTACGACGCCGTCGAGGCCACAAAGGCCAAGGTTGCCGCTGGTGGTATCCTGATGGGAGTTCTGACCTCGGGTTACAACTTTGCTCTGGGTAGTGTTGCCGGTGCCTTTGGTGCCTTCATGGTGTACCCCATCGATTTGGTGAAGACGCGACTGCAGAACCAGCGAGGCGCCCAGCCCGGTCAGCGCCTCTACAAGAACTCGATTGATTGTTTCCAGAAGGTCATCCGCAACGAGGGATTCCGTGGTCTCTACTCGGGCGTGCTACCCCAGCTAGTTGGTGTTGCTCCAGAGAAGGCCATCAAGCTGACCGTGAACGATCTTGCCCGAAAGTACTTCACTGATAAGAACGGCAACATTACAGTCTTGTCCGAGATGATTTCTGGTGGTTCTGCTGGTGCCTGCCAAGTCGTAAGTTCATCAAATAACCCCTACCTTGATAGAAGCGCCACTAACTAGCCTACCACAGGTCTTCACCAACCCTCTCGAGATCGTCAAGATTCGACTCCAGGTTCAGGGCGAGGTCGCCAAGACCGTCGAAGGAACACCGAAGCGATCGGCCATGTGGATCGTGCGCAATCTGGGTCTTGTTGGACTGTACAAGGGTGCTTCGGCGTGTCTGCTCCGTGACGTTCCCTTCTCGGCCATCTACTTCCCTACCTACAGCCATCTCAAGAAGGACTTCTTTGGCGAGTCTCCGACCAACAAGCTGGGTGTTTTGCAGCTGCTGACTGCTGGTGCGATTGCCGGTATGCCCGCTGCCTACTTGACGACACCCTGTGACGTTATCAAGACCCGACTTCAGGTCGAAGCCCGCAAGGGCGAGGCCACATATAACGGTCTGCGACACGCCGCCAAGACAATCTGGAAGGAGGAGGGCTTCACTGCCTTCTTCAAGGGTGGTCCCGCGCGTATTTTCCGATCTTCTCCTCAGTTCGGCTTCACCCTTGCCGCATATGAAGTTCTTCAGACCCTTCTACCCATGCCTGGTACTCAGAAGGAGAAGATTCCTACAGGAGTGTCAGATGCCGTGTCAACGGTCAAGGGCAGCCTGGACACTAGTCCATATGGTCGCAGCCGCAACGCCCTTAAAGTGATCCTCGATCTTGATGAGGACTTTGGCAAGGTCAAGCTTCCCAATGAGAAGGGCTGGCGATCGCTGCCCAAGATCATGGGCGGTGGTGGTCAGTAGAACGATGAACAAAATGATAGAAATGACCGGGAGAATCCAGAAAACGGATGCGTTGAGGTTTTTGATCGAGGTTAAAGAGGATGCAAGATTGACGAAAGCGATTGTCCGGTGACTGCTCGGCTATTACGCCTTCAAAAACGGCCCATGGTCGGGCTTCGATGTCCGAAGCACGACCCGCCCGTGTTCAATTACCGGACAAAGCCGAGGAGATATTGCATCGAACCAATACCCAGCGAGACCAAAAACCTTTATGATGAAATCTCTCTTTTGAATCTATGTTTTCATTTAGAGCGAAAGACAAAGACAAAAGAACGGGGATAGATGGAAGATGGGATACAAAAAAGAAGCAGGATGAGATAGAGATAAGTCGGATATCCGGTTCCTGGCGGAGCGGAGCGGGCGAGGGAGAGCGTCTGCTTCTTTTGCATCAGACTCGGCGTTCTGGGGCATTCAAAGGGCATGATGGGAGCTGTATTTTTACCACCCTTTACTATGTTATGTTTAGAGTTCAGTATTATTGTTACTATAGCTTGTTTGAATCGTTTTGTGGAAAAGAAAGCACGTTCATGAATCATGTGTGGCGGTTTATATGGGAATTGAGTGTAACAGGTGATTCACGAAGCGTATCTGTTTAACAGAATCGTTAGAGCAGCAAGATTAATCGAGACTTTGGTCTCAAAGGTGTGTTTAATGCGCTATCTCTTCAGAGATGCTGCAGGCGTAGCGACGCAAGTTCCACAGCCGCCTGAGCGACGAACACAGCGTGCTTAGTACAAAGAACGATTTAATCGCTTAACATGGGAGTCTTTGAATTTGTGAGAAATTTAGGTCGTCTTGTCTCAAACAATGAATATGAACTGATGATCAGAAAATGTCAGATCATAAGGATGGTCCCAATTCAATACATTGGAGCTATGCCATCGTTTGACGAGTTCATGACTGTGTTCCTCAACTTAAACTAAGCAATCTCTTGTCTCCTTTTTCTCATGAGAGGTCGCTCTTGTCATTTGATTCCAGAAATTACAATAGTACCTGAGAGACTAGAACATACGAGCACGATGCTTTTTTGTGACATCAAATGCAACATTCCGTTGCTGTTCGGGCCCACAGTGGCTCTTAGATAGAGTAAGACATGGCACATCGTAAAATATTTAATATAATTCTAGCACTTTCATGCATTTGTTTTAATGATGTGATAATCCTTAAGTAAAGTTGCGGGCGTAATGAGTAGGTATCTATTCAACTGAACAACCACCATCTTGTGAGGATTGTGTGGATACAGTAAACATAGAATCCATATCGTTACAAGTTAGTTAAAAACAGCGAGACTCTGATATGTAATTCTCAGGATTATGAGAAGGATATAATTCTATTATGTAAAAAATGCAACAAATATAGTTGACAATTAAAGCTGATCTGATGCGCCTTTTCATTATGCGCAGTGGGAATCTCTAAATCAAATTCCCATTTTCCGACGCCTGTTGAATTACCAAAACTCCAAAGTCTAAATAAATAGACAGATTCATCAGATTCGTTAATGCTTTTGTTCGCCGTTGCTTCAAATCCAACAAACCCATACACCGAAGTAGACTCGCTGAACGAGGGAAGAGAGTAGAGTAAGCAGCTCAATAGTGAACAGTAGCTAATCTCTGGATCCAACCAGCTTGCTGTTGAGGTTCATACTCGGGAACCTTGGCGCCAGGTTCAGCCATCATGGACATCTTGAGCCATTCGACGTAGTCCTCGAAGCCAGTTGTGCTGCCAGTGACATTGACCTTCTTGACGCCCCTGACACCCTCAAACATGCGTAGATTGCGATATCCGACGCCGAGGAACATCGACTGAACAACGTCAATGGTGAGCTCGTCAAGTCCGCTGTACGCTTTTGTCACAGCATCAGCGTCGTAGGGGAGATCGACGTCGAGGCGGACTTGGGTGTGGAAGCGGCGGATGCTTGGGATGATGGATGACTCCTTGACGGGGCCGTACCAGTTTCGGAGGCGGGGGAAAGAGGTGAGTAGTGTGGGATGAGAGAGGAATGTATTGCAGCCGTAGAGAAGATCTGTAGCTTCATCGTGAATCTGGCGGTTGGTGCGGAGGAGAGAAGCGTGGACTTTTTGCTCAGGGCATGGTCGGCCACATCGGGTGTAAGGCGCTGTGAGGAGGAGTTGATCGTAGATTTCCAGACGAATCTCAACTGGGAGGTCAAGAAAGCCGGTCTTGTGGGGTTCTTGTTGTTGGATAGTAGTGGCCATAGTGATTGTCGGTATCAAAATATAGTGATGTAAGTGGTGGTTTAAGCTGGTTGAGAGTAGATTGAGTAGAGTCGAAATGACTAGCGGATGTTGACGAGATCTTAAATCAAGCTGGGAGAGCTGCTAGACTGATGAATGACTAGGTAGGCTAGCTGTTGTTGGCTTGAATGATGTTATCCAATGATGGTGTTGATGTTGTAGTGCCGATCTTTGAGGCGTTGAGTCGTATGATATGATAAGATTGATGAGCGTGTAGATATGTTGTTGTTGAGATGATATGAACGGGAGTAGAAGCAAGAAAGGGGGAGATTGAGAGTTAATATATATATTAGACATTACAAGGTGAGTCAAGAGAATTGACCTTGAATTAGACGTGGTCGTGGACATGGCCGATTGACGGACACACCCTCCCAGGTTCTGACCTTGAACTTACGAGACGCCAGGGCCAGGAACTAAAAAGATTACAGGGATCATGGGTCAGACCAAGGATCGGGACGGGATGGTACATGCAGAATGGCTGATGATTGTGAAGGAAACAAGGTCGCTTTCTGAGCCACGCAATTGAAATTCGGGTGACAATTGGTTCCATTCGAAGATAGAATCCTTATCTTAGCTACACACCCTGCAACGAATGGATCATATCACACGGTGACTGACGTTGACCGAAAGATTGAATTATCGCTTTTTCTTGCTGTCTTCAAATGTGTCTTGATCTTAGTGGCATCCATCCATACCTGTCAGCCAGATAAGCTGAGCTGACTCGCGCTGGCTTTAACTCTTGTGAGCTGAATTGACGAAGCGAGCATAAGCAAGTGCCGATCTCTTGAGTAAAGGTTGTGCAGCCAGCCATGGAGACCAAACTATTAGTTAGCTGGTGACGAGTCAAAAGAGATTGATTTGATGGCGGTGACTGTGTACTGTGGTGTTGCATCAACGCATTAAGTTCCAAAATGCCGAATGCCGGCGCCTAGGAAATAATACGGATCTTCGTGTCCAGTACAGCCACAGATATGAGACTGAGACTCATACTGATCAGTACTGATACTGATATTCATGAGCTGAGCATAAGGTGACAAGTACCGTCCCGGTGCCGAGCGATGCCCCGTACGGAACGGCCGTTGAATCCACAGTTTGGCAAGGGTTAAGATCGGGAGCCAGAGAGGCCCTAGCGATCTAGGATCAGGGTCTAGGCTTTGCAATGGTTAATTGGTGTTTCTCTCCTTCAAAAGGTAAGTGTTGATGGTGGAATCGTCAAGATATATACGTCATGATCATGGAGGATGAATGAGTAACATGTCAATCTCATGATGTTGAGCGCAATCTTGATCAGAGAGGGGCGGCCGCAAACGGAGGCTCAACGCCGTCATCAAATCAACCTGCCTCTATTCCCAGCTCTCCTCAACCCCTGCGAACTCCATTGTTTGATGTTTTCCTCTCAGAATAAGTCGACTCAGGTGGGTTTCCAGACCACTGACTCACTAAGGCTCGGAAATAGCACGGCATGCAACATAATGCAGCCACAGTCGACGATGCAGTAGATAATGCAACCTAACCAACCGGCAGTGTAAGAATCAATAAAAAGAAAGTTACCGCGCATTCCATTTGATTCAAGATGCCCACTTCGGCTCCGATCCTACCGACGACAACAACTCTCTCAAGAAAATAACCCGCGAGGGACTCTGTCTCACATAAATCGTGTCCGACCTCTTCCGATTCTCTTCATCACTATCTACGGGGTCCACATTTTGAGCCTCGTCTGGCCCTTGTCTGGCGTGCTTTTTCACTTCTGGCATGATCCCAAAGGCCCATCGACTCCATCCTGCGGCTGCGGCTGCGGCTGCGGCTCTGCAATTCCCACACCGCTCGCTACCGAGACAAGGGTCTAAGGTGAGAAGCATCATGTTAAACACGTTCTAGAAAAGAAAACAAGATCTTCGAGGGGGCGTCTAAGGTGAGAGGTGTATCCACTCGCTTAAGATGTCAGGGCGTCTTCGGGCAATTCCCGTAGATGTGAGCTTCTTTGATGCTATGATTCACGGGTTAATGCCCATGCTTCTAATATTCTTGGAGTATCAGCATCGTCTCTTCTCGGTGTTATTGTTGCATTTGTTTTGGGTGGAATAGAATCTGCTCGGATGTTCTCCGTGTGGTTGATGAGCTGTAACATGAAGCTTTGATCATGGCAAGGTGAAGCATCAGCATCTTGAAGGGTTCTTCGTCACACTGCATTCCTGTTCCCTCCGATTCGGTTCATAGCAACTGATTAGCAATTCGATATTCAAGATTATCTCCATCATGATGAAAGCTTGAGTTGTTAGATTGACCAGCTATTCCTAATTGGCTCACGCAGCCACAGTCGGTACATGCCAGCCACACTTGTGCAGCCACTTTGGGCCTTAAATTGGCAATGGAAGTCACGAAAATACGTACCGAGATGGCGTCAGAGCACATGAGTGTTCGCTTGATGTCTCATCTCAGGACTCACTCATTCACCTCCGCGGTCACACGATTCATCACTGTAGTCCTCAACAGCCTCGACTCTCTTTCATGAGCATCGAATTCCCTCCTTTCTCTCCTTTTCACTTCATCTCAGCCTTGACGCGTAACAACGCCAAGATACGAGATTGTAGATAATAATGGCTGTCGGCTTCCTCACGTTCCTTTCAGGCCTCTTTGGATGGATTTATTTCCTCGCCTGGAGCGCGTCCTTCTATCCTCAGCCCTTGCTTAACTGGCGCCGTCGCTCCACCAGCGGCACAACTATCGATTTCCCCTTTATCAACGTCCTCGGTGAGTGCCCAACCGCGATGTGTCCTTATACCCGTACCCCCAGTGAATGGCATGATATGAGTGTCAGAGTGGACAATATACACCCCCTCTCTTCCCTCACCTTCAGTCAGCCCGGCGGTTTGTCGCCCTGCCGCCCCGGAATCCTGGACCCGATCGCCGCCACATTGGATCCTAGTCCAGTTCGTCTTCACTTCATCCTCAGTACTAACAGTATTCGTATCTATCAGGTTTCGCTGCATACTTTAGCTCGAATGTAGCTTTCTACTACTCACCAGAAATCCGCGCTCAATATGCTGCGAGACACAAAGGCCTCGAGTCTACTGTACAATTCAACGACATCACTTTTGCTCTCCACGCTCTGTTCCTGTCCATCATCACAACCTCACAGTATTTCGCTCCATCGCTGTGGGGGTTCACCCCGAACTCTGGAAACCGACCCAGCCGGTTTATTCTTGGGGTAGCAGCCGGCTGTATTACTGGGGTTCTTTTGACATGCGTCATTGTTGCTTCATCTCCAGGAAACGATGCCGTCTATGACTGGGTTGCCCTCGATATTGTCTACGCCGTGGGCTATGTCAAACTTATTGTCACCTTGATCAAGTACACTCCCCAAATCGTTACCAACTACAACAACCAGAGCACCGACGGTTGGAGCATCTCTCAAATCTTACTGGATCTTACTGGCGGCGTCCTTAGCGTCAGTCAGCAGGCCATCGATAGTTATCAGCAGCGCGACTGGAGCGGTATCACCGGTAACCCGGTCAAGTTTGCTCTTGGCAACATTAGCATGGTTTATGATACCGTCTTCATCATCCAGCACTACGTTCTGTATCATGACTCAGAGAAGCCGCAGTCTAGCGATCGCGAGAATCAGAGATTGTTGGATGAGGAGCGAAGAGCGGAGCGCAGCGAGTGATATCATTGTCTTTGACTAGAACAACAGCGATGAATACTCTACTGGTGCATCTTTGTGGGTGGTGTTTTGGTTTGTGCATTGGAAACTCTCGGCAACACGATCTGCGTTGCATGATAGAATACGGCCCATAAGCAATCCATTTTCTGTATCGTGGGGTCATATGGCCTATCAAATGGCAGATAGATATGATTTTTCAGGGCATACGATATGGTGGCTGCACCTGGACAGCTGGAGAAGACTCAGCTTGAATTTAGCATCAGGCTCAATAATGTCAGCATGGCCACAAGCCAATCGTAGCTTTCATGTCAACCTCCCTCATATTGGCGTGGCCCCTTAATCTGACTCCCCTGGCATTGATCTTGGATATATAAGCTGGTACTACGACATATCTGGGCTGCTGTAGTGGTGTGCAAAGATGTATTCAGGATACTGAGCAACATCACGGCTGAAATGGGAGCTATTGGTTCTGACTGAAGCTGAGCTTATGCTGACCATGCCGCATGACATAGATCCTTGATCATATATATCGACGAATGCGGCTGCACCCATAGTATTCAGTTCAAGTCTTCTTATATTTGCCGGTGATGTCTAGTATTATCTATTGCCCCGTGGGTTTGTATATCCGCTAGTAAGCCGATTCTTGATGGTAGCTGCTCGGCTGGTGGACCAACCTGGCCCATCCACATGCACGATTAAAAAAAGGGAGTTATCAAGCTTAACCTTGAAAATCTGCAAGCTCTCCTACAACAATAGTGATACTTTACTCAGCCGTGCTGACGGTTTTTCTACTCGCAGGGAGAGTGTGAGATCAGCATCTTGATCCGCTTCTGGCAGCCGATGGAGCTATCTCCCCATCTGCAGAATCAAGATAAACAAAAGACACAGACACAGGCCAGAACATTGAAATCATTTCAAGGAAACTCATCTCTGTAAAAATAAAATCTGGCCCATACACCGTCCACATGGTTCATAAATTGGTGGCTCAAGCTATAGAGTGTTTTATATTATATTTAACTCTAGAGGTTTATAAGACTAACCTAGTTATCACAAGGTCCGCATTCTTCCTTCACAGCTACAAAAGTGAGATATAAACCCTTATGTTATACCAATTGCACCATAGAATAAAAATGTTCTAATAGAATAAAACAGTAATGCAAAAAGGATCGACAACGGCAGGATTCGAACCTACGCGTGCGAACACAATGCCTATGATGTCTCGAAGAGATAGCAGGGCATCGCCTTAACCACTCGGCCACGTTGTCCTAGATCATTGGGAAGTTTTGGAATACCATTGATATATATAGGGCAAACTTTTCAGCTATAGAATGTATCTATTCCATGTTTACCTTCGCTGCCTACAGCTTCGTTAGTAGTACACTTTTGTTGTGTATCGGAACGTGAATGTCATTCTCTTGTGACTCTACCATGCTGAGACGACCCGGATAGTCTGTATACTATTAACTTCACTTCGCATAATGATAGCTCGAGCTCAACAGCACTGCAAAGCATCAAATGTCTATCACTGTCTATTTTGTCTCTATTTTACAGATATCGTACAGCCGTCTTGACCAGATTATGAGGTTTATTTCAATACAAAATTGATCGTCTTACCTCCTCTTACAGGAATGGCCCTCTTAGCGGCGCGCAAGTCGTATGGCCCTTCGGAAAACCGCGCAGCACCCTCCTTAGTAGCAAGAATCTCCCTGACCATCCAGTCCCGAAGCTCATCACCTGACAGCTCAGCTGGAGGGGCGGGAATATCGACCACACCGCGCACCTTGCCATTGACCTGTACGGCACAAGGCTGTATTCGCGGGCGAACAAGTTCGGCCAGGGATTTGTCCGGCACAGGGAAGCTGGTGGACGAGAAGATGGAGGATGCGGAGGGGCAAAGAAGGGCCCAGCATTCCTCGGCAAATGCGGGCGTGATGGGCGCCATCATAGAAATTAGAGCACGAGCTGCTTCATGCTTGACAATCGGGCTGGCAGCATCGTTTTCAGCCAAGGTATTAGTCAGGATCATAAGATCCGATACCACAGTGTTGAGGGAGTATACTTCCTCATAAGATGTAGTGATTGATGTGATGGTTCGTTGGAGATGGCGCCAAATGGCTCCTTCAGCATCCCACTGTTTAAGCTCTTCCGTGGACGCAGAACCAAGACCCTTGTGTTTCTCAACAAGATATTCTCGGGCGGTAGTTGTTTGGTCAGCGGTTTCTGCAGCAATGGCTACAATCTGATCGTGGAGTCGCTGAAGCCAGCGGGTGACTCCCGAAATCTTGGCCTCGTCCCAGTTGAGCACGTCACCAACAGGGGCTTGGAATAGCATGTGGGCGCGAGTAGCATCAGCACCGTATTTCGAGATGAACTCTGAGGGGTCGACCCCGTTGTATTTTGACTTTGACATCTTCTCGAAAGAGACATTAGCCGTTTTGCCAGATGATACCACCTTGGGCTGGTTGGGATCAGTCAGGTCAACTTCATCGGGCTTGAGGAAGCGGCCGTTGTCAGGGTTGATGTATGTTCTGCCATGGACCATACCCTGAGTGATGAGGCGCTTGAAAGGCTCCGCAGACTTGTAGGTTTCCTCGTTGTATTGAGGAAGCAGAGGGGTTGACGCCAAAAACTTGAAGATGAAGCGGGAATAAAGAAGATGGAGAATCGCATGCTCGATACCCCCGATATAGGTATCAACGGGAAGTGTTCTGCCCGCTTCAGGAGAAAATAGCTGTTCCTGGTTATGGGGATCAGCAAACCGAGCATAGTACCAGCTTGAGTCAACGAATGTATCCATGGTGTCTGTATCTCGTCGAGCAGGGCTGTTGCACTTGGGACAAGTCGTATTGACAAATTCAGGAGACGACTCCAGTGGACTTCCATTACGCGTCTCTGCCCAGTCCACATCAGGAAGCTTTACAGGAAGCTGTTCGTCTGGCACAGGAACCGGGCCACAGGAGTCGCAGTGAATGATGGGAATAGGAGTGCCCCAGTACCGTTGTCGGCTGATCAACCAGTCTCGGAGACGCCACTTCTCGACAGGCTTTGCAAGATCAGCCTTCTCAAGCAGCTTGACAATTTCTTCGCCAGCAGCCACTGAATTCTTGCCCTTGAAGGAACCACTATGTTCGGTCATAACGCCATGCTCGACAAAAGGCTCGTTCTTCATAGCTGTTGTCGACTCATCCTCTGATGCAGAGAGAACTTGTCGGACTGGCACATCGTAGTGATGTTCCTTCCAGAACGCATTATCCCGCAAATCGTGGCCAGGAACACCCATAACTGCGCCTTCACCATAATCACCCAAGACATATGGCGCAACATAAACAGGCAGCGAGACCTTGGTGGCATCGGGAGTCTCCTCATGATACGCAAGTGGGTTAATAGCCCGCAGGTGAGGTAACAAATAGCCAACCTTGGAATCCGCAGGCAGACCAGGGATGATGTCGATGAAAGCTTGTAGTTCAGGATCCGAAGCGGCGAGCTTAGCTACGATTGGATGACTGGCAGCAAGAGCCACATACTGAACGCCAAAGAGTGTATCAGGTCGAGTGGTGAATACTTCGATCGCTGCATGAATATCGTGGCCCATGGCTAGAACGGGGAATTTGACTGAAGCGCCGGTTGATTTACCCAGCCAATTCTTTTGCTGAGCCAGAACTCTCTCCGGCCAAGCATTTTCCTTTGCAAGTGCCTCAAGCTCCTCGAGAAGGGCTTCACGGAACTCAGAGATGCGGAAAAACCATTGCTTGAGTTTGCGCTTCTCGACCTTGACACCGGACCTCCACGAGTTGCCATTAGCATCAACCTGCTCGTTTGCAAGGACTGTTTTATCCACAGGGTCCCAGTTGACCTCAGCTTCGGCTTGGTAGGCAAGACCTCTTTCGTGCAACATGAGGAATAGCTTCTGTGTGTGTTTGTAGAAGCCGGGATCACAAGTTGACAACTCCTATAAGGTAGATTAGAACGGGAATCATGATCTATATGAGGGAGAACCTACACGATCCCAATCCCAACTCCCATTCATGAGTTCCAACTGCTCCTTCATCTTGGCCATGTTACTTCTTGTCCATTTTTCTGGGGCAACTCCTCGTTCAATTGCAGCGTTCTCAGCTGGTAGACCGAAGGCATCCCATCCCATAGGTAACATGACTTTTTCGCCCCTTAGTGTTCGGAATCGAGCGACGACATCGGCAATGGAGTATACTCGCAAGTGACCCAAATGGAGTGTGCCCGAGGGATATGGAAACATTGGCAGCACATAATGTTTATCTTGGCCATTTGTCCCCTTTTCGGAGACTTTGAAAGTCTCATTAGACTCTCTCCACCTCTGGCGCCATTTTTCGTCTATTGAGGTAAGGTCGATAGCGTAGAATCGTCGTGAGATTGCTCCAAGAGTCGCAGTCTTGGTGTGGGCGATTATCGGATGTCGAATTGAGCTGGAGGAGAGACTAGACAAAGCACGCCGAGCCGTGGCGCAGCTCATGAGCCTTTGGTGCAACAATGGCATTGGTACGTAGGCATGATACGATCCAGAATCGTATCAATTGGGTCGACCTGGGTGTAGATGTTTACACTTGAGATTTGAAGCTCTGTGTTCTGCAAGCGATAGTAAGGTGGTTGAAATTTAAAGCTCGGGCCACGTCGGTACATGGGTCACCACTTACACGATAGCCGTCTCCATGTACCGTTGGGTGCGTCATGGCTGCTAACGTCCAGTGGCCAACCCGAGAACGGTCGCTGAAGGCCGCTAACAATTCAGTGTGCAAAATGATGTACCCCGCTAGTACGTAGTATGGATGCCCCGCCACAAAACTCATCATCCCCTCCACGATCTAGAATAAAGAAAAGGGACCCCGACGTCTTCGACTCGACTTGTCTCGTCTCACTCCGAGTTATCTCCTTGAGTCGAGAGCCCCTCCCCTCTTCAGTCTGAGGACGATAGCTCTTAATCGATAAGAGAGAGCGACAAGCCAGCTTTGAGCTAACTGCCCTTTCCAGTATTGCATCTCTCCTCCTCTTCCAGTCAATCATCGACGATTCGACAGTTCAAGTACCCCCCGACGATATCCGTCCAACTTCGAGTCTACAACTTTCTCAATTCACATATTACGAATAAACGCGAATCATTGAACCATTAAGATAGCTCCCACCGTCCGTCGCAATGGACAAGATCACCGATCGCATCGCTGCTCTGCCAGCTGATGGCACATACTTCTCTCTCGAATTCTTCCCGCCCAAGACCGCCATGGGCTTCTCCAACTTGCGAGACCGTCTTCACCGAATGGAGCGTGCCCTTCGACCGCTCTTTGTGAATGTCACTTGGGGTGCGGGTGGCAGTACATCCCAAAAATCACTTGAATTGGCCGAGTTGTGTCAGAGAGAGGTTGGATTTACAACTTGCCTGCACCTGACATGCACCAATATGAGCAAGAAACTGATCGATGAGGCGCTTTCAGATGCGAAAGCACTGGGAATCAGAAACATTTTGGCCCTGCGAGGTGATCCCCCACGAAGAGAAGAATACCGTGACCCAGAAGATTCTGAGGATGACGGAGGCCAGGACTTCAACTGGGCTGTTGACCTGGTCAGATATATCCGCAAGACACACGCAGACTACTTCTGTATTGGTGTCGCAGCTTACCCCGAGGGACATGCCGAAGAGAGCCATCCTCTCGGGCAAAGCTTGGAGCATGATCTTCCTTACCTTGTGCAAAAGGTGCAGGCTGGTGCCGACTTCATCCAAACCCAGCTTTTCTTCGACATTGAAGCATACGAGCACTTCGAGACCACTCTACGAGAACACCCCAGCGGTGCCTTTAAGGGCATTCCCATTATTCCAGGACTTATGCCCATCCAGAGCTACCAGATGATCAAGCGCACAACCAAGCTAAGCCATGCCAAAATTCCAGACCATCTCCTCGCACGCCTCGACGATGTCAAAGGTGATGATGAACGTGTAAAGATGGTCGGCGTGGATATCGTCAGTGAATTGATAGACAAAATCAAGACCATCAAGTCCAAGACACCGGGTCCAAAAGGCTTCCACTTTTACACGCTCAACCTGGAGAAGGCCGTATCCTTCATCCTGGAGCGGGCGAATCTCATCCCTGACCCTCCAGAGAACGAAGAAGCCATCGCAGTGGACGAACTAGCCATTCCCTCGCTACAGATCAATGGCAGCGCCAACATGCGTTCTAGCAGCCACTCCCGCTCCCGGCAGTCAAGAAGACATTCTTCTGTTGCCTCAGACCCCCACAATCGTGTGATTGTTGGTGATAGGCCAGCGATATATCCTGAATGGGAGGCTACTGGACAGGAGGCCGGCGTGCGTGCCGAAGCAATCAATACCCGTGCAAACACTCTCGCCATTTCGGAGGGCGAAGGCGTTTTGGGCCGTGAGGCGACATGGGATGACTTTCCTAACGGTCGTTTTGGCGACGCCCGATCCCCCGCCTATGGTGAGATTGACGGATACGGCGTAAGCCTCCATATGTCTGTAACACAGGCTGTCAAACTTTGGGGTTACCCCAAGACACGGCAGGATATCAACGACCTGTTTGTCAAGCATATTCGGGGAGAGCTCTCCGCCATCCCCTGGAGTGAGGAGGAGCTTCGGGCTGAGAGTTCAACTATTCAACCTAACCTCCTGCAACTCAATCGCAAGGGCTGGTGGACTGTCGCTTCGCAGCCTGCCGTCAATGGCTTGCGATCCAGCGACGGCACCTTTGGCTGGGGTCCACCCAACGGATTTGTCTTTCAGAAGTCGTTCGTCGAATTCTTCATCCCCGCCAACGAATGGGACACTCTCAAGGCTAAGCTCGCATCGCCGGAGCTGCAAGACTCTGTATGCTTCTACGCCAGCAACGCACGCGGAGATTATCTCTCATCGGACAACAGCGATCACGTGAACGGTTCGACGGAAGCCGGTCCGTCTACGAATGCCGTGACATGGGGTGTGTTTCCCGGAAAGGAGATCATCACGCCTACTATTATTGAGGAGGTTAGTTTCCGAGCTTGGAGCGAGGAGGCGTTTGGAATTTGGGGTGAATGGGCCAAGGTGTACGGCCGGGGTTCTGAGAGTGAGAAACTTTTGAGTGGCATCAAGGATGATTATTGGCTGGTCAACGTGATTCATCATGACTTTGTGGAAAAAGATGCCTTGTGGCAGCTTTTGTTAAGTTGAGCAACATGTCTATCCTAAGAGACGTAGACATGTCAATGAAAAAGCAAGTCAAAATCAAGCAACTCCTGAGCGAGGCCATTCTCATGCGAGCCACGAAATACTACTGAATCCACGACAACATGTCAAGGCAATTCGATACTCAACTTGGAAAAGATCACTCGGATCAGAGCCTCAAGCAAGACAAGACATACTCAATATGATCTTGCCAGATAATTGCTGTCCTGCACCTAATACACTTGTTTTTAGCATATCATAGTATTTATGCTATAATGGTTATGTCACAGCCATAAATTACAGGGCACCACCTTTTAAGACTCACGCTGTTTATTGAAGTGAGCACCATAGCTAGCTAGAACTCATACATGCCCCATACTATTCATGCCCAAATGAACCCTTACTAACTGATCGGCTAAGAAGCCATGAAGTGTGTCGAATGTCTGGTGTCAAAGGAAAGAACTGAATGCTTCTGTGTTGCGGGAAAAAGGGGTATCTGTGCTGGGAAAACAGGGGGCAAGGGCATGAAATATGATCAAAATACCGACAGCAAGGCAGTAAAAGCCGATCGAGCCATATGTCGCTAACAAAAAGAACCGGTTCCGCATTCGTGCTTTTGTGGTATGTTGTATAGTACACTCTGTAGAGCTTTCATCCATATTTTGGTACTGTATCCGATAACCTTTGTCGACGGTATCAGTTCTTGCTCAAGTCAGAGATCGCGATTCGAGATCGAGAGTTTAGATCTCTCCGTCACCCCATTCCATGTAGGACGAGTCATCGGGAGGTGGAGCGCGAAAGGTTCCCGCGACTGAGAAGATGTCGGGATATCCAAGGCCAACTGAGTTGATCATGTCAAGACCAGAATTTCCCACCACGGACGGCTGAGGCTTACGCTCTACGTTGCCAAAGATAGAGGTCGGAGCAACAGTCGCGGAAGGAGGGAGCGTTGCAGCAGGGAGACCGACAGGAGCCGAAGTAGGACCTGGAGTTGGAGTAGGGGCATCCTCGTACGGAGACTCGCTGTCATTGTACTGCGCGGAAGCGTCGGCGATAGTAGCAGCGGCCTTCTGGGCAGCTGTGCGAGAGGGCGTAGGGCCACGAGGAGTACGGCCAGTTGTCTTGACTTTCTTTGAGGGAGTATGATCCATTTCATCAAAGTTAAGCTCATCGCCGTCTTCATCTTCCGAGCCGGAGCGCTTGATGGGATTCAAGGGTGTGTATGAAGTTTTGCGCTTGGATCCCTTGGCCGATCGACTTCCAGGCTGGCGTGACGGAGTAGGTTTGGATGGGGTATTTGGCAGCCCGGACGCTGTGCCAAGGTTGAGGCAGTTGGCGACATCATCACCATTGTTAGCGGCATAACGAAGGGCCTCAGCGTCTTTCTTGATAGTTCGGAACTGGAATTGGATGCCATCTGCGGTAGATTGGCCAAAGTATTTGGCAATATCTATGGAGAACGAGTTAGTGAGAGCTCATAGCAAGAAAGTATCATAGCGTTATCGGAGAAATATGCGATCAAGCGGGGAGTCGTACTGTTCTTGTCAATAGCTCCCTGTGTGGCAGGGAGGAGGTTTTCGTCGGTGGTCAAATCCTTGACATCCAGACCTTGCTCACGAGCCGCATGGATAATGCTGACAGTTGCCCGAACCTTGCGGAATCGATGATTCAAAGCATGGTCTGTCATGTCAGAGCCGTAACAAGCGGCGATTTCTGGGGAAGAGTCAATCCTCCTCCTGCAGACTCAGCGTTATGGGGAAGGGACACAAAGAACAAGGGCTTAAGGCCACAAGAGCCCCTTAGAAACAAGTGCGACGAGATATAAGGAAATCGCCCTCTTACCCTTGTAGTTCCACTTGACGTCGGGATGAGCGGCGACGATAGCCCGAACCATACGAGCCTGAGCCTCGTAGGTCTTGTAGTTGGCTTTGGCATTTGCGGGTGCCATGGCTTCGGCAGAGGGTTTCTAAGGACTGTTAGCCGCCGTGAACAGTGATGCTAAAGAGCCGCGTTGATGATATGGTTGAGAAGTCGTATTGAGGCCGACGTACTTAGAGAATGGGATAGTGCTTGACTGCACCAAGTTGAAACTGACCTTGATCAAGGAATCAACAATAGAATATTGCTAAGAGGGAGAAAGGTGAGCTGCGCGAGTGGCGGTGATATTTTTTAAATAAGAGAAAGTGTTGAAGAGAAGAAGTAAGATTGTTGCAATATGATGATGTGTGGTTGGGATGAGATGAGAGAAGAGAAGGTTATTGAGACTCGAGAGTGCGGTGATGAGATGAAGAAATGAGGAAATAATATTATGACGTGATTGAAAGAAAAGAAAGAGATATTTCACTACCTACCTAGAGTCGAAGGGCAATGAAGATGTGATTGAGATGGGTGAAAACGCTTATGATATAGAGTTGCGATGCGAAGTGTAAATGTGAAGTTGGGGTGAAGATGGAAAAAAGGCGGAAGAAGATATAGTAAGTTTTGACAGTGATTCACAGTCGAATTCGGTAAGTCCTCAAGTTACGAGGAGATGGAAAACTTGGTGCCCACTCAAACGAGTCGCGCAATTGTTTCCAGGCCTGGTGAATAGTGGTTGAGGATAATAGATATCAAACTGCGATTTGTGGTTAGTTGCTGGGCGACCAACTATGCGAGAACCATGGAGAGGCAACCTACCAACCACAACCTCTGACGAACGAAAAAGAAGATAAAGGAGCTTGAAGATAGAGGTATAAGCTCGCTGAATGAGTTGAGTTTTGAGGAACAGGTTCCAGAAAAACAATGCAATTCAGTGGTCGGCTGGTTTGGGCGTTTGTTGACTTGCAAAGGCCTGTCTGTATAAGAACTGTGGCTAAGTCAATCTGTGCCACTGCTACGGCAGTGTCGCACCACAGGAGACTCGACAAGCTAGGATAGTATGCGAATGGCTCAACAATACGGGAATTGAGCGAGTCCGCGGTCGGTAGAATGGAAACAGTGTCAATATCGATCGTCTCTTGAATAAGTTGACGTTGAGTGACAGAAGTAAAGGGGCTGGCAATTGGCACGTTTGTGGGCGCAGTGAGGCTGAGATAGCCTGATACCTGGGATCTTGGCCGATGCATGACCGACATAGAGCAAGACTTCGCAAATATGCAGATCAAAGTAACAACTATGGTATTACATATATTCATATTAATCAATATTCTATTGTATCTCTTAGATGACACTGCTCAAGATGCGCATTTAGCTGCTCGATAGATACTCCAGACATGTATCCCGCTATCACAACATAACGATGGTTGGATGCTACTGTAGCTGAAAGTGGTGGGACTTTGCCTTGTGCCTGTTTCAAAAACAAGCCAGGATCTGCAAGACCCAGCCCAAAACCGAGACCCGGTTATCGCTGGGCTTGCGTAATTTGTGGGGTCCTCTGAGACGAACGGAAATGATCAAGACAAGAAGATATCGTAAGGTTCACTCAAAATGTCTTCTTGTTCTGGTCGCTCGGCTCTTGAACTCGGCTTTTCTGACCCCGTCAGGACTGAACCTCACCTCCTTTTCAAGCTAGCATCGCTTCTCATCCCATCTCTTTCAAAGAACCTCCTCTCTCTATCCTGACGTTCCTGGCGACTTTCCACTCCAGCAGCTTTGAATTCAGATATACGCATCAAGATCCAACATCACTATCATTAGATCGTTTATATAATCATGGGCTTGGACGGCTTATTTGGCCTCTTCGGCGCCAACAAATGGCGCAGGTCGTCGCGTAGGGGTGAGGCTCCGGCTATGACTTCGTGTAGTTGACTTGGGTGCCTCCCACTCAACCATGGGGTGTTCCTTGATTTGCGCTGGCTCCTCGGGGCTGTTGTAAAGCAAGTACTGGAAACCAAGGAAGAAGTCGCACGAAGCCTGGAACATACCCGAAATCTTGAACGACCAAGGAATCTCAGATTTCGATGTGAAGAACCAGAAAAGCTTCATGGTATCACCTCCAATCCAAGCAGCCAGGACCGATAATCTTAGACCTTTAGATGACTTGGACCGCATATTGACCAAGATCTGAGGGATAGGGAGAGTCGCTTCCACGCCGAGTCCAATGCATCCGATGGTGTTCGCATATACGGCGTATAGTCCAGGCATCTGGGAAAGGAGAAGCTCCAAAAATACAAGACCGGCAGCAAAGTACATAATGGCATGCCAGTATCTATAATCAGTTAGACCAAACAAATCAACACATAAATGAAAAAAAGATCCTACCGTCGAGGGGATCGCCATTGCCAGAAGTTATAAGGGCGCTGGAAGCCCATCAAACCATCATCAGCACCGGCAAATGGCAGACCAGCCTCGCCGCCCTTGGTAGGTGGGGGAGGTCGGTAGTCGAGGGCGACTTTGAGGAGAGCTATTTGGACGATAACCATCAGCAGCGACTGAAGGAGTAGACTCGTATCGTATTGCGCTTGGGGCCAGTAGAAGATTCTGTGTTTCGGGAAGCGCGGGTCAGTTATATTTCGTGCTAATCGTGTCGCGACAGAAGAGATCGAACCTCAGGAAAGACGCGACAAGCATGATGAGAGGGATGTCGAGCGAGAAGCCTGCGCTGGTCTTATTCCGGTACATGGAGATAATTTGGTCGGCGTAGGAGAGGATGGGCGACATGACGATGAAGAAAGGGGCCACCCAGGCCGTAAGCTCCATTACCCATCCCACGAGTCCTGGCTCCATTTTGTCGTTGTTTCGAAAGGGAGAGACCGAGTCGAGTCTGATTGTTTGATATATTCTGCGTGATAGAGATTCAACGCGACTTCAGGTCAAGATGGAAAAAACGAGAGAATTGCGATGATGATGACGATGATGACACCTTCATTCGAACGAGAGAAGGCTGGAGATACTCCAAACTAGCCAATCGAGATGTAGTAAGGAGAAGCGAACGACCCAAATGCCGGAAACAACAAGAGGCTGAAGAAAATAAGTCTTGAAGTGAGAAACAAAATTCCAAGTGAGAAGAGGCGTTGAATCGAGTGGGTGCATGGGTAAAGGGGAGATCAAATCGACAAAGACAGTCTAGTCGGTCTTGGGCAATTTTGATAATGGGCGTTCTAGAAGAGGGACTGGCCAATCATGCTGATACTGTGGTGGACATCGGTCATCCCCACTGAAGTTTCAGTGAGCAGAAGCTTAGCTGGAGGCTCTGTCTTGAAGCCAAGCCCCTAATGCTGCCCTGACAGTGGGAAAGATAGGGCGGGCCGCGGCTGTCGGCACTTAGATGATTTATCCAATGGGGAGGCTTGAAGCCATATGGATAGTCCCGACGACCTGGGATTAATCTCCATTCCAGGACATCTGCTTAGTCCGGATTGGCTGGTCGTTTGCAACGCATCGAGACACGCGTTCCCAACCGTAAGTCTTCCTATCTATTAATATCATTTGCTGGTCTCGTCAATCTGTATGAAACAGTGATCGCGGCGCCTCTGCCTTCGAGGACTATCCTACACAAGCAATCGTCAACCTTGTGTTATTCCCGTTGACACCAAGCGGAAATTGCAACGGAGTTCTCGCAGTGACCATCCTCGTAATGCTTTGGTCAGTGCTTTCACTCTTTGCTGTTTGTGGAACAAGACTGCAAGGGGAGATTTCCACCCATGTTCGTTGACTACAGCCATGTGACAAGTTTCCCCTTTGAGGCAGAGACTAATAGTGACTACAAGGAATCGTAATAAACTACTATCACATTGAATGCGGTGTGTTCCTTATGGGGGGAGATCTTATACAAGGCAACAATACATTCAGCATGAAAGCATGATCTCTTTGAAGTGAAGGTTGAGGTCAGTCTCTCTCATGATTGACAGCAGCTTCATATCCATGCAGAGGCTGTGGAATTCTCCAAAGAACTGCGCTTGATCCTGCTAACAGCAAAAGATCAAGCGATCAACAGTGAAGCATTCGAGATTTTGGGTTATGGAACACATACAAAGACATATCAATATTGTGGCCAGGCTTGGATTATCAGCTCTAAAGCTAACTCACGTTCATTTGCATCTCTTTCCCAATACATGTGGATCATTGCTAATTGGTACCAGCGGACAAAAACATCGAAACGAACGCCCCTGACTACCTAGGTAGGTACTGATCCAGAGGAGCGTAGACACAAGTCAATCTCTGGTCAATGAAAATCAAGGACAACCTCAGCAGACACAGTGACTTGGAAAGAAATAAGGAGATTTTACAGTGTATTGACAATCTATCCTCGACATGATAAACCTTAAAAGCTAAACGTTGAGATCTTCGATTGTGCTATAAAGAGGAATACCAATGATGAATTAAATAGGAAGGTTTTTCAACAAAATCGTTTGCAAACTTTATATTTTCTACGTTGATTAGTATAAGACCATTTGGAACTCAAGAGAACCATGGACCATAGAACGCAATTCCCTTGACTTATTCCCAAGAACAGCCTCAGGTGCACCGCCTATTGACATACATATCAATCACAGGCTTTTGTATTGTTCTTCATTGTTGCCTGATTTTTACTATTGTAAATCAAAAGGGCCTATTGATAGCCTATTGTTGAACTGGACGGCAGCGCCCTGCCAGTGTCAGCTCGGCACGCGATTGTTCTCCTCCTCTTCTCTCCATCACTGCCAGCCCCAGGCCGCATAAAAACTCATAACTTTCTCCTCGACTCCTCACCGTTTCATTTACATCCTCGCATTTCTCCTCTGCGAAACCAGATATCTTTAATTCCCTTGCTTCCTCCTCTTTCACTTCCCATCACATCGCATCAAAAAGCCATGGAGTTCACGACTCCTGAGAGACGAGAGCGTCCCTCGCGAGCTGCGGCCCCCAAGAGTTTCAAGGATCCTGAAAGTGATTCTGACGAGCCAATCGTCCCACGCTTCCGCTCCGTGTCTTCCACGGGATCTCGAGTCATTCAGGTCAAAGATGAGACTGCGCACTCTAGCTCTGATCCTGCGATCAAGACTTCTTCTCTAGCCACCATAAACCAGTCCACTGTACTTAAGAAACGATCATCCTCCGACGAAGAAGCCGATTCTCCTAACAAAAAGGTGCGGAAGATTGTTCTTAAGACCAACAAGTCTGCGACCGCCAGCAACAATGCTGCCACTCCTCAGCCAGCCCCGCCAGCTCTCTCGCACATTGAGGATTCTCCCTCGGGCAACCTGTCTAAAATCCAGAGCCTCCATGAAGGTCTGACCTCTCTTCAGGAACGGATTTCAGCTACTCTGCACATGACTAGATTCGCAGTTGAGCTTGACGCGGCCAAGAAGAAAATCACTTCCCTTGAACGCCAACTCCTCGAGGCTAGCTCACCGGACGACAGCACCTCCAAGCTCAAACAATGTGAAAAGAAACTCGCCATGTCCTTGGAAAGAAATGGGAGACTGCTTGACGACAACGTCGAACTCACCAAAAGGTTCAAGGAGACACGGGCTTATGCCGATGAGCTGAGAGTGGAAATGGCTGCCATGCTTGCTGAAAAGGACCCCAACTTTAATGATGCGTTTAAGGTGACCGACGACGAAGTCGAACGTATCTGGGGGGATATCAGATACCAGATCTTTGCCTTCGTCGCTCAGGTTCTCACAGTAAAACCTTACCGAAAGGCGGCCCCTCGGGAAGCAGAACACAGCGTGGTGGAAGCGCTCAAAAAGGAGCAAAAGAAAGACATCCACCTGGCTGATTTCTATTTTGAGCAGTATATCTGGAAGTGCCTCGTCCGTTACATTTTCCAAGGCGAAGCAGCCATCTTCGGTGGCCCTGCAGGCAGAGTTTTCCAGCTGTTCTGCTTGGACATCTCTAGTATGACCTCCCATCCATCTCTCCCTTACTCTATTGTACTAACAAAGCATAGAGATCGATTGCGAGAGCATGCCAGAACTGAGTCGTGTCAAAGCCCACACAGCCAACCTTTTGAACGAGCAGTTTGATCAAGACAACAACAAAGAGGTTGAAGGCATCGTCCAAAAGTTGAAGAATGACCTAGCAATCTTCATGGGCTCTGACGAGGAGGACAAGGCGGAAGAGAAGCTTGGAAACATTGTCAGCAAAGCGGTCAAGTTGAACAACTATTTCCTCAAGTCGAGGGCGTTCTTTGTGACGGACTGGGACATCGACGACGAGAGCCATAACTTTGACGACCTCATTGTTCGCTACAAGAGTGGTAAACAGGGCGGAGAGCCAGTCGTTGGGGTTCAGATCTCGCCCAGACTCAGCAAGATTGGCAATGCCGATGGCGAATTCTTCAAATCGACCAACGCCATGGTGATTTACAAACCCATGGTCACGCTGAACTATGAATAATGGGTGCAGACCTGTATTCGAGAATATCATGTCATTGCCGGGTGGGATGAGGTCGTTGCCAGGCTACTTATGAAGATGTCAGTAAGAAGTTTGGAGCAAGTGTAGGTCTAGGTCAGTGGTCAGGATTCCAGGAGCATGTCCAGCATATGATCTGGAGTGAACTGTATGTATCAATAGTCGATGACAGGGGATCATCACTTGCAGCTGATCAAGATTGTGTCCATGAGCTGTGAGATTCTCGCTCCAGTCGAATGGTGGAGGCAATGCAATCAAGTACTAGAATTAGCTCACGAAGGAATAATTTTGTCAAAACACTTGTATTTTTCTATCAAGATGATCGCTGATGTTACATTGTGGTTGATCTGATAAGAGCTGATCTGAGGTTGAGCTTGTAAAGTGGGCTGTAGCAACATCATGGATGCCTCAGGCCCTCCACGTGCTGGACACCGCTCAATCCAAGGGTCTAGTCCACTCCTCCTTGTCTTGGCAGCATCAACACGATCGATCTTCTATCGAGCAAAAGATCAGGCTCCTCTTCCTTGTATTTCCCTCCCCTAAAGTCCCTTTTATTTATACCTAGATGATTCCGTATTGACAAAGGTACCCAATCAAAAGGTAAACCCCCCTCTTCCATGATGAAACTCCTCAGCTAACCTCAACCTCCAACTACAGCTCTATATCTCATCATGCCTGCTATCGAACAAGATGCGCCCGCGACCATCGCGCCCCAAAAGTCAACTCCGACTTTCGACCCCAAGGATGTGACTGTCATCTTCGTTCTCGGCGGTCCTGGCGCTGGCAAGGGCACTCAGTGCTCCAAGCTTGTCTCGGACCACGGCTTCTGCCACCTCTCAGCTGGTGATCTTTTGCGTGCCGAGCAGGAAAGACCCGGTTCACAATACGGAGATCTCATCAAGGACTACATTCGAAACGGTCTCATTGTTCCCATGGAGGTGACTATTGCTCTCCTCGAGAACGCCATGGCCGCCGACCTTAAGGCAAAGGCTTCGCAAAAGGGGCGCTTCCTCATTGACGGCTTCCCCCGTAAGATGGACCAGGCCGTCAAGTTTGAAGAGACTGTTTGCCCCGCCAAGCTTGTCCTTTTCTTCGACTGCCCGGAGGACGTCATGGAGTCTCGTCTTCTCGAGCGTGGCAAGACCAGCGGCCGTGACGATGACAACGCCGAGAGTATCCGCAAGCGATTCCGTACCTTCATCGAGACCAGCATGCCTGTCGTCAACCGTTTTGAGGAGGTTGGCAAGGTTCTCAAGCTCGATGCTACCCCTCCTCCTGACGAGGTCTATGCCAACACTGAAAAGGCCCTTGCTGAAAGGTTGGGCCCTGACTTTTAGCGATAAAGCGGTATAAATTGGAATTGCATATACTTGGGAGGGGCTGTCCTGGAGTCGGGCTGTATAGAAATAAAATTCACTAATCCATGTTGCTAAGCCTATAAACGATGAAGACTTTACGTCTCGGACGATAATAGAACACTCTTGAATACCTATGTCGGGTCCAGTCGACATGTAGTTTATCTTGAATGCCAGTCACTGGTGTAATCCAAGCGGACACGATAAATACACCTTCAACTTGATGTATTTATTTGGGCTGCCACACGAGAACTACTCTGTTACTATTAACTAATCGCTAAAAGGGTATATCTAACTACATTACCAAAGTCCAAAGCTCGCATTATCATTATAACCATAACCTTGCCATGTCTAACCTGACACTTGACACAATCAGTTGTCATCATACATCTTCATCAAACCAGCCTTGATATTCGTCATCTGACTCCTGTGCATTCGTTCGCGGTTCTCGAGTGCAGTAATACGCTCTTGCATGGTAGCAATGTTGTCATCTTTGGTCTTGAGGCTTGACCGCGCAGAGTCACGGCCTAGAACGATGCCCTTAGTGCGACGTGCTGCAGTTTCCAGAATACTCTGCACAGATGACAAAACGCTTTTGTCAATGTTTTGGCCTCTCAAAAGATTCATGACTTCGTCTGTCACATCGTAGCTCGTCTCCGGAGGGCTACTTGCAGGAGGCTCTTGCGTTCTGCATGGAGTCTTTGAAGGTGTTGTGTTGGCTGACAGAGTAGTAGATGACATGGAGGGGGTATACTCAAAAGATACTTGCTTCTGTCTCTTGGATTCGCTGGTGGGAAACAGTGTGCGCGATACAGAAGGTGTTGGCATCCCCGAGATCGCATCGGTAGAGCGAGTGGTAGTTGGTGTAGTGAAACGGCTCTGGGCGGCCTTCTCGGCGCTCTTGTCCGCAATCGCAGCCATTTGCCGCTCTTCATCCGAGGCAATATCACTGAACTCATCTTCATCTTCCTCGAAGACGTCGCGCCGTCTCTTGGACGGCCCACGACTGGGTGTCTCGACAGCTGCAGTAGGCGGAGAGGGCAGCCTTGAATGGTCGGCAATTTGGGTTCGGTTTCTTACCGATTTGGGCATTGGGGTATCGGCTTCTGAATCCTCGCCGGATTCTGTGCTGCTAGCAGAATCATCGTCGCTCTGACGCCGGCTCGGAGTCACTTGGTACCCATAAGACACAAGTGATTGCTGTGTCATGGGTGGAGGTTCAGATTTGGAGGATTCGCTACCTCTTCGGGAAGCCCTCAACCCGGACTCGCGTACCTTGGCCTCATCCCTCCAGAGGAAGAAATTACAATCGTCACACTTCCAGAAAAGCTTGCCGTTGTTCGGCCCAGACTTCTTAACCTCACGGAGTGTGGCTTTCTGGCGGGGTTCACAGTTACCTTCAGAGATGTCAGAGTTCCGATCAATTATTAGGTGGACAGAGTTGCCACTTACACCACCAGTGTCCATCACTGTAACGGCCCTTGGGCATGCGTTTCTTCTGCGATTGCGGCGTCTGAGGGTCTCTTCGACTCTTCGGCCTTGGTGTTGACACCATGATGAAGGTGTAGTTGGCGTAGTTGGCGTAGCAACTAGAGCTGTAGACAGGGCGAAATGAGACGAGTCGACTACCACAACGATGATTAAACGCTTACATTTCGTTTCCTCTTCAAGAATCATATGATGTCAATGAGAATATGCCGGCGCCAAAGCGGGAGCTACCGTTGAAGTATGTGTAGTCTGTACCTGATGAGCTCATGCGGGGTGCAAATGCAAGCGCTTGACATTTAAGACAAAGCTGAGGTCAATCATATTGTGAGAGGCCGGTTTAGTAGGCGGGCGGCAGCTGAACCAACCACCAACCACCTCGTTTCATAGTAGCCAGGCAAGGATTCTGTTCGTTCTCAGCAATTTAATAAATCTCTATAGTCTTTGTTTAGGCTCATTTCAAATGAGTACAAATCAAAGAGCATAAATGACACTAAGCCTTTTGAATGAACCACAACGGGATATTTGACTGGGTTGGCCCCTTGTTCGAACAGTCGTGACACCGACAGACCAGCCTAGTCACGATTGGTGGATACCATATGGGATCAACTGTTGATTCTCAATGATAAGCTCGTAACAACGGATTGAACATTATAGTCTGCCTTTATCTGCTAATAAGAGTACTAACCTACCTATTCTGTTTCCTCCTGTACCTCATAAGGTTTTAGGAGAAAGGTCACGTGATCATTCATGTCTAATCCTCGCCTGATTTTGCCATACGATCTTATGCCTCAACATGGTCCCACCTGAACTCATCACTACAGACTTCAGTCAATCGATTGCTTTGCCCATCTGACTCTCAACGGAATATACCTAGACAATAATTACACAGCAGTCTGAAGAAGCCAAGTGTTGGTCACATTCAATGGCTTCTCGCATGTCCTTCCAGTCCGGGCGCTTCGTCGCTTCGGCCTCAAGACTTAGTCCTTTCACATCCTCCTCTCTGGCTTCTCGAAGCAGTCGTTTCTATTCTTCACAACCGCCAAAGCCCCGTCGCAATGACGAGGTCAAGTTTTGGCCTTTCGTGGTCGTCATTTTGGTGGGAACAGGAGGCTATGTTGCCCTTGTCAATCGACGTAATGGTAAGCTAGGTTTCTATGCCAATTCTTTACTCTCGAGGGATTGTGAAATGAAAATGCCATTCCTGCCATGAAAGGTTTATGTACTTAAATTTGCGCTGCCTTGTTATGCTGTTCACATATTGACTGTGAAGATATCACTAACTGTTTTATAGGACGGATACACAACCCAGATCCTCACAAAAAGTTCACGTCATCATTCTAATGTCTCCGTTCTGTTGGTTCAAAAAGGTCACGGCAGTCAATAAAACATGTACAATATAATAACAAACCGCCCCTTACACACCTCCTTCACAAGACTCGCTTTGTGTTTAACATGCATTCAATTTTTGTTCTAATTTGAAGAAGAGTGCCATGACACCATCTTCGCCTCAATGCTGGGATGGCAGAAGACCAATATGCTCATGAAACCGGCTACGCCATTCGCATTAGCAACCCTTCGTTCGCTGGATTCTCTCTCTCATATGCCCAACGATGTATTAACACAAAGCAGGTATAACAATGTCCCCCATTCCCAGAAAAAAGCCCCCTCATTTTTCTTCCCCACGACTGCTCTAGTCTCGTTTTTAGTCATGTCCTGGCATATCCTTCTTTATTCTGCCTCGTCTAGTCGTCATCTTCTGTCCTCTCCCGGGGCTCCCTGGGTTCGCGAGGTTCACGGGGCTCTCGAGGTTCGCGAGGCTCCCGGTTTTGGTTCTGTCGGCGTCTACCGCCATCTTGGTTGCCGCTAACGCCGGCGTTGGCGACCTTGCGCTCCAACTCTTGAATCTCGCGCTCCTTCTGAGCCTTGGCGTTGGCCTGCTCCTGGCGCAAAACACCCAGAACGTTCTGCAGGGTTGTCCTCCAGTGGTCAACCCGGTTAGCCAGCTCCTGGTACTGCTTCTGGCCAAAGACGCGGTATGTGACCTTGTGAACAAGGAATTTCTGGCGTTGCTGGGAAAGCTTGCCCTCAACAAGTCCGGCACGGATCACGTCAATAGCCCACATCTCGATCTCGTTCTCGGGAATCTGGAGAGCCTTGGTGATCTTGGAGTACTCGATCTCGCGGCTAGGGGTGGAGGCGGCCAAGCTGGAAAAGGTTAGGAGGCGCATCTTGCGGTGAAGTTTCTCGTGGTCGAGCTTCTCCTTCTCAACCCAACCCTGGTGCTCGTCGTTGAAGTCGTTGTAATCCTCCAGGTCCTGCTCAGCAAAGATATCGAGGAGTTGCGAGTAGACGGGGTGTGAGTCGCTGAGGGCCTGGACGCTTGGAATTCCCCGCAGATCTTGGAACAGGAAGTGGTTATTGGAAGTGAGTGCCTTCTTGACGGCACGAAGAGATAGTCGCTGGGCCTCCTCGGAGGAGATGGCATCGCCGTCGAATGTTCGGAGAGCCTTGACGACGTACTCGTAGGCTTGTCTGTCACATGTTTAGCAGGTTGTTCAGCAGATGAACCATACAGGTGCGATTATCAGTGTCTGCAGATATCCCCAGGAATGGTTCCAGCCTGATTCCGAGTCGCCAACAGAAACAGTCGCGCACACCGCACAAATAGGGAACAACTTACTGCTCCTCGCCAGCCTCAATGGCAACCTCAGCGACCTCCTCATAAATCTTTCGCTGGAAATCGGCATCGGTGCCCCAGGTAGCAAGCCACTCGGGCAGCTTATCGAGATATGTGCGCAGACTCTCAAACATGCCGTGAGCTCTCAGGAACTTAAGAATCTCCATAAAGACGCGGGCGCGGACGGGGTCGGCGGGGTCGAGCAGGTTAAAGACAGTGGTCAAGGCGTTGAGTGACAGGCCGGCGCCGTGGACGGGAGAGTTGAGGAGAGGCTTGGCAAAAGTGGTGCAGAGAGTGGGCAAGAACTTCTTGGGGTCGGAGGACATCAGGACGAGATGGGTCATAAGGTTGGAAGCGGCGGTATACTCCTTCTCGGGGACAGTGTTAAGGGCTCCAGAGGCCGAGACCAGTTTGGAGATGACCTCCTCTTGAGAAGGAGGCTTCTCCTGGCTCAGAAGTTGCTTGGCGTCCTCAGCCTTAAGGTAGTCGGCCATCTCGGCAGCGAGGTCCTCGAAGGATCCATCGACAAAGACCAGAGTGGGCTGGCCGGCAGTCTTGGTTTCGGCCATGTTTGCTGCCTTTGACTCCCTCGCGGGAATGGTAGTTCGATATAGAGATTTCGGTCGCGGTGATCGTCGAGTAACTCGTTCCGGCTTGGGCGGTGCGGACGAGGATAAGGCAACAGGGAAAGAAGCGAACTCCGGGGACGCGCGGGGGGACGATCTCGAGGCGTTTGTAAGGTCGACAAGCGGATAAATGTGAAGTTTCTCGTCCCAGACGAATAGCCCTCTCTGGTGGGGCCTTCAGAACCCCGCCAGATAGGTTTTCTCCAACCTGGTGTATGTGTGGGCGCTAAGCGATAAGTCACGTGGAGATAACAAAGAGCTTCGTGTAAGTTGAATATGGTTGAATGGTGCATCTGTCTCAGCTCTCGACAGCTTTGTCTTGAATAAGCCTCCTTGGCTATCGTCAATTCAAACTATTGAAAGGTTTCTATACTCTTCTAAATCTATTTTTAGTTGTCACATATTCGGCATGATGATGTATTGTCATCTGAACCTCTAAATGTGTTTCTAGTTTGTTGCTTTCCATGAGGAATATGAAAGGAATGAGAGAGAAAATTGAAAATAGTTTGTACCAGGAAAAGTCTCTCCCTTCTCAGGCCTTGATTATCCTGCCACAGTAGATACCTTTGATCAGTCTCGGGCTTTTGCTGCGAGAGCAGGAAAGTCGTGCTATCATGTCTCCCGGTTGGCCATGTATTAAGTCGGGTGTGTAACACTTCACAATATACAAGTGCTGCTCGAAACTCTTTCAGCAGGCAATGGAAAACAATCAAGACTTTTCGTACGCTTTCAAGTTACTATTGGCTGATGAGCAGCCCTTCTCAACAGATCCATCCCCTTTCCTCCCTGATTCAATATGTATGCAAGCGAAGAAACAAACCAGAAACAACTTATCCAATAGAAGACACCGGTGATCCCATGTACCGTCTCTATAGAAGATACTCCTTCCAACAACCAATATCGAAAATCAACTCAATGAGAGTAACACCAGAACAAAGCCAAATACTCCCTGATCCCGCATACTCAACTCGAACATTCCAAACCCACTGATTTATCGCTTGGCCTTGTTCGCTTTGATCTTCTCGCCATTATCACCTATTGGGTAAATGCTCGAATCATCGTCCGCGAATAATTCTTGGTCGCCCTTACCTCCCATCTCAATAAATTCGTCTGGTGCCCGTTGAGCGGCGGGGTCAGACTCCTTTGCAATATTGGTAACGCGACCTTTGTTCTTTGAGAACACCTTCACGGGGTTCTTGTCCTTGCCAACTTCAAGTTGAGCAGTGACCTGCACAGTGTTGAGAGAGGCCAGCAAAGTTCGTTCACGAGCAGGGGCTCTTCGGTTGACCTCGAGGCCTGCAATGCCTCCGACGAGACCACCAGTGCTGTCATTTACACCAGGGCTACTCTGTGTGAGCCACGGGTGTTGCAGGCACTGGTCAATCGTGAATCTCTTCTCGGGATCAACAATCAACATAGAGTCGATGAGGTCAACTGTGCAATGTTAGCAACTGTATAATGGCCTCGGTATTCTATTCACTTACGGGCTGGGTCTCCTACGGAGTCCCAATAAGGGGAAGGGTAGTCGAAACGACCACTCTTGATCTGCTGGGAGAGTGTGAAGGGGAAGTCGCGCGAGTAGAGCTCATCGGAGAAAGGTGGGAAACCACACAAGCAAATGTAAAGCACAACTCCCAAAGACCAGACATCGACGGCCTTTGTGTACTTGCGCTGCTTGGAGTCTGCGAGTATCTCGGGCGCAACATAGCTGGGCGTTCCACATAGTGTAGTTGTGAAAGATTCTTCTCCAATAATTTTGGCCAGGCCAAAGTCAGCAAGCTTTACATGCAGATTCTTATCAACCAGCAGGATATTCTCAGGCTTGATATCTCGGTGCACAATGTTACGTTCATGCTGAACAGACACGGTTAGCCCTGGAGCGTCCTTATAGAACATAGAGGGGGAAAGTCATGACTTACCAAGTACTTGATACCCTGGAAGAGCTGCACAAACAACTTCCTTGACTCATCTTCGCTGAGCTTCTGCTTCATCACGATATAGTTGAAAAGTTCTCCCTCTGGTGCCAACTCGAGCACCAAATACACGCGATCACGCTCGTTGAAAGTGTCCTTTAGGCAAAGAACGTTTGGGTGACTAACCCCCATCAATACACCGATTTCCTGCTGCAAGCCCTCCGTCTTTGAGCGATCCTCCACGCCAGGGTGCTTTGTGAAAATCTTGACTGCGAAGCGCTGGCCAGTGGCCTTCTCGACGCATAGATAAACCTCGGCAAAATGACCCTTTCCAAGCTTCTCTAAAAGAGTGTACTGTTGCAGAAAAGCGCTTGTCTGTCGACTCTGGGGGTAGCGGAAGACAAAACGCGCCTTGCCGTGGACAGCAATCTCATCTTGCTCCTCAAGTTCGCGGCGCTGATTTCGGCCCACGATGGCTTCGTTGACGTACGTCCCGTTGCTCGACAGATCCTCAACAATTGCGACAGTATCGTTACCTTTGTTTTCGGTGAAAATAAGGCAATGCCGGTTCGACACAATACCGTCGTTGACAACAATGTCTGTTGGTAAGTTAGTTAGTGTCATCAACTGACGCCAGATCATTCTAAAACTAACCACACTCGGGGTGGCGTCCAATTAGATAACCACCAGAAGAGACGCCCTTTTCCTTCTTCTTCTCAAAGGCCTCTTCGTCTTTCATCGCAGCGGACTTGCCGTTCTCGTTGGTATGATGTTTATTATCCTGCTTGGCGGAATCGGCCACTGTGTCTGGTAGGGGGCATGCGCTTCGTTTCTTCAGGACGATCGGCTTGTCGCCATACTTCGGATCAAGCGGAACGAGGTATCCCCAGACACCTTCGCGAATTTCGTCTTCGATGTCGTCGGAGATGGCAGGGTGGCGATCAACGAACTGACTGAGCGGTTGAGTGTCTTGAGGTGGTGACGATAGCGCTTGGCCTTGAGAGTATGTGTCTTCAGTCTTCTTGGGGGTTATCTCGTGTTGCTTCTGTCCCGGGGGGGTCGCGGTAGGCTCCTTGTTGAGCTCGTTGGAGTCATCGGTAAGATGTGTGAGAGGTGATGGCAGATGTTGCTTGTTGACAATTGGGGTCTTGTCTGGATCAGCCTCGAGGCGCTCAGCTCGTCGAGGTTTCTTGGTCTCAGTCTCATCATCTGGCAACGAGCCCTGCGAAGCCAAGCAAGTTAGTAATGGTAGGCGATCGATGGCGCGACACGGGATGGAACGACAGGCGCAAAAAGAGTTCCGAAAACGCCAACATTTTGCCCACCAACAAAATAGAACGTGAATCTTTTTCAGAAAGGCCAAAGAGAAGGGAATGGACTAACGCGCGGGCGCTTCAATTGGCTCTTCTCGGGTTGCGGAGCCATGGCGATAGCCAAGAAGGGTGAGTATTTGTACGTGAAGCCAAGGAGGAACCGGGTGAAATGGTTCACGATGAGGTGGTACAAGCCGTCGACCAAGAATAAAGGATGCTAGCCAGTGGGGGGCTATGGATGAACAACGATGCCTTGAATGAAGGGTAAGGATAAGCAAAAGATTATGGACAGGAGGAAGTTGGAAGCGAACAAGGGCGTGAATTGAGCCTGGACCAAGAAAAGGTTATGGTGGTACTCTCTTGACGGGGAGATGGTGGAGGGAGCCTAGAGCTAAGGTAAGCTAAGGTACCTGAGTGCGACAACTGCCTAGAAGTGGTACATTAGCACCTCTTGATTCGATCCGATCCAAGCCACTTCTAGCAGCCCCCGAGTACCCGAGATGCAAGATGCGATAAGTCGAGTCCAGTTCAGTTGAGTCACAGTCGAGTCGAGTCTCAAGAGGGTTTCAAGCAGAGCTGGGCTTCAAATATATGCCAGTAAGTTGTAGGTTGTTTTATCTGGTCGGAGTAGTTCAAACATGAAGTGCTCACTTGGTCCACGCAGGCGAGAGAGTCACGCTTATGGCCATATTCGCCTCGTGAAATTGTCCATGACAGCATCGGTCGCCTTGTCTCTCACCTGTAAATGGGTGGGTCCCAAACGCCAAAAATCCACTGAAGAATGGATCTCGGCTTGACGTTCCAGTGGAGCAAAGCCTCCTCTAGGTCTCTACTAACTCAGTAAAACTACCGCTAGAACTCCTGCAATATGCCTTGCAGGTGGGTCTGAAGCCTTCATCCGATTCCTCCAAGCCGTCAGTGGAGATGACATAAACGGGTTCGAGGTATGCACATATACCAAGATCGAGATATCAGCCCATGCTTAACCTTCAGATGATCCAATACTGTATCTTCCTCAAGTCAATAAACTATGCACGCACATTTACGCCCATCCACCCACCATTAACCCCATGGTCCAGTCTTATTACTTCACATCGTCATCCGCCGGTTTCAAGTCACGTTGTCTGTCAGGATGAGACATTTGCCTGCCCACACGACGCCTGTTCCTAGCCTCGTCCGTCACGAGCGTCATAAGGAGCCACCATGTTCTAGCCTGCTCGACAATGGCTTTTAAATAGTACTGCTCTCGATAGATAATTCTGCAAGTTAAGATAATAGACGTAGCAACAGAGGGGGCTTAGGGGCCGTCCAGTCGGGTCTCTACTGCAGACTTGCATGTACAAGCCACGGGCATTTTCAGCAGCAAATCTTGGCTTCAACTCGACATTACCATTATTCAATATCATCAAGCCTATCTCTTTCCACAAAGTAAGCAAAGCTAAGGTAAGCAACAGCAACAACAACGACAACCTGTCAATACCCAATGCCCTAGCATGCCCGCAGTGGTGCTCTACACGTTCAATGTGCCACTCTCTCCTTTCTACCGTCAGTCCAAAATAGTATATACTTGTCTTTCTCCTCTCTCGTATTCTTTCCTAAGTGCCCCAGTCTCCAGAATGGCTTTCCCATTCGTATGGCATGGACAAAGCCATTAGCAAACGTAAACGCCAGTAAACTCCTTTGTGCTGCCCTTGTCTTCTGTCAAAATACCCACCATCCTTCATTACCAAATACAGTTTGTCGTCCGTTAAATTAGCCCATTGCAGGGGCGAAATCGTTTCCCGATCAGTTTGTGTGTCCGAGGGAGATTGTTCAAGTAGCAACAGGAACTTAAGCCTGCCAGTGGTTCCTACTGTCCCGGTTCCTATCTCTCAGGGATGGGAGATCTGGCCAACCTGCCCCCTGTGCTGACTCGCTTCTGTAGCCTGGCTTCTTTCTCTCGCTGAAGCCTCTCGGCTGGGCTCATGTTACTAGGTAATGAGGGCACTGCATCCATCGACCCTTCGATGACCGTACGGCCACGCTTCTGCTCAACGTAGATTTGGGCGAAGCGGCCCAGGGGAAACGCTGGCATAGTTGCAGGAATCTCGGCTCCATTCTGAACCAATAGCTCGGCCACAGGGAACGGCACAGCTTTTGCTTCCGCATCGGTTACCGTGTGTGGAGTTCCCGGTGAGGGAGCTGCTGGATCTGCAGCGGCCAGGGCGAGCCATACAGCATGTGTGCCCCTCATTTTGTCAACTGTGTTGGGATTTGCCTTTAGCGCCAACGCATAGAGTACTTGCTGTATCTCATTCTTCTTAATGGCTGCCAAGAGTGTCTCGTCTGCTGTCCCGTATCGTGACAGCGTGGGCGAAATGGGTTCGACGAACAAACGATCTACATACTTTGATGTGATGAACCGGAGTCGCTGTTCTCGGCTTGCCTGTGCCGTTGGCTTCAGCGACTGGTCAAGCTTCGCCTCCCAAATCATGTTCGATACCCGATTCCCGATTAGCAGTAGAAGCTCGACAATATCAATGGTGAAGGACTTGATGTCCAGCGTCAAAGACCGCACCTTGCTAATATGGGTTCCGAGTGATCGGTGAATGCCACTACACTCGATGCAAAGAATAATGCCCAGATTGATCGATACCCACTCAACCTTGGATCCTGAACCGCAATCGGCGCACCACAAGTTGCCTTGATCGTTGTCTCGGACCATCTGGAGCACCCTGTCAGGGTTCTCGTCATACCCAGAGCTGGAGGTTCTGACTGCGCTTGGTCGCGCACCAACGGTTATCCTTCGGCTCGGTATTCCAGTATTGGCGGTGCTATGATAATTTCCGTGGCTCAGCGATTGTGTCTTTCCTGTGAGCACAGAGCCAATATCTCTTCTTAGGGAAGAATCGCCATTTGATGAAGTTGGCTTCCCTTGATAGCTGCGTCCTTCCATGGCGCTCTGTAAAGCATTGTTTATAGCTGTGATCCAACTATTCATGTCCTCTTCAGAGGTCGCCTGGTACACTCGTTTGAAACTAGGGGTAATGACTTCGAAGCAGAATCGCCGCTCCGCATTACGGGCTTCTCGAACAGATGCCATACGAAGATCGATAGGGTCAATGTGGAGATCAAGTTTCTGCTTCCAGTTACTGTACTCTGACAGCTTTCCCTGGTCCAGAACGATCCAGAATCTATAAATTATGTTAGAAAAGGCTTGTCATACCCCAGATCAGGAGACTTACTTGTGCCAGCCCTGTTTGTTCAAATTACGAGGGTCAACATGTCCTCCCGGTCTATTGAGAGCCCACAGAAGGCCTTCCTTCCGGTGAGTGACGGCGGATGGCATGTTATCTCGCTCCTCAAGATCCCGAATACCCTTGAACTTGGAAGCAGCTGCAGGACTTCCAACACCTGTCTGACCAAGACTACCTGGAGATCTGGATAACTCCACACCTGATGGAACATTCACTGATCCGGCATTGAGCTGAGACCCGGTGCTGTCAGCACGGCCCAAATCTGAATCCGAGGTATTGCCTGTATTGCCGTTGGTGGCGGAGCCGATGGGCGTATTGCTTGCAGTGCTATTTTGTTCGGGTTCCTTGTACGGTGTGTTGCTCTTTTCAAGAAGGCGTCTCTTTTCCTCACGCTCTCTTCGCTGATACTGATATTCCTTGTCGGCCTCTTGAACTTCGTTGGACAAAGCTTCCAATTGGGGTAGAAGAACCTCAATCTTCTTCGCAGTAGCCATAAAACCTCGTGTCTGAGCATCAGCGAACCTTGTCAGGTGAGACAGAACCTCCTGTTCCTTGCGGCCGCCGTGGAGGTCCTGCATGAAACTAGAGTAGTCAAATCGTTTAAGCTCAAAGTTTCGTCGCTTGTTTTGGTATTTGGAATCGGCTTCCGCAAGCTTCTTCGCCTTGACCGAATCCTGACGCTGTCCCAAATAACGTGATACGTATGCATAATAATCCTTGCTTTCCTCCTCGAAGTCTCGCTTCTTCGACTCGGCTTGTTTGATGTCCACTTGGTATAATTTGGTTACGGGTTCAATAATGATCTTCTGTAGGTTATAAGTGTTTTGTCGCTCATACGATAAGATTTCCCTGGCAATTTTATCAAAGTAATGTGTCAAAGCAGGTTGAACGGCGTTGGCATTGGTTGCTGCAGCTTCTCGCAAAGCATCCACGAACGCGGTGAAAGCATCGTTGGCTTCAATCTGGCAAGAATGCGCATGTTCTGCTTTCTTCAGAACCTTCTTCATCTGTGTCCTCATGTTGCCTGTCTTTTGCTCAAGGGCTTTGAGGGTAGCCCGAAAGACGGGACCGTCATCGCTGACCATGGATTCCTCGTTCGGCTTGGGACAAGCTACGTCAACTTTGACAGTCTCTTTGGCCTGTGGGAAGCCTGGTGTAAGGGGCATTTCAGCCGTAGGAATAAGAGGCGAAACAGGCTCATCTATGATATCAGGAGCGGTGATACGAGAGTCGACTGATTGGGACGAGGCAACGCGAATCTTAGGCGGAGATGCCAGGAGGAAAGGGGGCGATGGTGAATTTGGATGGCTCAAAGACGCGGGTGTGCCTGAAAAAGCATGAGCAGATGAGGGATAAAGAGCATCTCGAGGGTTAGTACCTGCAACGAAGTAGGAGAAACTAGCTAGCGTGTGCAGTCGGTGAGCTCGAGGGTCATACTCGACAAACTGGTGGTGGTTAGCACGCTTGCATAACGGGAAAGGAGTGGCACAGTACGCTGCACGAGTTCCTCCAGCCGCCACCCTTATCCTCAGTAGGCTTCGGGGGCTTCCATTTCCATGTCCATTCGAACGATACCGACGGGCTTCCTCCTGTAGTATAATCGCCGACCAATGCTACGTTGGCATTTCTATGTAGATTTGGGTCGGCATGAAACTCTCGGGTCACCAAGTTCTCGACTTCTTTCAGATTCGAGGCGTAGACGTAGGTAAGGCCCGATATACTGGTATCAATTGGAGCGGATGCTGGTTCAGAGGAAGTGGCTGGTTGCGCAAGCTGCGCCTGGCGCATAACGAATGTGAAGGAAAATATGAGCTCGTCATCGTTGCTGAGCTTGACTAAGAAGTTCGGTGGTGCTGTTGGATTTGAAATATCAGGATCCTGTGGTTAGGTCAGTCACCGACGCCGAAAAGAAAGGTCGCAAACCGTCGCAACATACCTGGACGAACTCTACAGGAGATGTGTCGCCGAGAGGTCTCTGGGCAGAAACTCTAGTAGCAGGAAAGGCATTGGGAACGATGTTTACAGAAGTGCGCTTCCGTGGGTTTGTGACGACTAAAGAGGATATGCTCACTGCAAAACAGAGTCGGTCAGTTAGAGTAACAAGCCACAACCTCGGCGCAGGCCTCCAGCAAGATCCAAGGGCAAGGCGGGGAAAGGGTAGGACAACGTACATCTATTCTGGTCTCTCAAGTAGAGAGCAGGCCCCTCCTCGGGCTTGCTGCTGACGATGCCCATCGTCAAGTAGGTCTGAAGGGCAGCGATGGTCAAGATACGAGGAACGATTACAGTTTCGGCTGGGACCAGTAACTGGAGCTGTCGGGATCTTTAAAGACGGACTGGAGCGACGAACGAACGAACGCACACTGGGGGGGGCGCACAACGACAGGCGACACTGTGACACCGTGACAGCGAGCTGCTGCAGCCAACAAGAATAGCGCCGGTACGAAAAGTGGTAGCGCGGGGCTCAGGGCGGGACAGGGGAGGCCGTCATCTGGCGCTGAGCCAACCGGAGTGGCCCACTCGCACCTCGATTAGGTGTAGAGCCAGTATCAGACTCGTGTGGCTATTTGCGACCGCTCGTCAATCGGCCGCCAGGAGTCAAGGTCAGATAACTAACATAGTTAATAAGTAGGTAGGTAGGGAAGTATATAACCACTATTGACTGTCGAGTATCCCGTATATAATGAATGCGCCAACGTCGAAGGCGGCGTACGAATGTGGTGAAGCTGTGGGCGCGGGTCAAGTTAGGCAGTTGTGAACTCGACTATCATCAAGAAGCAAGAAGATAAAAAGAGCTGTTGCCTGTCGTAGTCGTAATGCTATCAACGACAGAGTGGACATAAACGACAATGTTGAACGTTGTTGAATATTCGCGATCAAGGAACCAAAGATGAATGGCCATCTCTGGAAGGGTAGGAACGAGGAAAAGCGGCACGTTAGAGACTTATCTCAAGTAAAAAAAAGCCCAGCGAGGTACATAGGGGTTGCCAGCAGGTTCGAAGCGGCTAGAGCAGCAAAATTGAAGTCAATAGGTGTCTAGGTAGGTAGGTAGGTATCCAAGGATTATTAGGAAAGGGGATTTTCAGTTCTTCTTTTCTCGTCGGCTAGGATCTCGAGCTGAGGAGTCTCCTCACCTAATCAAGACACCTTGCCTACCCTACATAATATACGGATACATATCCTACCTATAATAATGTCTTGTGAAGTAATTTGCGGCTTGTTGATGATAGATACCGTGCATTCATTAGCTCTGCGGTCTCAATGTTAATGCATGCAAGGCACAAAGTAAAGACTGATTCAACCGTAATGCTGCTACATACTGGCCACCTACCTGCCAGGTTGTCGCATTTACTGTGTACCAGGTAGCATTTCCTGATTCACTGTATTGTTCCACTTAGGTACTAGATTTTGTCTTTGTGGATGATACGATCACATAATGCAGGATATCAGGCATTCGGTGACTAGATACATAACTCTTGCTTTAGCTTGCCGGACTTTTTTGCTATCTCTATGAGCTAAGTAGTACCCAACCTATGGAGTCTATAACTCGAACCAAGACCAAGCATCAAGTGCCAGGCAAGGTACCCGCAGACCCTCCAAAACCGGGGGATGCAGTTACATGCGTCAATTTGAAACACAACGGCGCTGTTGGTGGGCGCTTGGGCTCAGGCTGAATTCAAAAGCGTGATAGGTGCATTTTGCCGTTGTTGAACGATACTGGACGATCATTGATACTTTGATGTTTCTTCAGTTAACATGGCTGTATCTAACCATCTGCTCATGAGAAGTTCTCCCTGCACAAGCAAGTCATCGTCTCTTAAGACTTACCATATCTCAGACCTACCTTACCATACAGTACAGTACTCATCCACTCTAAGAACTTTGTCTGACCCTGGCTCATTTTCGGATACTCTAGACAAGGAACTCTTGCTGCTGATCCCTTCAGGCATCTCCTGCCAGGGTCCTTGACCTTAGGTGGCTCTTCTACAGCGGGGTTTGGGTCCTAAACCATCGAACCCCTACATACAGTAGGTCGATGGCCAATTGCCTGGTGCATGCTCGTCATCCTTCATGAGTCAGGTGGTGATAACCAACAGCCGCACATCGAGAGATAGCGATACTGACTGATCTAGTGCTTCTTTCACATGACAAGTGTGCAGATAGGTCCTGTCCATAATAAGGGCACGGATAGCACAACTCGGACACACTATGAACGAGGTGCAAAACGCAACACAAGATTACGATCTCCGCAACCTCGTGAGCCACCTCAACCAAAATGGGATATATTCAAGACACGAGAATCTTACATATGATCGCACCCCAAAGCTTCCAAGTACTTAGTTGATGCCTGCTATGTGGGTACCGAGCCGTCGGTTCATGTTGTTAGACAGTGGCTCAGCTCTTCGTCAACGCTCTGCAGACATGTATGATAACTGCGTATGATATGAGACTCAAGTTATGCTAATACCTGGGGTAGACAGATAGCAGTCAGAGTCGAGGATGGTCAATTCGAAGAATTGATGAACCACGACAACAGTTAGGTAGTAAATGTCCAGGACACACTACTCAGTGTGAGTAAACCAAACATCGACTAACTTGGGTACAATCAAGTGCCCAAAATCCGATAACGCCCCATGTTTTCTCTTTACTTTCGTACAAGAATTACCTACTAGGTAGGTACTATATCTAGAATAAGATATCTATAAAAGTATTAAATTATTGAAGAGCCCATATAAGATGCTAGATCGACTCTGTCTATTATCTATTATAACAACTTTTTTTTATATAATGTTAGTTGTGTAGGTAAAGTGCTATTATTCTGAAACAAATCATGATCAATGCTGAGATACAGGTGTGAATTGTGAAGATGCCAAGCAAAAGAAATAAAGATGGGAATATGAAAGGAAGACTTATGATTATCTAAAGGCATTCAGGTAGTGATTGCATCCAATTCCTGGGCGACCACTTGTGGGCGTGGAGAATTTCGTGTGCAGACATGTATCCCGCCTTCGTGCTCAGGTTATTGTAAGAAAATACACAAAGAAATCCATGAACTGCAGAATGCCATGATGGAATTGAATTCCAGGCGATTATACATAAGCGCCCAAACACGCCGTTGTTTCCATTGGATAGGATCAAACTAGCGCTCCTCAGGGTCCTATGGCGATGCCATTAGCGGATTAGCGGTTCAAGGACCTGTCCCGGCCAGGTTCCTCAGCCCATGGGCTGAATGGATGACGTCTCGCCCCATTCCTTGGGCTGGACCTTGTAGTTTTGGGTCCCATTTTAGGCTTTGTGTCAACAGTGAGCGACCGTAGATTAGAGGGGACGGGAGGCTAATGCCATTGGATTGGATGATGCAGGCTCTCCAATGCTTCCTTTATGCTACAATCAAGGGCCATCACCCTCTCTCAGCTAATCAAATACCTACCACAAACAAAAGGTTGTGTGATCTGTCGTTACTGTGTTCCCGTCTTGTTTCATCCTTGTCTCTTTGACCTCTTGAAGCACTGCGACCGGGGCGGCTCTGACCTCCAGCTCCATCCTTGACCATCACTTCACCGTCAATCTCTCATCCATCAACTGCCTTAGGCTGGAGCAGATATTGAGTGCCTTACTTACAGTCGAAACAAAGCAAAACAAACCACTCTGCTCCACAACTGCAAGGAACAGGATACGAATTTTGACATTCCATTAAAACTCACCGCATATCTATCTATTGCTCTTTTGCTATCCAGATTTGATAGCCCAGACAGATATCTAGGACCCCTCGCTCCTTTTCTCCCTTGTCGCGCACGTTCGCCCAAACCTCCAACTCACCATCAGCATCCACCTTTGCTGACCACATCTCACGTTTTGACCGATACCCAGTGTCATGAGCTGGGGCGCGTAGAAAAAGACCATTTTTTAGGTATCATCTCGCGTCCCGAGCAATCTCCATCCTCACTTTGTAGGCCCTTGTACTCGTCATTGCCATACCGCTGTCACTGTCGCCTCCCCTCGATCGTCCACAATGTCGTCAGAGTCCCGACGCTCCTACAATACAGGCCGTCGCATGGGCAGCAGCAGAGATCTTGGCCGGGCCCGCGCAGCCTCCAGAGCCCAAGCAATTGTCGTCGAACATGATGAAGCCCGCAGCTTCGCTCTCCGATCCGCTTATCTGCACTACCTCCTTCAGCCCAAGGCCAAGCGAAAGCAATATGTTCCAGCTCCAAAGCAACCCGTCCGAACTCACACCAGCGTTGGCGCACTCGTCCAAGAATTCACCTCCGGTTCTTCTTCAAGCTTCAAGCTGCCTCACAACTTTACAAGCGCTCTACTCGAACGTTGCGGCGGCGTGCTGAGGGGCAGCGAACGCCTCCCAGGTTATAATGATGCTGCTGTCAAGCGAAGCTTTGCAGAAGCTTACACTACCTTCTCTGAAAGGAACTTCCGCAAAACCATTGACAAGGAGAGGAAGCTTGAGCCGCTCATACTCATGTTTTACACGTCTACCACCAAGGCAGCTCAGAAAGGTGCCGCTCCTGATGACGATTCTTGGAAGCTTATTCCTGACCGACATCTTGCTCTCTTTGTTCGCCTGATTGCCACTATTCTTCGGGACCAGGGCCACGATCGCGATAAGACTGAACTCATGTCCAAGCTGAGTGTTCTCGAGAAGAAGCTCCTTACAAATGATCAAAACTTGGTTGGCGGTGGATCTGACGGCGCTGGCACGACTATTGAGGTCGTCGTACCTTTGAGTTATGATGTCAAGGACATGCCCTTGGTTCAGCAGGTAGTCAGGATCTTTGGACTGAGTCTCTCGGAAGCACAAGCCGAGATCAATGAGAACAAAGGAGTGTGGACAGAAGAGGCTGCACTGAAGGATCTCAAGTCGTATCAGCACAGGCTAAATTCAGACATGCCTGGTGCTCTGAGGAGTGATGACTTTGATCTTGATGAGGCCTTTCAGGAGTGGAAGAAAGCCGAGTCACCCCATCTATCCCAGATGATGCTTGATATTTTGACTGCCAAACCAGAGCTTGCCAAGACATCGAGCAGCAACATCGACAAAGGCTTCTCCAGCAGGCCTCAATCTACATACAGCGATCCGGCGTTTGATGCTTCAATGGGTTTTGATCCAGCTATCAACCTCGCTTCTCTGAACATTGGTGGTGATTCTAGTATCCGAACAGTCGAGGAGAATGTTTACACCTTTGTCCCTCCAGACCCCAGAGCCTTCTTCAAGTACATTCTTAAACATGCTATGACCTTTGACCAGATCAATAGCGATCCTGACCTTGACTATCAACCCCTATCAAAACAATCCATGGACCTTTTGACTGAATTGTGCGTGAGATGGAGGGTGCCCCAATGCTCCAGGCTCATCACTCTACTTGAGGTTGCATCACGCAACTACCTTGATCGGGAGTTGCTCCCCGAGGAGTTGGATGCCGTTTTCGATTTTGTCAAAACACCACTGCCAGAAGTCAAGAAGCCTCCCCATATATCAAACTACTCGACTCCTCTATCTGAGATCGACCCCAGCCGCTGGACGGTGCATGACTTCGCCGTCTACCAACACACTCTGAATACCCTTCATGAGACACTGCTCCGTGACCTTTATGATAGGATGGAACAGTGCTATGATACGAAACCACCCCAAATCGGCGTCGTCCAGTACATATTGGACAATCACATCTTCAGCGACCCATGTTTCTCTCCTAGACCTGAGGCTACTGAAGAATTCTCTCAACACCTCAGCCAGCGTCTCCATGATCAGGCTCAAGAGGCTTACCGCCAGTACATGGAAAAGGAGATATCAGCCGACCGGAATGACTGGGATTTTGCCAATGTGGTCAAATTAGGCAAAACAGTCATCAAGCTATGCGAGAGAATCAACAAACGCTATAACAAAAATCCCGAGATCATGGGCGTAAATCCCTTCCAGATCTTGGTCGAAGAAGTGTTCCCTCGGTTCGAAGAGGATGCGAACGCCATCATTGAGTCCATTTTGGAGATGGCTCAAGAGACTGGCACCGAACTTGACATACAAGATGGCTTCGAACTATA